CGTCTGAGGAGGTGGGAGTGGACGTGGGAGTGGATCTGCATCGCGGAGGAGATATGCCTTTTCATGCCACGCCGTAAGAAGCAGTAGGAGAAGAGTTATTCAAATGCGAAGTGGCACGATTCTCTAACCCAACTAACTAACTGAAAATGGGTAAAATACGGAATAAGTTGCATTGCGGGGGGAGTCGAAGCTCTTGTCCGGATGGATTTGAAGAATTTTTAATTCGACATAGGCATCCGGACAAGAGCTTCAACTCCCCCCGTATGATCGATATTTAGGCACTTTGGACTTGTCAATTATAGTTTGAGCTGATCCTTATCCTTGTAGTTGACAGTAACCACTCCACCTGTCCTCAATGCCTTCCGCACCGCCTCAGCCACTCTCACTGCTGCCAACCCATCAGCTCCGCTACAGATTGGACTTGCTTCCCCTCTAACTACTTGAACCAGGTGATCGACTTGCAGCTCAAATGGGACCTTCAGCCTCTCTTTCTCAGACAACAAGCCGTTTAACGAGAGTGTTTCCTGAATCATCTTGTTCTGCCACGACTTCTGGGTTCCTTGGGCATATGACCATCGCTTCAAGTCGGGAACACTCAATGTCGCTTCTGTGCCAAAGATTCGATAAATGTCCTCACCTGTCGGTGGAAAAAGCGGGTTCTCTCCGGTGCCCAACTCGAAGGCGTGAGGGCTCACAACGGCGTCGCTCAGCACAAAGGTCCCGACGACTCCGCTTTCGAAATGCAGCAAAATGGCACCACCCTCTTCTGCATCGTGGCCACGACGCTTGACTGCTTCGAATGCCGCGACGGTTTTGATGGGGCCGAGGAGGTAGTGCAGCACGTCGATGTCATGAATCAGGTTGATGAGCACTGGCCCGCCGCTTTCGGCGCTCCGGCGCCATGCAGTCGGCGGGTCGAAATACGGTGAGGGCTTGAAGAGCGTCCAGAGACCCGAGATGGCGGTGATGCTACCAAGAGAATTGGTGTCGAGTATGCGCTTCACAGCCGTGACAAACGGATTGAAGCGACGGTGATGACCAGTAAGTAGATGCAATCCACGGGCCGCCGCGTGATCGACCAGTGCTTGTCCGCCTGCAATGTCGACAGAGATGGGCTTTTCGCAGAGCACATGGACACCGCCAGACAAGAGCTCCGTTGACACCGGGACATGTGTGTGGTTGGGAGTGCAAACTATGCCTACGTCAGGTCTATGCGGAGACGAGAGCATGGCCTGTACAGAGGGATAAAGAGGTATTTGCAGAGCAGCAGCCACCTCCTGAGCTGCCGGGCTGGGGTCGACTATGCATGTCAACACGGCATTGGCATCTTGTATGACTGCCTTCGCATGCCTGGGCCCGATTAAGCCGGTGCCGATGACTGCGATCCTGACTGGCCGAGTTGAGGCCATGAGAAGCTTGGAAGTAGGAAGAAAAACGGTCAACGAGGAGAGTGAGTGGATCGGGGACTGGCATCCTCCACTTGACCGGTTTTAAACTGGGCCAATCCCCGACTTCGGATATAACGTGACGAACGCTTCCCCAGATCTTGCGGGGCTAAGGGTGCGGGGACGGGTTACACCGGGGCTGATGATTGCAGCTGTCACTCACCCTGCAGATCGCGCGTAGATTCCGCGCATGGCGGAGTGCCCGTGTGCATGAGGGTGAAGGATTGGGGGGCTGGCCAGGGTGTTGCGGCATGACGTCTGCCGGAGTGGCGTGGGCGGATAAGTATTCATCCACTCCACACTGCCTTCTCCAACACCCCCCGAAAGGCTAGCAGACTAGACAAACGGGTGCCTTGGCTCCCTTTGGCCTTTCGAAATACACATGCAGAAGCGCATCAACAACAACCGGATCAGCCTGATGTGTTGGGCAGTATTTCGCCCAGCGACTTGCGGGGTGGTAGTCCCCCGCAACACTTCGATGCAGCCCATCGCGATGCTCATCGATGCATCTGAGCTCGCGATCCCTGACTGCTTAGGACTTGAGCCGTCGCTGACCGGACCCTTCTTCCGAGTGGATGATGCTATCTCCTATCGCCTACCTTAAGTTGCAGACACGCACAGCTCGATCCCCTATCAACACTGTCGCCTCACTTGTCCCCATTTCCGTCTCTCCATCCCATATATTGACAAAGCTTGCTTTTTCGAGCCAGCAACCCTCAACATTTACCAGCCGAAGTATTGGTCAGCCCAGGCAAAGCTCGACTGCACCTTGAAGCAGTGCGTGGTCACCACCGTCTTGTGTCAGCGCGCAGAAACTTACCTCTTCGAAATATCAGCCACCATCTATTCGCGCAAAATCCACACCATGCCTTGCCGTAAGGCCATTTCTTCCATGTCTCTTGGCCGAGCATGGGTCCACGAAATGCCAAACAAGCTCGACCAAGCCGCAAAATACGGCTTCAGGGGTCTCGAGCTCTTCCACGAGGACCTGGAATACATTGCACGCGACATGCCCGGTGGCGCAAACCCCGAAAACCAGATCAAAGCCGCCGAGATAATACGCGTGCTGTGCGACGAGCGTGACATCGAGATCCTGTGCCTGCAGCCGTTCATGCACTATGAAGGCCTGAAGGACCGCATCGAGCACGCCATGCGCATCGAGAAGATGCGGCTCTGGCTGCGGCTTGCGAAGGTGCTGAACACGACCGTCATCTCCATCCCCTCGACCTTCCTTCCGCGCGACCAGGTGTCGGGCGACATGGACCTCATCGTGTCGGACCTGCGCGAGGTCGCCGACATGGGAGCGCGCGAGACGCCCGTCATCACTTTCGCATACGAAGCCCTGTCCTGGGGCACGCACGTCGACACGTGGGAGAAGAGCTGGGAGATCGTGCAGCGCGTCGACCGCCCCAACTTCGGCCTCTGCCTGGACACGTTCAACATCGCCGGCCGCATCTTCGCGGACCCGGCATCCCCGACGGGCACCACCGCCGACGCCGACGCCGTGGTCAAGGCCTCGATCGCACGGCTGCTGAGCGACGTCGACCCGAAGAAGGTCGTCTATGTGCAGGTCGTCGATGCCGAGCGCCTCGCAAAACCGCTCGTGCAGGGCCACGAGTACTACAATGCTGAGCAGCCGACTCGCATGAGCTGGAGTCGCAACTGCCGTCTCTTCTACCGCGAAGAGGCTCACGGGGCATACCTACCCGTTCGCGACATTTGCGAGGCCATTTTCAACGGCCTCGGCATAGAGGGATGGGTCAGCATGGAACTCTTCAACCGCTGCATGGCCGATGAAGACCCAGAAACACCTGCAAGACTAGCCAAGCGTGCGGCCGAATCTTGGACAAGAATGGTGGAGGATTTGAATTTGCAGGATGGGGATGCACCTCAGCACCATGAACAAGAACTCGAGCAAGAGCGGGCCAATCTGTAGCGAAAAAATAAAAAGAGAGGAAAAAAGCAGGTCTACAGATACGAAGCAGTTCTACGGCCGGTACCAGTACATGTTCTCGTAAATAATGAAATGACCTCCAAATAATGATTCGAAAATCCCACACTTGCAAAGCCATGTGGAACACGCCAAAACCCCACGATCTGATGCGACACCCAACCATCACCGTCTCATTGTGCTGACTGTCGAAGTCCCTGAGAAAGCCGAGCCGCCCATATCCGATCCCCACTGTTTTCCGCACCCCGGATTTGGGCTCGGCAAAGACCTTTTCCGACCAATCGGACGGCGCGTAATCAACTGCCGAACGTCGGTTATTGCCCACGGGGCCAAGACGAATGTGAGGAGTAGAGAAGCCGAAAAAAACAACACAGAAAAATCGCTGTATGCTGAGGCGCCATTGCTCCAAATAACTAAAATCATGGTAACCCGTCAAATGCAAGATATTTTTCTAGCAATACCCATCTCCGTGATCATGGTACTGTCACAATAGCCCCGACCCATCTTCACGGAATGTTTGCACCCGATTCTGCCTATCGTGGCTTACATGAACGTTGAAATATCGTGACATTACTCTTCATCTTGGGAGTGCTTGATAAGCCCCAGACGCAACGATTCGTATAACTTCATGCGAAGCTCGGGGGTATCTTGGTTGCGCTGCCGGTCGCCTCAATTCAAAAAATGGAAATCTCCCCTCCCGTTTTATCCTGCATCAAAATCTCGCCCTTCCATTCCCTGTGTCTGCCCTCCAGCCTGACCAGGCATTGGAGTGGCCGTTACGCTGTGTTGCAAGTAGGCATTGAACATGGGATCAAATTGCCCGTAATCGCTGGTCAATACATCGCTTAGATTCATATCTGGAGCGAACCCCAGATTCTGCATGAATTGAGGCTGACTGTCCAACCGCTCCGGTCCTTCCAATGTGGCCAACTCGTCAAACAGCGCATCTAGATCATTAGACCCTGCCGAAGGGTAGCGCTCAAGTGATGGCCCGTCGTAAATAGCCGAGTTGGGTGTCTGACTGCTGATGCTTGGATTCTTGACCGTTGCTGAAGGACGTTGATCTGTTGGCTCTTTGCTCACTGAAGGTGGAGCTATTGGCGTTGCTAGAGTTTGTGAGAAAGAAAGGCGGTGTGCGGATTGTTCCACTGCTTGGTTGGCAGTCGTGCTCATTTGGTGGGTCAAGTTACTAAACGGCTGCTGAAATTGGGAGTTGCTGGTTGTTTCGTGCATATTCTTGCCGATGTTGAACGGAGGCGGGCTGAAGGCCGCCGATGCCGACGTGGGATATTGGGATATTGGGGACGGGTAGGCCGGTGATCTCGAAATGATTCCGCTCGCTGGATTCGATGATGATGATGTCTGAGCTAGCATTAAGCTATCCGTGATGCTGGAGAGAGGTGTACGGCCTGACAAGGATGCATCTTTCGTGGTTTCCCGTTTCCTCCATAGCTCCCGGTAATTGCTAAGCAGAGTGGTCCATCTGGATCTAGTGTCTGGCGGCAGAGTCTCGAATGCACCACTGCGGCCTGCCAAAGCAATAAGTGGGCTGAATATCGGCAGGAGAGCCGGAGTGCCAAAAGCGTCCCCAAACCTGAGGAGCGACTCGGCAACCATCTCAGGAGGCACGACGCTCGGGACCGCAAATGCCATTGTCGTCCAGAGATATATGAGTCGCAAGCTGAAGAGTGTAGGCGTTGGCGCCGGAGGGAGCTGGCTCGATTGGACCGACTTGAACGTGGGAGGCAGGCCAGTGATCCACTGCTGTAGATGCATAGAAGCCGAGTGACCATCAAGAGCCCCTACTGTGACATCATTCACAATGCTGAGCAGCCTTATGATGTGGTTGAAGGTGCTGATGGTGTGAACAGGGCTCCTATTGTACTGAGCTGGATTTAAAGAACTTGGTCTGAAGTCAGGGCAGCCAACCCAAGGATGCCATTCTTCCAGCCCATCCTCTGCGATCAAGCCAACACGATCGACATGCTCTCGCCTCATGAATGGCTCTCTTCCGAGGTGGGCAGATACGATAGTGTCAAGAGCGAAGCAAGCCAAGAAAACGTGTTTCCCTCTTGGGCTCTGATCCTCATTGCCATGAAACCGCCCCTGAGGCTGGAAGGCGTTGTGCAAGCCAAGGACGAATGCCAAACGGGCGGCATAGCCGATGAGAAACCAGGCGGCTCGCGAAGTGTTAGCTCCGATGTTGACCAAAGCAAGTAGCAGCAGAGCTTTGACATGGCCAATCTCGTGCGATCCTTGCTCGCTGGGGATTAAACTTCGAGCTATGTTGTAAATATCTCCGGGTAGCAGTCTCGCACCATCCTCACTTTGTTGAGCGGATGAAGGGTTGGCAGCGTGCTCCTGGACGGATGCAACAGCCAGTATACTCCAAAGCTCTGCATGTTCTCCCGACCCAGGGCTATTTGCCGAAATATCAAGCCCGTCGTCGGGATACGAGTATGAAATCTTAAGCACATCGTGCTTCTCGGCAATGGGGAACCAGCAGTGCGTGTAGGCGAAGTAGACGTCAAACAGCCGCCACAAGTTTGATGGAACTCTGAGTCTGGGGCGAAGGGGAACAGGTGGCCTGTTCACCGGAGCGAGCGGCTGGGTTGTGGAGATGGCTGCAGGGCTCTGTGCAGGCTCAGGTCTTCGCTGAACTGAACTTTCCGAGCCGCCAGCTACAGAAGGGGGGCGGTGAAGCTGCGCACCACCGCTCGGTAGGGAGGATGGTGCAACAGGGGTGGCAGCGATGATTGATGCGCCATCGGCGTCGTCCAGTTGGTCGTCGTCGGGTGAGTTTGGGGAGGCTGGCTTCTCGCCGAATGCAACCGGGTCGGCGCCGGACAGAACGCGATCTATGTCGCGGCAGAAGGCGCTTTTCCTCCACTTCCGGTGGAGCTTGTAGGAGCCGTCCTGATCCTTCCCAGAGAGCAGGGCGCGGCCGTCGGGCTGGACCAGTAGGTTCAGCAGTGCATCCTCGCTTGCCGGCACGTTGGCAAACGTCCATGCCAGAGCCAGCTCCAGTGTCCGTATGTATCCCGGCTGGATCCCACGCTTCTTGGGATTGGCGGTATAGGTGCAATCGCGGTTGGAGGAGGCGCAGGTAAAGCAGATGGGCTGGATGCCGTCGCACTTTTCGCGGGCAGTGCGGCACTGATCACAGGCGCGCGAGACGCGCTGTCGCTTTGCAGGCGCGGGGTTACCTTGGTGCTGGGCGGCATCGGCGGTCGATTGGGAAGCTGAGGCAGGATTGGAAACTTTTCGCTTTGCCTTCTCTCCTCCCTCGTTGCCGGCCATGGCGGCGCGTCGGTCCCATCCAGGCGCTCAGTTCCAGCAGGCGGAGTTATGTTCGGGTGGGCTCGCTCGAGTGGGAGCGCGGGCAGCGCGGCATGCTGGGCGGGGGTCAGCAGATATGGCGGGCTAGCAATTGGAGAGTGACGCACCACGGGTTCAAGGCGGCGACAACATGGCGAGCAGGCGCTTCGCAAACGGTTGACACAGGCCGGGCTGGGTGGTGGTCGGGGCGCGCGGGCGGCGCTGCTCTCCACAGCCGGAAGCTGGGGATTAGACCGGGAGTAAGGCCGGCCGGACAAGCTCTTACCCAGAGGATCTGGGGAACCCGGCCGCTGCGTGCCTGCGCCTTCCCCTCCACCGCTGCCACCCTCCGCCTCGCATTGCCGCGTCCGTGCTGCCATCTAGCCACCAGCTCGTCTTCCGCGCCCCGTAACTGCTGCTCGCTGCTCTGCCGCCCGTACACCTCCTCCAGATGGCCCCATAGCCCAATTCTTCGCCCCTCGCCTTGGACCGGGAATCCCTCTGGCAGTGATGGCCTATGCGACGGCGGGCGTCAAACGCCCATATTCGCACATGGCCGCCGACGGCCCAATTGCCGCCGCGCCCAGACAGTATTATTCGCCGCCCTTTGCCGACTCCCAAAGAGACCATGCCTACTCCTTCGACCGCTACGAATCCCCCAAGTCGCGCCCGGCAAGCGTCCCGCCAACGCCTGTCTCGGCCCAGTCACTTGCCGCAGCTCCGCGCCGCTTCGCTCCTGATGCCTCGATCGTGCTCATTGGCGTTCGCGGCACCGGCAAGTCCACGCTGGCCGTCATTGCTTCCGCCGGCATCCAGCGACGCGTCGTCGACACCGAGCACGCTTTCCAGGAAGCCACCGGCCAGTGCAGCTCCAGCTACAGAAAGACCCAAGGCGCCGCCGCCCACAACCAGCGCCAGCTGGAAGTTCTCAGGACTGTGCTCACCAACTATGACAAGGACTGTATCTTGGTTTGCGGCACCAATTCCATAGAGCGTGGCGCCCAGCTTTTGTTGCAAGAGTACAGCAAGACACATCCCGTCATTCACATCGTGCGCGATGCCCGCAGTATCAGGGACTATCTCAAGGTGTGGGATGAGCACAAGGTGGAAAATCTTCTGCGTGCTTCGAGCACCATCTTTCGCGCCTGTTCCAACTACGAATTCTACAACTACACAGAGAAGCAGCAGGTTCTTCATCCAGATACCCCCGAACACACCCTTGACGACGTTTCCTCCCGTTCTTCCCCAAGTGGCGCTCGCTCGTCTCAGGAGCCTCTCTCAGGACAGAGATCGCCGGCCTCGTTCCTCACTTTGAAAAGAGCCGAGAGGCATTTTCTGAAGTTTGTCACCCTCATAATGGCTCGAGGGAGTCTCCAGTCTCTAGAATCCGCCTACCCTCTTTCCCACGTACCGACAACAGCTCGTTCATACACTTATGCTGTGTCGGTACCTCTTCCAGCCATCCTGTCAGGATCTCTGGACATGGAAGAGCTGGAGGTGGGCGCCGATGCTTTCGAGATCAAAGTCGCTGACCACGACGGTTTGGCTCATCCTGCTGGCCCCGCACGCCTGGACCAAATCAGTCAGGCATTCTCTACAGTTCGTAGAACCACGGTTGTGCCAATCATCTACCACGTGATGAGAGTAACCTCCAAGGCCAACGCAGAACTCCCCGAGGAGGACTACTTTGAGATTGTCCGCCATGGCCTTCGCTTTGCCCCTGAATTTGCGACGGTTGACCTAGAGGCCGATGAAAAGCTAATCACTCAGACAATCCAGTCGAAGGGCGCAACGAAAATAATTGGGGATTTCCATAAAAACTTGTCTACCGGATGGAATGACGAAAAATGGGTGGAAATGTACGAAAAGGGCAGAAGACTAGGTTGCGACCTCATCCGCTTCACCCGTCCTGCCGGACGCTCAGAAGACGCCTTTTCCGTTCATCAAATGAGAAGCAGAGTAGAGGCCTTGGACGGCCCACACATTCCGCTTCTTGCGTTCAGTATCGGCGACCGCGGCCGCACCTCTGCATGCTTCAACAAAACTCTAACCGCCGTCACGCACCCAGCTCTTCAAGACTTTGCTCGGGAAAGACACATTGATGCACCACACTACCCCACCATCACCTCGGCCGAGGCAACGCGAGCACTCTACGCATCTTTTGTTTTCGACCCGTTACGAATCTATGTCATCGGAGCGAAGGTCAACTACAGCCTGTCGCCGGCAATGCACACGGCCGGCTTTAAAGCTTTGGGCCTGCCACATACGTACGGTATTCACCAGACGTCATCGCTGAATAATGCGCACTCAATACTTTCGGATCCAAATTTTGGCGGCTCTTCTGTCGGACAACCCTACAAGATTGAAATCATCGCGCTCACTCATTCACTGAGTCGGCATGCACGTGCAATAGGAGCTGTCAATACGTTGATACCTGTTCGTAATTTAAAACCAGACGGCAGCATTCCTGAAGACATCGACCTGTTGCGCGAACGGAGTCAGATTGGGCCGGTGAAGGCTTTGTACGGGGAGAATACGGACTGGATTGGAATCAGGGCGTGCATCAGACGAGGCCTGTCTCCAGCGAATGCGGTGGGTCCGCGAACGACGGCTCTCGTTGTAGGAGCAGGAGGAATGGCGCGGGCAACTGTTTACGCGCTTCTGCAGCTTGGAGTGCGGAACATCTTCATCCATAACCGGACGCTGGCGAACGCGGAGAAGCTCGTCACGCACTTCAGACGGGTGCTGTCAAGCAGCGGGACCAGCTCTCCGCCTCTTCTATCCGCGCGTGAGAATGCACCGCAGACTCACTTTACCATCATCAAATCACGCGAAGATGCATGGCCCGAGTTGTTCCGGCAGCCGACGATTATCGTGTCGTGCATTCCTACAAACTCAGTCAATGATAGCCCTGCACCCGACTTCACGCTCCCCCTGCAGTGGTTCAGGAGCCCGACGGGAGGAGTTGTAGTAGAGCTAGCATATAGAAACCTCGACTCACCGTTGCTGCGGCAGATCCGGGCGGAGAGCCACCGGGGATGGGTGGCGATGGACGGCCTTGACCTTCTCCCGGAGCAGGGGTTTGCGCAGTTTGAGCTTTTCACGGGAAGACGAGCACCTCGGCGAATCATGAGGATAGAGGTGCTCAGGGCTTACAGGGACGAGAAGGGAGAGACGGATCCAACGGTGCAGGCCCGGCTGGAGGCGATCAACGACTGGGAGCCGTGAAACGGGCTGCGGGAAGAAAGCGGCGTGGTTTTTTTTTTTTATTTTTGTTCGATATACCTGCAATATACCTAACGGCAATGGATGACATTTTCAATTTGAAGACTCGCAAAGGGGCGTGCTCTCGGCCGGCGGCAACGAAAAATCCGAGGCTGTGCCCCGGGGGCTCCTGTTCTGGCAGCGTGGGTCAAGCCACAGCTTGGCCTCCCCGCCACATCGCCCACCTCGTCGCGCTCTCACTTCTCCGTGATCTCACTATCCGCAAATGCCGCACACCTCAACCACCACCCATCCCTGTCAGGCGCAATTTCACGGAAAGAGCTAGGATTAGAAGCCGCTGCGCTGGGGCGTCTCGACCGCCGACATGTCGACCATGATTACCTTCGCCGCCAACAACGAGTTCTTCCGCAAACGCAAGCGCGTGCACAAGGCTTGCGAGTCTTGCAAGAAGCGTCGCGTGAGTCTGACGTCTGCGCGCGAATCCCGACTCCGTGTTCTGATGTGTCCGTAGAAGCGCTGCGTCCACACGTTTGACGGCGACGAAGCTCCTGATTCTTCGCCCGGAACCGACTCTCTTCTCCCTCAGCCAAATCTTCTTCCTGGAGCGCATGCCACGCCAATTTCAGCAGCCGGGTCTTATGACGCCCAGGCACCTGGGTTTTCTGATCCCGACCAAGCGGCAAGGCTCACCGGCCCAGACGACCCTCGTCTTGCTCCTGGCTCTCGCTTTATCGGCTACCTTTCGCCAGAGGCCGTGATGCGTGGCCACATCCGTGAGCAGGGCAGCAAGTGCGGTGGATGGGTTCCAGCCACTCCAGACGACGATCCCGAGCCATCGCCTTCTGCACGTGACCATTCGGTGGACGGTGCCGACGCCGGACCTGCCCCCTCGGAGAATGGCCAATCGCGTTTGGAGAAGGCTTTGCAGGCATATTTGGAAGCCGCTGGTGTCGATGTCTTGCCACCTCAACGGAACGTTGATATTCTTCTTGGCATCTATTTCGAATACGTCCATCCCTTGCTCCCGCTCGTCGACCAACGCCACTTCTACACACGCCGGTCCGCCGGCGAACAGTCAACCATGCTGCTACAAGCCATATGTCTTGTTGCATCACGTCACGAAGGCGCGCGTAACCACTTGTACCTTCTCAGTGACCCACATCTTCTTCTTGAACCCAGAGAGTATTCCAGAAAATTATACGCAGCTCTTGTCGCTGGTGTCAACGCCAATCTCGAAGCGGATCGTATAACACTAATTCAGGTTTTGGCATTGATGTCACTCTACAGCGAGGGCGTCGATGGAGCAGACCGGGCTTCGATGCACCTGGTCCAAGCCATTCACCACGCTCACACAATCGGTCTACAATTTGGCCGGCAGCGAAACGTTGCCAAAGGCGAATCAACCGAGAAGATATTTTGGTGTCTCTGGAGCCTGGACAAACTCAATGCTAGCGTGAATGGCAGGCCACTGTACATGCACGACCGTGATAACCAATTGGAAAGTTGGACCGCAAGACCTGAACAGCGACGGACACCATTCGGTATCTGGCTACAACTGGCTGGTGTACTTGACAGAGTCATCGACCTCTACAGGCCAGGGAGCGACAGTCGTGTGACTGGCTTGGAGGTTGACTTCCCCGGCTTTGAAGACATCATTGGTGACGGAGGGGACAAATTGCGGGGGCCCATAGTCGGTGAGTAGAGAGACGCGTATTTGTGGATGCGACGCTGATAACCTGCAGCCGCGCTGGAACTGTTCTACCATGCTGTAGCCATGCTGTCTCACAAATCTCGTTCGATCACAGACCCTGTACGTTCCACGCCATCTTTTGTTCGGCAAAGCCTTTCGGCTGTACGGGTGATATCAATCTTGAGCCACGAATTTCCTGACGATCTACCTCCCCTTCCAATCGTCCCGTACGCATTGGCGCTAGCAATGTCGGTCGCCTACAGGCAGTATCGTCGGAGCAAACTTCAGGGACACAAGAATAGGGCAAAAGAAGACCTCAAAACATGTTGTGGGCTGCTCAACAAGCTTCGTGCGACATGGTGGTGTGCAGGCTGTATGGCGGACCTGGGTTCCGCGGCATTGAGCAAAGTAGAAAAAGCAGAGCAACGCAGTCGGGCGGAGGAAACAATTCCCATCGCTGGAACGCGACCAAGTCACGCTTTCCAAGGCGAGCCGGCTACGCCGAGCTCCGACTCGAATAGGAATGCAACCGAGGAACAAGAGGCACCGGCGACTTCAACCGTGCGCAGCCTGTTGAACATGTCATCGGTTCCGCAGATGATGATAGGCCAACCGCAGCACGCAGTGAGTAGCGAAAGGTCAGAGCAGACCCCATCTACAAGCACCGGGTTCAGTACCGAATCACCCGAATGGCTCAACTTCGATAATGCTTTCGAGAACATGGATACTCTGCTGGGTAGCAGTGGAGCGGACTTGTCGAGTGAGCTGCTAAAAGGTTTCAGTTGGGACATTGGAGATTTTCCGGGGTGAAGGGATACTTTTTGCATGTGAATAATAACCAGTCGATTCTGAAAGTTACTTTTGTATGATAGAACATTTTTGTAGTCAGCGATAATGCGTTAATGGAGGGGGTGCTGCTTGAATGGGAAGTCAAGTAGGAAATTTTCTAAAGGTACTAAGCAAATAAAGGGCGGGCCCTGAAAGGACTGTTAGATAACTGAATACAACTACATGTCACAGACTTCATTCGGTGCATACCTTTCATGAAACACTTGGGAAAGGCAAGGTTTTTCACTGTTACAAAGCGTGGCGAATACTTCAATGGTGATTTCAACGCCTCTTTCAAACCGGGGGTTGCATTTCTCAACAAGGAATTATGTTGAGCATTTGAGAAATCTATTGTCTACGTTTTTCTGCATCAAACAAGCGCTTGCAGGTTTGGAAAATAAGAATCGGCCGTCAATCATGTTCATAAAAGTCCTGACTGTCAGCCGGTCGTGACGTGAGAAGAAAATACATTTAAGCCACTTCGACGAACTCCCGCTCCTGCTTGTCCTCTGCTCTCTCGAGACCTACGGCCGTGATTCCGGCTTCGTGTGCAGTATCGTAGCGCTTGCGGGCGTTGTGTGCCAACAAGGGTGCGCCCTCGCCGAACAGGAGATCCATGTCCTCGAGCGCCACGCCCTTGGTCTCCGGCACGAACAGGTAGGCAAAGATGAAAGCGGCTACTGTGCAAGCGCCGAAGAACAGGAAGGTGCCGTACGTGATGTTCGCGACCATGTACGGCAAGCTGTACACGACGACGAATTGGGACAGCCATTGGGTGCATACGGACAACATCATACTCGCCGTACGCACGCGCGTAGGCATTATTTCAGACGCTGTCAACCAGGGCACGCCATTCCAGCTGAATCCGTAGAAGACGGCGTATACGTAGATCATGGCGAGGGCGGCGTTGGCGCCTGCGTCGCGGGGGACGGAGGAGGAGGTGAAGGAACCGGACAATTTCGAGTATCCGGCCAGGTAGAACATCGCAACACCAGCTCCCACTGCACCAACGAGTAGAGCAGGGCGTCTTCCAATGCGATCGACACAGAAGAGCATGAAGATCAGGGTGGTGACCATCTTGACGATGCCATACACTCCCGTAGCCAGCAGGTTGACCGATGTTCCGCTGTAGCCGATTGACTCGAGAATTGTTGGGGAATAGTAGTTGATGGCATTGATTCTAAGAGCAAATTACTGTTAGTATGCCTCATGCGATCCTTAGAGGAAGTGCACATACCCGGTAAGGTTCTGGAACAACATCATTATCATACCAAGGCTGGCGCGGTTACGGACACCAGGCTGGCCCAGCTCTCGGAAGATCTGTAGAAGGTTTCTCTTGCCTCCTGCCGACTCAATCTCGTGGTTGACGGCCGTCTGAAAATCGGCAAGTTCTGACAGAACATATTCGTGGTCTTGCGGCAGGTTTCTGATCCAGCTCAGAGCAGTGAGAGCCTTCTCTGAGCGTCCCATGGACACCAGCCAGCGCGGCGACTCAGGAACCCACGGCATCGAGAGCAAGAGCAAGCCGGCAGGCACAAACTGAATACCGACGGGTATGCGCCACTGAGTGTCAGTGTCCGGGGAGATGTTTTGCTGGACGCCATAGTTGACCCAGAAGCCAAACACCAGCGCTATTTGCAGCATGATTTCGAACATGCCGACCAGTCTGCCTCGAATGGCTGCCGGTGCGCATTCAGAGATGTAGATGGGGATGATCATCGAGCTAGCACCCACGCCCAGGCCGGTCAGCACGCGGCCGCCGTACAGCGCACCAAGGATTCCCAGCATCTGCAGAACGACGCCGATGGAAAAGACTACGCCAGAAGTGAGGATGACCATCTTGCGGCCAAGCGATTCTGCAATGAAGAAGCCGCCAATGGCACCGAAGAAGGCACCAGCCTGGAAGGTGGACACAATGTTGGAGTCCAACGATGTCGAAGACGCTTCGTCGGTCAGACCGTAGGCTGCCTTGAACGAGGGAAGCTCCAGAGTGCCACCAATGAAGGCGCTATCATATCCATACATTGCTGAGGCCTGGGGTGACCTATCAGTGGCGGCATGACAACGACTAGGGAGCAGTTTGTCTTACCCATGCCGCTGAGATGGCGACGAGGTATATCCTCCATCCGTATATTTGCCTTGGCGCAGGAGTGCCAGCATCCTCCTTGATGGCGAAGGGGTTGTTGGAGAGCGGGTTCTTCATTTTCGCCAGCGGCCTCGCAGTGCCCAAACGCAGGTTGAAAATTTTACGGCGGCAAAAATAGTGGAACGAGGACGGGTGTCTGCTCTACGGTGGAATTGATGAGGTTGGACTGAGGTTGAGAGAAAAGTGCAAGGCGAAACGACGAGGGCCTTTTAGGAACTAAGCTTTCGGGCTGTGGCAAGTCAAGTGCAGGACAAGAGAGTGGCTTGCAGACAAGAAGTCGCGATGACTCGGCAGCTCCACCCCAATAGTGGAGCCCTCCACAAAGGTGGTAAGCGGGGAGAAGCATTTTGCCAACTGCGTTGGCCTCAACCAAGTGCTGCATCCCCAGCGTTGCAGCCAGCAAAAGACCAATCCGACGTCAATCACGGGTTCGTCAGCACATGGTGGTATCGCGGTGCTACCCGGCCCCACAGCGGATGCTGCCCGCGCATGGAAAAAGGATTTTCATTAATTGGGATGACTGCAGCTGATTACGTAGCTGGAACAAGGCGCATGGGAACGCGTCCGAGCGGGGTGTAGCTGTTTAGGGCAATGGTTGTCTGGTTCGAGGGTGGTCGGTGTGCTGCAAAAGAATCTGCCGGGTTGTGATTTGCCCGCGCGTACGTCATCCTGGAGAGATTTCACCCGCAGATAGCGGGGTCTCCACGATCTCCTTCCCGGCCGAGGGTGATTATATAGCCATGTAGAAATCCGCTCTGATTCATGGCTTATCCGGCGACAGTCCACACCTCGGGTCAATAAATAGGCTTACCTGCCCCCTTCCGGAGCATTCCAGGTTAGTTGCATTCTACTATAGTCGAGATCCACAAACATGCGCACCATTTACCGAGCTCCGAAGAAGCCGGAATACTCTAGCATGGTAACGATAATGTGATTCCTTCAGAACACACTGCATCAATTCACCTTCCTTGTTCGTGTCATGGCCGAAGTCACTCCAACCCCCATCCGGGACCGATTCTTGAACAAAGTCTGCTTCATCACCGGGGGCGGCGGTGCCATAGGATTATGCACTGCCATCCGATTCGTGAACGAAGGCGCTCGAGTTGTGCTCGTCGATGTCAGCCCTGAAACCCTGGCTGCTGCAGAAGAGCGCATCGCAGCAGCCTTGCCTTCGTCTGTGCAGCTTCAGGATCGACTTCTGAGTCTGCAGGCAGACGTCACCAGTGAAGCAGATGTTGCAAAGACGTTCGAGGAAACGTTGCGGAAATGGGGCCGCCTCGACTGCGCCTTTCTCAACGTAGGTGTCAGTTACGCAGGCAAGAGCCTCTTCGACACGTCTGAAGAGGAATACGATCGCGTCATGCGTATCAACGTCAAGTCGGGTACGTCGAGTTTTATCTCACAAAAATCTAAAAGCGATACTAACGCCGTGGGCGGCAAGCCTTTCTCACTCTCAAACATGCTGCCTCCGCAATGAAAGAGCAGACTCCTTCCGGGGGAAGCATCATCCTCACTTCCTCGATTGCAGGCCTGCGTGGCACCCCAGGCCTGTCTGTCTATTCGACGAGCAAGTTTGCAATACGCGGCCTTGGCCAGTCCGCCGCTGCTGAGCTCGGACAATACGGCATTCGCGTCAATACAATCCATCCGAGCGGCGTTGATACGCCCATGTTCCGCCAAACATGGACCAAAGAGAAGATTGAAGAGATCAAAAAGGCTGTGCCTATGGGAAGAGTAGCTGAAGTCGAAGACATTGCTGGTGCAGTGACCTGGTTAGCTAGTGACGATGCGGGCTTTGTCAATGGAGCAATGATAAAAGTGGACGGGGGAGTTGTATCGTTCTGAGAGCAGGCTTGCCCAGAAACGCAAATGTATCTATCACCAAGTAGCCCTGGACTTTTCCTGAAATTTGACAAAGACATGCGAGCAAAAGACAGAGGCACCGTGATCCCGGAGCTAATTCGGCAACCATGCTAAGCCATCCCAGCCCAAAAAGGCAACTCGCCGGCGCTAGCTCAAAAAGAAAACTTTGCAACAAAACTGCAAAACGTACAACAGCCGGGATTCCCCAATGGTCACCCACTTGAGTACTAATCGGCCGGTTCGCAGCTTAAGTACGGCTGAGCGGACGGGAAGCCCTGCATTCTGCGACCTATGGTCGTACGTGACGGAGAAGGCTGCAAATTTCAATTATCTCTTCCAGTCAACAGTCAGTCGCCTGGCTGTCTACTACCAACGTAAGATTTGTTAGCATGCGTAGAAGAACGTAATCTATATTTGTATGTGGAAAGCCCTTTACTCTACGGCGAACCGTTATACCTTGTGAGAAGGGTTGAGATTTTCGTATGTGTAGCAGCTTAAAGGCTTCATCACCACTCAGCGTTACAGCAGGGTTATTTCTTTTACCAAATACAAAAGAAGCTACCCGTCACCTTGCGATGGACAAGTACTAGAATAAAAAAAATATAAAGGATTCCTTCTATTGCCCAACATTGCAGCCTTGACAAAGACAGGCGCCCACCTCTAAAAAACCATCTATACCGCTACGATGTCCTCTACTCAACTCCCTCAAAACAGATGAACACCCTGCAGCAGGGCAAAAAGAGATAATGATGAGGACGAGACTCGAACTCGCGCGGGTTGCCCCACCAGGAATTGCTGTTAAGATACACCTTAACCTGGCGCCATAACCAACTCGGCCACCTCACCTATTCAATGACATCCCACAGCCGTGGCCTCCTTATATTCAATAGAATGCATTCCAGTATCGACAGGAATGCAAGCGGGACAGAAGATGGATGTGGGTTTGATGAGTTGAATTTTTTTCTTCATGAGGTCCGTGGGTTCGGTTGGGCGCTAGATATCGGCTCTACTCTTGACGCCGCATCAGCTAATTGAGCCGCAATTCAGACATGTCCTATAACTCAAAGCTCTTGCGTTGATGAACGAGTCTTCCCTTCACCCAGACAGCGGCAGTGTTCCGGTCGTCGCCATTGTAGGTCCATTTCCCGATACGGTCCTCCCAGCTTTCCCAACCGTATATGTCCACTGGGGTGTCCAGCTCCTTCTCTCCGTCGGCTGGAACAGCGGCGAGGCTGACAAGCTGTGCGTCCCAGTCCATCCCCACTTCAAAAGCTCCAACGTGATCCTCCAAGCCAACGACTTTGGCACCACCGCGGGTAGCAAGGTAGAGCGCCTCTTCTGTTGCGAGCTTGGCGGCCTCGCCGTCTTCAAAGGAACGGTGTCGAGAGACAAGAATTGTCTGGCGAACAACCTCAAGGATGCTCGGGCTGTACCCGCCGCTGACGTCGGTCCCCAGGCCCATGGTGATGCCGCGGTCTAGCAGGTCGCGAACAGGGGCAGCTCCGGAAGTCAAGGCCGAGTTGGAAACAGGGCAGTGGGAAATCTTTGCGTCCCGTTGCTTGATCACAACCTTCTCAGCCTCGGTAAGGTGAACGGCGTGAGCAAGAATCATCTTCGAGTTCAGAAGGCCGGCTTTGTCGTAAACGTCGGCGTAATGCTTGAAATCTGGGAAGAGGTCTTTCACCAGTTGGATCTCGCCGATGTTCTCCGAAATATGAGTCTGTGCCAGGATGCCGTTTTCTTTTTGGATTTCCGCCAGCTCACACATGGTGCTATGGTGGCAGCTGGGCGCAAAGCGCGGCGTGATGATGGGAGCGACGATACCCTTCCCGCCGTCGGCCCTCTTCACATACTCGACCACTTCCTTGCTCTTTCTGATTGTGTCGGCGGAACTCTCGTCACGGTACCATTTGGGGCTAAGGTCAGAGTCCATGCAAACGCGGCCGATGAAGGCACGTTGCCCCTTTTCCAGGCAGATGTCGGCCAGCAGGTTGGTGGCGGCAACGTCTATTGTTGCGTAGTAGGCGGCCGTGGTTGTGCCATGCGATAAAGTACGGGCAACACAGCGAGCGTAGATGCGCCGTGCTTTCTCCAGGTCGGCGAGGGAGGCTTCCATGGGAAAAGTGTAGGTGTTCAGCCAGTCCAGGAGAGTAGACTTGCTCACGATGCCAGCATTTCCATACTGGGGGGCGTGGATATGGGTATCTATGAAGCCTGGGAAGAAGAAGCCTTTATCCTTCACCCTGACGACCTTTGCGGCTGTCCAGCCATGGTGTTGCTTGAAGATGAGATCCAGATCCTCGGCGCCGCGCTCGATGAAGGCAATCTTCCCCCGTTCGTCCACGCCGATAGCACCCTTTTCACAGATGTCCAGCTCCTGCAATGATTTACAATGCACAAAGGCGCCGAGATAGATGGTCTTCCCAAGGAGGTGTGCCGAGATAGGTAATTCGCCCATTGTGAAAAGGCAAGGTGGCGAAAAGAAGCAAACGAAGGCGAAGAAGGGACGAGGGGCGGATGCGAGCCGGAGAAGCAGAAACAAGCCAAAAGCGCGCAAATGGAGCGGCGAGTTGGGGGTTTTAGTCTTTATAGGAAGGTTATCTGGAGTCTGGGGCCCCTGTACTTGGCGGAGAGGGCGGGCCGCGGCTGTGCAGCTACGGCCACCTCCGCTCTCCGTCTATCAGCTGCAGAGCGCCGCCGGCCCGCCTGCCTCATGTGCACTCCAACCTTTGAGCACTAGAGCTCAGCCCTAGCCAGGCTGAATGCGATGAGCACGGCGGGAGTGACACGAACCGGCTGCTCGCATAGTTGCGGGTCAGCTCCGGCTTACCTTCGTCGGCCTTGCGGAGCGGCTCGCACGGAAACTGAAAACGGCAAACAGCAGCTGGACTGCGGATGCGGGCAGGGCTCATGGCTGAGAGAGGCTCGTCATTGATGGAAGAACGAGCCATGGATGATGGTTGTGGTACCTACATGAAGTACCCCGCGGTCGGCGGCGATAAGGCGCCGATTGCACCTTCGCGCTGCTGACTTCTGCCATTGCGCGACCAAGCAGCTCCGTCACATCCAGCCTCGCCATGACACTTCTCCTCCTCCTTCACCAGTACCATGGCCTCCCCGCAGTCCAAAGGTGAAGCCCCCTCCTTCGGCCAGATTCCCACCGCGAACCTCATCGGCTGCGTGAAATCTGCCGACGGCTTCACCCTCCTCCATGTAGAACCGGACTCTGAAACTCCCTCGTTCAAGGCCTCGCCCGCCGAGACGCTGCCTCCCGACTTCACTGACCGCTACCTCATCCACCGACCGATCGATGCCCACGTCCACGTTATCATCTCCATCCTGTCTGGCAGCTGCCTCGCCGAGAGATTCTACCAGAAGGCTCTCGAGCCTCTTCTCGATGCCGTCGGACTACAGCGGGGCGCCGATTACACCGTTCACCGTACCACATCTGCGACTACTGTCTTAGAGCTCACGCGCGACATATTCCTGCCTCGGGCGAACAGTGGCGCACACCAACGAATAATACTGCTTTCGGGCGATGGCGGTGTCGTCGACGTTGTGAACGGGTTGCTCTCGGGCTCAAGGACCGCCTCATTCGTTGCGCCGTCCATTGCCCTTGTTCCCATGGGCACAGGAAATGCGCTTGCTCACTCCTCGGGTATCACAGCCGACAACACAATGGGTCTGGCTACGCTTGCGCGCGGGTCGCCGGTGAGGCTGCCTCTGCTCAAAGCGCGCTTCTCACCTGGCGCCAGGCTCCTGGTTGAGGAAGGCAGCAAGAAAGAAGCGCTGCCGCAGACCACGAGCGAGAGCTCTGAGCCTGTAATGTACGGCGCCGTCGTTTGCAGCTGGGCTATGCATGCCGGTCTGGTGGCCGACAGCGACACGACCGAATACCGCAAGTACGGCGTAGAGAGGTTCAAGATGGCTGCCAAAGAAGCGCTATACCCAGCCGGCGGCTCCGAGCCTCACAGGTACCGCGCAAAGATATCGCTGCTGCGCAACAAGCACGGGCAGGCTAGCTGGGAGGCAGTCGGCCGACAGGAACACGCCTATGTGCTCGCGACGCTGGTGTCGAACCTGGAAAAGACATTCAACATTTCGCCGCAGACGCGATCGCTGGACGGCCATCTCCGTCTTGTGCACTTTGGGCCAATGCCGAGCGACGAAATCATGCGCGTCATGGGGCTGGCGTATCAGAAAGGGAAGCATGTGGACGAGCCCGCAGTGGACTACGACGACATTGAGGGCATCCGCATTGAGTTTATGGAGAGCGAGGACCGATGGCGGCGAGTGTGCGTTGACGGTAAGATTGTGCTGGTTGAGGAGGGGGGCTGGGTGGAAGCGCGCCGGGTAGAGAGCGACCAGGAGCAGGTGGTAGAGCTCGTATGCTTGCGCTGAGAGTAGATGAATCGATGCTTGGCTCCGACATGTGCAGGGCGACGCGCTGAGTCGCGCGCGTACGCGCGTGTGACGCAATCGAGCATAGGACACACGGAGCGCGTGACGGGGGCTGCGGCAACCGCAAAGCGGCTCTCATTGTGTAGGGAGTTGCAGCTGCTGACGACTGAGGAGGCCTGCGAACACCAGGCCCCGCGCGCATCCGCTCCTGTCTACTGCGGACAGCCTCGCGCCTCGGTGATGCTGCGGCCCATGTGCTGGCTATCATCTGCACCCGACCGCCACCCAAGCCCGCAGCCCACATTTGCGACGATCCTTCGGTGTTTTAATTGTGAATGCTGCTCCAACCCCGAACCTACCAGCTTGCCCAGGTCCCCGACCGCAACACGTCCCGACCAGCCTCGCCCTTCCTCCAGTGGACGACATCGAGGAAGGACAGGCTGCTCCACGAGCGCACCGCGCGCAGCATGTTGCTCGTCCACCAAGCGGGCAGTGTCAAAGTGGGCGAGATAGTCCGGTGCGGCCATCCCCAGACCCTCTCCTCGATGCGGCACTGACCGCCCGCTGCAGCTACACCCTCACCTATACCCCAGTAAACGACCGCATCCTCCCAAGCCCCACGCACCTCCACCTCAAGATCAAGAACTCGTCCGCAATCCCGCTGCGCGCCGCCTACCTCCACGGGCCCTACACTCTCCATGTCGCCGCGTACCCCTCGACCTTCAATCCGAACCACAAAGTCGAGAACCCGAAGAAGGAGGGCATCCCGGACTTCGAGCCCAACCTCAAGGCCGGTGGCTCCTGGGGCACGCGCCTGCTCGTGCCCGACCACATCCGTGAGTCTGGCAGCGTGCAGCGCGGCGCCGATGGCGAGCCCCGGAGCGTCACCTGGATCATAGAAATCACTTCGCAGATCCTCTTCTCCAACAGCGCATCTGTGAGCTTCGAGCTACTGGTCGGCCGAGACGAGCGGAGTTTGGACTACGGCTTCGCCGCCGTTGCGGGACAAGGCCAAGGTGGCCCGGGTCAGGTTGAGGATCACCAGCAGGGCAAAAGGCACGAGGGGCGCCATCCGGCCCAGCCGAAGGGCGTCTATTCCAGAGCCATCCGTTTGGTTGTCGATGACACGACTAGCCTGTGGGACAAGCCGGCGCTGCCGGAATGGGAGTGTGACAGCGGCAAGTCTCGGACCTCGAGGGACGGAAGTGACGTCCATCCGAAAGATGCGACCAAGGTCAAGAGACGGCAGAACATCCATGTCGTCATCGTCACCCATGGTCTGCACAGTAACCTGGGGGCGGACATGCTCTACCTGAAAGAGAGCATTGATGCCGCTGCGAAACAAGCAAGGGAGGAGGCGCGCAAGCGGAGGAGAGCGACTCGAAACGGCGACTCATCCAAAGCATCCCCAACTCCCGGGACCCAGGCAGACGGAGGCGATCTGCAAGACAGCTCGACTGCCCCTCTTTCTGGCGGCCAGGAAGATCTTCCCGAGGAGAGCGCTGAAGATGACGACCCTGATGAGGAACAAGTTGTTGTTCGAGGATTCGCTGGCAATGCCGTTCGTACGGAGCGGGGCATTCAGTATCTGGGCAAAAGGCTTGCCAAATACATTCTGGGCCTAACATACCCGGACCAGCCCTATCTTCCCGTAAAGAAGAGTATGAAGCACAAGATGTCCAGCACGTTCTCGGCCTCGAAGGCTCCAGCTGATGAGGGCATACCAGCACACTCCGGGAGCACTGTGCAACATCAACATCATCATCCCAAGCATGACGACCGAGCTTACAAGTTCACAAGTATCAGTTTCGTCGGGCACTCGCTCGGAGGTCTCGTGCAAACCTATGCTATAGCATATATACACAAACATTCTCCCGAATTCTTCCATAACATCAAGCCTGTCAACTTCATCTGTATGGCTTCGCCGCTACTAGGACTGAGCAATGAGAATCCAATGTACGTCAAGTTCGCTCTCGACTTTGGCCTCGTTGGCCGCACAGGACAAGACCTGGGACTCACTTGGAGGGCCCCAACTATTGCGCGAGGTAGCTGGGCAGCCATGGTCAGCGGTTTTGGTACCGCCCAAAAGGAGACAAAACCCGAGGACCCCGGTGCCAAACCTCTGTTGCGCATTCTTCCTACTGGCCCCGCCCATCAGGTTCTGAGGATGTTTCGAAATCGCACTGTATATTCAAATGTTGTGAATGACGGAATAGTGCCTCTCCGGACGAGCTGCCTGCTCTTCCTTGACTGGAAAGGTCTTGGCAGGGTGGAGAAGGCTAGAAGAGAAAATGGCTTGGTCGGCACACTGGCAAGCTGGGGTTTCGCAGAGTTGACTGGCCAGAACTCGTCCCCAAATCCGTCAAGATTGGCATTCGACCGGGATGAGGACGACAGCGGAACCAGCACTCCGATTGGTGGTAACAACGACGCAACTGTGCCGCAACCCGCCGAAGATGCTGTCAATCAAGACCAGACGGCGACTACTACTGGCGAACCGCAGGCAAACCAGTTCCTGTCCGAACAACAGATGCAAGCTGTCCAAGAGGCAACCTCACCCTCATCTCCTCGCAAAGCAAGTGCGCCTAGCACTTCAACAGCGAAGACTCCCGGCGCGTCGAACCCTTTTAGTGGATTCATAAGCTATCTTAAAGGCGCGACTACGACACCGAAGGATAAGAAAATGTTCAAGAGAAGCCAGACAGTACAACAGATACCAGAATCAAGCCCGACGTTGGACACGGCGGAATCATCGCAGCCTTCACACGGGCGGCCTCTTGCTTCCAGAGGGGACTCCACTATCAACAACGAGCTCGCTCCTCCGAAAACCACAATCTTTGAATCAGCCGGTGATATTCTTAACCCTCCAATCCCACCGATTGACTGGATAATCGATCCTTCTACCCGCTCTCGGACCATCTTCCACGACCGTATCTATCATCCGGAGGACATCCCCGCTCCGCCAGTGAAGAGGCCCAAGGGTTTAGCACGGTCCTTTTCCTCCGATCACAGCATCACCAGTGTTTCGACGACCGATTCGACCGAATCAAGCAGTGGGATGCGGGTGGAAGAGAAGATTGCGCGGTCATACCACAAAGATCTTTCGTGGCGCAAGGTGCTCGTACGACTGGAGCCTGATGCACACAACAATATTGTGGTACGGCGGATGTTTGCAAATGCATATGGGTGGCCTGTTATCAAGCATTTGTGTGATACTCATTTTGCAGATACTTACGCCGCACGCACACGTGACGAGAGAGAACCTGCCATTGACCGAGCACAGCGGACAACTGCTGTCATCACTTCGGACGGGGAGGAAGTGGAGGGCCAGCGCGCCAAGGGGCCCCCACCTGTCTCGCCTTCGGAGATGCGTGAAGCTTCTGACGAGCTTGCTCCCTTACGGGACGACAGCATTGCGAGTGAGGGCGCTGGTAGTTCTAGCCAACATCACCACGACCATTTGCATTCGTCCCACACCGGTGGCAAGACATTGCGTCGAGAGGACAGCTCCCTTTGGGACGACACTTATTTCGAGGGCACCGAAGACGAGTCGGACGTCGACGATGACGAGGCGCAGGACAACCGAGGCTACTTCCAGCGCTTCCTCTCGCCAGCGCCGCAAGGCAAGAACCGGAAGAAGCCAGCACCCACCAGTGCCCCGGATCCAGCCAGAAGAAACAGCGAAGACCGTTCTCAAGCGGGGACGAGCTCCGCTGACATCGCAAGCTTCCTGGAAGCAAAGGCGCCGACTTCCGAAGTCGTCGTTGAGGGGCACAGGGGGCTTAGTCCGGTCATCACTCCGAAGGAGAGGCCCATGAGCTCGGGGTCTGTCGACAAGGGAAAGACCGCTGCGACCGGTCCTTCCACACATTCGGCACCTCATCCGGAAGACGTGCCATTACCAAGCCCATCCGGGACCACGATCGCCCCAGGTGTAGTTGCTGAAGTAGGATTGCGGAAGAGCATTGAGGAGCAGATGGGCAGCCCAACAGCAGCAGTAGTAGACAGACGCGGTAGTGATGCAGCAGGCACTGCCAGTGTTACAGAAGAAGTCGCAAAGGCGTTGGTTGTCGCCGGATCTTCCGAACAACCGCAGCAACAGTCATGATGATATACGGGCGGGCACTTTGGCTTCAATTTTCATTCGTTCCCTGTTTTTGTACGTGCGCTTGATACCAAGGCTAGGGCGGGCTGGTACTAAGAATAAGGGGCAATCATTCGGGCGTTATGTATTCACGTATTCTAGAGAAGACGGGTAAACGTAAGAGCAACTGGTTTTTAGTGGATCTAAGTAAATTTTGATAATGAATTCTCCCGCCCAGATTGTAGTGTCTTAATACAGATTTCTGAGACATTTACAGTGATTCAAGAAATAACGCCGGAAACGTAGCTGTGAAGGTCGTCTTGCCTTCAGTAGCTGAGATATCATCCTACCACCCAAACGACCAAAAGATCAACACAACGCTTGACACGCTTGCCGCCTAACCAGGACATTCAAATCTACGCTGGTTGTTGCAAATGCGGCATGATACCACTGAACTTGACTCAACGCTTCGAGTCTTCTGACATGGACGATGCCGTCCCGGGTCTGCCGTCGATGCTGTTTCTCCGACCCCAATTGCGGGGCTGCCTCTTGAGGAAGGCGCCAACGGAGCCGAGGTAACCTTCGTGTCTTAGGAAGTAAGCTTGCTTTTCCCCCTTGGACCAGAACTTGATGGCGTAGGACAGGGTGTGCATGGTTTGCGGGTGACCGCCGATGAATGATCCGCCGAAGTAGATGTGCTCTAGGTTGTGCTTTTCAGCATGAAGGTAGGCGATCTGACCGATATTGTTGCTGGAATTCTTGTCAGCATGCGGTGTAATAGATAGCACGGATTGGGGTATATATGCGTACCTGACAGCGTACAGGAGACTCTTGCTGACGTCTTCTGGCCTGAACGTCCTCCCATACTCGTACGAAGACTCCTTGAGATTACCGGTGTCTTCCGCCTCCTGCTCGGCCTGGCGCTTCATCTTATAGACCTTGCCGAAGCTGCTGGCGATCGTGGTGCTCTTGAGACCAATCTTACCGTAGTCGGTGCCGTAGATATCTCCGACGAGCATGTCGACTGCAGTGTTGTCTCCTTGCTCAGCAAGTCTGAGCATGTCCTCGAACGTCCGCGCGCCGGTGAGCAAGGAAAGCAGGCCCCAGAGCGTTCCACCGCCCAGCGAAGTGCCTCCTACACGCTCGTACTGTCGCGGGCCGGACACCTTGACCATTGACACGCCGGAGCCGATGTTGACCAGCAAGTAGGGGTATATGTTGGGGCGGGCTGCGATGAAGCGCATTGGCTCCTCTTGGCTGTAGGTGAAGACCTCGTGGGGAATTTCGGTGATAAAGAAATCGAGACCTGAGGCGCATGTCAGCATTCGACTGCGCGAGGACTGCGAAAAGGGGGCGCACCTATGATGAGGCACTCCATCTCGTCTTCTCTCACCACCTCTACCTCCAGAGCGCCCTTGATCTGGTCATAGTACTTGAAGGCGCCTCCGCCGGTGGCCATGACGCAGAGATCCGAGGGTCGCGAGCCATTGATGATTTCATACTTGAGCTTCAGCTTGCGCAGGAAGTCAATACATTCGTCGATGCGGGCGGTCTCGAATTTCAGAAAGTTCAAGCGGCCGCCCAGTTCCTTGGACGTGGGATCGCGCGAAAAGTAGACCAGCTTGGCCAGCGATCCGCCAATCTGCATGCGCACACGGTCAGCGAGCTGGATCAGGGCGCGCGGAGCGCAAAGGGAGGCTCACGTCGACTGCGATGTGGCTGACGACAGCAGTGTGGTTGGGCAGGCGGATGTCCTTGGAGCCGTGCTCATGCTCGTAGTCGCTCTCGGGCGACTCGGGAGTGCGCGGCTCGTCGTCGACTATGAATGCGCCCTGGACGTTGATGTAGACGTTGCCCGGGTGCTTGATTGTGGGGTCGTCGTGCAGGTGTGCGGCGTCGTGCGACAGCGAGGGCGACATGGTGGTGAGCTGCTGGACTTTGCGCTTTGCTTGGTCGGCGGCGGCGAGGAGTCTTGTTCGTAGGCTGGCTATCGAAGGCGATGCGACCGGTGACGGCGAGGAGCAGGCCGGAATGACGGCGGGCGAGGGACGCGATGGCTGTGCGAGGTTCATCTGTCGGGCGTTGGGCGACTAATCGGCGACTTTGCTGAGGGCTGGCGGGCGACGGCTGCTGTGCAACAGGCGACGCGTACGAGGTAGAAATTGCTCTGGCGATCCATCTCCTTCTGTCCGATAGTCGGTTGGTGAAAGAACCATTGTACCTACGGCTACGGTGCAGTGTTGAGCACAACCTCGGACGTGCGCCCCGTCCGCTGCGGGCTCTCCGCACCCGAGGCCCCAGGCGCGGTCCGTTCGGCGAACCCCTCGCTCCCCATCATCATCGCCCTCCACGAGCTCATGCCCTGGCCCAGTCCGACCAGTGTCCCAACCAAATCTCGCCTCACCGCCTGCTGGTTTAGTGCTCACCCGATGCCGGGCTTGCCCAATGCGATGGTCCGAGCCGCCTCTCCGAAGAGTCCGATGCTGGTATCACTTTTAGCTGCCATAAATAGTAATCGTACAGCTGCTCTATCCCGAACAAATCCAATCCGCAAGCCGTGCCAGAAACTCCGCGAGCTCCAAACCATCCCCCCCAGATCCCTTTTTACATGCAAACGTCTCTGATTCCCGACGGTCCCTGGTCGTTGTAGTCCGTCCTCGTCATGTAGCCCTGGCCCAGTCCTTGGTCTACAATGAAGAGCACCTTTGCTGCCACCTGCGCTCCGAGGAACACCGCCTCGTCCATGCCGACATCCTTCCACTCCGGGAAGTATTCTGGCGCCTTGACCAGCTTGATGCTGGTCGGCGACTGTCCGTGGCCCGAGTGCGTGTTGTGCGAGTGCATTCCGCTCATCGGGCCTGGTGTTGAGCCTTGGCTGGCATGCATCATCTGCGGGTTTTGTGCTGTTGTAGCTGCGTAAAGCAGCGGGTTGACTCCGCTGCCCGTCGGCTGGCCAAGTCCTGGATGCTGGGGTGTATTCGCGCCCGTTGCCGTGGGAGTCGAGAGATTCGAGGGAAGCTCGGATGTGAAGATGGTTGCCGATGAAGGAGAGATCAGATATTTGGTGTGAAGCATCGCAACGAGAGCCTCCTTGAATCCTAAATGAACTCATTAGTATATGCAGTTTGAAAAGGGCGCAGCACGCTTACCTCGAATCCTGGCTCCGTTTCCGACAATGATCAGAGAATCCCATAGCTCGCTACGCTTGTTGACCTCGTCTACGGCGGAGACTGTGCGATGAATGGTATCCGCCAAACACTCCAAAATACCACCAGTTGCGGCCTGGAAGCGCTCCACCCCAACCTCGATTTCTCGACGGATCGGACCACGAGTGCCGGAAGGTGCAGATGCTGTGCCGTTGGTCTCGACGCCCGTCATCGCATCGCCATCATTGTCTGCCTTCCGGTGGGAACCTTCGTCTAGTGCTGCTGCCGCGTCCGCCAACTGCTGGCCACTGGTAGTGTCCTTGAGGGCATTGAGCAGAGCATGGTCCTCGTACAAGAATGTTGCCTTTTCTCGTTTGGCATTCGGCAAGCGCACTGGCTTGTTCGCCGCCTCCTTGGCAGCATCAGCACCCTTCTTCTTCGCCGCAGCCTTTTCTTGCTTCTCCTTCTCCTTCTTGGCCAAGAGCTCGTTCATCTTGCCACTTGTGACGATACTCGCCACATCGAGTACACCCTCGCTCTCTTCGTCTTCCTTCGCTTCATCGCCAACCTCAGTATCGGCGCCAGGACCGCGGGGAGCGTTGCCAATGGTGGCGGCGGCATCAGGACCGGAGCTTGCCGCACCAGTCGATGCCGCAGCAGCAGGATTCGTGACACCGTCGCCACTGTTTTCTCCGGAGCCTGGCAGTGGGGTGTTCGGGGGTAGGATTTCACAGATGGCATTCTTCTTCAACTGCTCGCACATTTCCCAGTTGAAACCCTTGGGCTTCAGCAGTTCCAGAAGCCGCCGCGTCATGGCGTCTCCTCCACATTCGGACACAGAAATGGCCCTGCCAGTCTCATGCATTATGAAGTCGCTGATGGCAGTAACATCGGCCTTTTGGTAGCCTACGTCGACAACGGTGGCGCTCTGAGTGCCGTAGGCATAGGCGATGGCGGTTGCCGAGTCCATGATGGTAAAAGCGGGCATCTTGAACTTCTCAAAGAAGAACTGAGTGAGCCTCTCTTTCTCCTTGGGAGTCCACGCCGGCTGGCCAACCAGCAGGATGGGCGTATGAAAAGGCGGGTTTAGAGTGTTGTAGACGTGGGTCATGAGGGCGAAAAAGCAAGCCCAATTGACGATGCGGCCCTCGACCATTGGCCACACGGCGCCCTCGTCGGAATCGTGGTCCTCCTCGTAGATTACATCGTCGTCGGACTCAGCCTTTTGCGCGTCGGCAGCGTCAAGCTTGGCGCCGTCCTTTCTGCGGACCTTGTAGGGCTCCCATTCTCCATCCTTCTCGGCAGCGAACATGCGCGACTTGATGCGCAGGCGGGCGGGAGTGAGCGACTCAGGAAGGCCGAGCTGGGCGAGGGTGGTGTGCGAGCCGGGCGCGATGATCTGGAAGCCGGTTAGCCTGGAGGTGCGCAACAAGCAGGGTAGACGCACGATGAGCTGTTCATCTTTGAAGGGCGGCATGGTTGCGGGGCCGCGGAGGCGTGGGAGAGCAGGGTGGAAGGCGGGCGAGAGAGAGTCGCGATGCGCGAGGTCGCGTCGGCGAACGAAAGTCGTGGCTGCTGGTGGTCCAAGCTCGGGAGTGGCCGGGGTCGTGGAGCTGTCAGTCTCGCAAGCTTGTGACGCCCGCCGCGAATATCCACTTCACCGGTCATGTCTGCAACCTGCCTCCCGCCATAGTAGCGGTGCCTCCCTCCTGGTCCTGTCGTCGGTCTCGTCTCTCCGCGGCGGGCGCACCCTCCGCCATGTCTTCCAGCATGGCTTTGAACGCCTCCCAAGCCGCCACCGCCGAACTTCAAGCCGCTTCCTCCAACTTCGGCCTCCTCGCCCGTGTGCTGCTTGGGACGGTGAAGGTCATTCCCGGCGTGCTCTACTGGATCATCACCTTCACCACCATCACCCTGCCGACATGGATCTTCACCCTGGCCTCGATGAGCTTAACCGTCACCATGAACGCGACTACGCTGTGAGTTCCCCCGAGCTTGCGACGCCCCCCAGACTAACCCAACGATAGACTGTTGCTGTTCCTGGCCGTTGGCTCCACCGTCAGCTGGTTCGTTCGCTATCGCTTTCTGAACATGTACACTCGCTTGCCTCCGGAGCCGCAGCGCGAAGAGCCCCACGTCGAAGTTTTCCCCGACACTCAGGAGGGCGATTCCAAGCGCGGTCTGTCCAACTATCTTGATGAGTTTCTCAGTGCCATCAAGGTTTTTGGCTACCTCGAGCGGCCCGTCTTCCACGAATTAACTCGTACCATGCAAACTCGCAAGCTGATAGCCGGCGAAACGTTGCTGCTGGAGGAGGAAAAGGGCTTCTGTCTGGTTGTTGATGGCTTGGTTCAGATCTTTGTGAAATCCAACCGTGATGACACCGTCCTTGACTCGGGCGTCTCGGAATCCAGCTCTGATGATGAAGACGGGGACACTCGTGGACATCAGCAGGGTTACCAGCTCCTGACCGAGGTCACGAATGGCGCCCCTATGTCATCTCTCTTCTCGATCCTGTCCCTGTTCACTGAGGACATCAAGCTCCGTCATGATGAGGATCAAGGCATAGACTCTGCTCCGCCTACTGCTGGAGGCCCTCGCCTTCAGCGTGCAGACTCGCAGCCCTTCACCGGCACACTCACTCCCCAGTCCGAAAACTTCACCAACAGTCCGCAACAGATGCCTCCGATGTCTCCCAGATCTGAGCTTAGCGACGCTCGTCGTGCTTCTACCATAGCCAGTCCTACTGCCGGCGGCCGGCTCCCCCGAGTGCCTTCTCTTTCTCTTGATACTGATCAAGCCCATGGACTCGATCAGAGCACGGCTTCCCGTAAAGCTAGCGAGTCCAAGCCGAGAAAGCAACCCAAGTCTGCTCATCCTGATATTGTTGCAAGAGCTACCGTTGATACTACCATTGCCATCATCCCGGCTACTGCTTTCAAGCGCTTGACGCGTATCTATCCAAGAGCAACTGCACATATCATACAAGTCATTCTCACTAGGCTTCAACGTGTCACTCTGTCAACCGGTCATGCTTATCTGGGACTGACCAGTGAAGTGCTTCGCATTGAACGTCTGATGAACAAATACACAACCTACGATCTTCCGGGATTTCTCAGAGATGCGGCCCTTCAGAGGCTGAAAGACAAATTTTTAAAGGTCGGTTTGCCATTGCATGAGAAAAAGCAATGCTGACCAGCCCCTAGGAACGAGAACGCATAGGTGACGAAGACGGAATGAAAGGAATTGCTCTTCACAACCCCGCTACTCATCGGAAAAGGTCCGGAAGTGGTTTGAGGAGAGAAGTGCATACTCGACTAGCTCCAGTTCGTCCGACTTCTGCAGCACCGACCGAGCCAGCTCCTAGGAGAAGTGCTACCATGAACCCTCAAGCTTCACAAGAGAACGTTAGCGCCGGTAAGTGAGGTTCTGGCGATGCGATTCTTTTGCTAATTTCATGCAGGTGACTTGTTGACGAACCATCATGTGCCACGAAATAGCCGTGGACGTCTGGGTAGTTTCTCTCAACCATTCACTCCGCCTCCTCTTAGGCGCGATGGGCGTACTCCCTTGGATTCCGGGTCATTCAACCCGTTTGCTTACACCAGTGCCCGCATTCCTCTTCAACGACAAGAATCCATGGATGAAGATGCTTTCTTCCGTGAATCCGTCCTCGACTGCATGTTGAAGGCTATTGGATTGACCAACACCCGGAACGTTGTCCCCAAGACGGATTCTGTGGAACAATCCCCTCGACTTGTTTCATTCGACTCCAAGCGTCAAAAAGCGGTCTTTAGCAATGCCTTCGGATTCCTCGACCCTTTTGAAGGATCTGTCGATGCAGACACGGAATCAGTTGCCTCTGTTCCTCTTTCCGCTATCAGTGCCACCAACAGCAGAAGCATTCATGAGGAACTGGTCAACGACGTTGAAATCGTCTTTTTCCCCAAGGGTTCGGTTTTGGTTGAGCAGGGCGAACGCAATCCAGGTCTTTACTACGTAATTGATGGGTTCTTGGACGTGGGCATGCCGGTTGATGAAAAGGAAGGCGATTCTGATTCCCGAGGCATGTTCCCTAACGACCACACCTCCGGACTGGACATTGGGGACCTGTTTGGCACCAACCTACACAAGACTCCAACTAATTCCACTCTCGGTGGCACCACGCGTGAGGCTGGAAAAAAGAAGAAGCAACACCGCAAAAGCCTGTTCCTCACAAAGCCTGGCGGTCTGGCGGGGTACTTGGGCACCGTCTCTTCTTACAGGTCTTTTATCGATGTTGTCGCCAAGACCGATGTCTACGTTGGGTTCTTGCCGCGCGCTTCCATTGAAAGGATCGCAGACAGGTATCCGGTCGTGTTGTTGACCATGGCCAAACGCTTAACGACTCTCCTTCCGCGTATGATCCTGCACATTGACTTTGCTCTGGAATGGGTTCAAGTCAACACAGGACAGATCATCTACAACCAAGGCGATGAAAGCGATTCGATCTACATCGTCTTGAATGGTCGTCTGCGTGCAATTCAAGATACGCAAGATCAGGGAATGAAGGTCGTTGGCGAGTACGGTCAGGGAGACAGTGTCGGAGAGCTTGAAGTCTTGACGGAATCAACAAGGCCTGCGTCGCTGCATGCTATCCGCGATACCGAAGTTGCCAAATTTCCAAAGACCCTGTTCAACAGTCTTGCTCTCGAGCATCCCGGAATTACCATCAAAATCTCGAAGATCATCGCCAGCCGCATGCGGTCGTTAATGGAGATGCCACTGCACGACGCAGCAGCTGAACGCACGTCCGCTGTCAAGAACAATGTCTCGTCTACCGCCAACCTGAGAACAGTTGCGGTTCTTCCCGTTACTGGAGGAGTACCTGTGGTGGAATTCGCCAGCAGACTTGTCAATGCTCTTCACCAGACCGGTTTACCCAACAGGGTTGTGTCGCTCAACCAAGCTGCCATCTTGAATCATCTTGGAAGACATGCATTCAGCCGCATGGGTAAACTCAAGCTGTCACAGTATCTTGCCGACCTTGAGGAAAAATACAGCATGGTTCTTTACGTGGCCGACACCAATGTCAAATCTCCATGGACGCAGACTTGCATCTCTCAGGCGGATTGCATCCTCATTGTCGGTCTTGCAGAAGGTTCGCCAACAATTGGCGAGTATGAGCGCTTCCTCTTGACTACGAAGTCCACGGCAAGAAAGGAGCTTGTTCTCCTTCATTCAGAGCGCTACTGTCGACCTGGCCTGACGCGCAAATGGCTTCGTAACCGCATGTGGATCAACGGCAGTCATCACCACATCCAGATGTCCTTCCGCACCGCCCCTGAACCCATCCATCCTACCCACCGAAGATTTGGTACCGCGCTCAAACACCGCGTCCAAGTGTTGCAGGCTGAGATCCAGAAGTACACGTCAAGACGTGTGCGCCAAACTCCCCTTTACTCTGCCGACACCCATCACAAAGGCGACTTTCACAGACTTGCCCGCCGTCTATGTGGAAAATCTGTCGGATTGGTTCTTGGAGGTGGTGGCGCCAGAGGTATCGCGCACATCGGTGTTATTAGAGCAATGGAGGAAGCTGGGATCCCCATCGACATTGTCGGGGGTACCTCGATCGGCAGCTTTGTCGGTGCACTCTATGCCTGGGATGCGGATGTTGTTCCCATGTATGGCCGGGTCAAGAAGTTTGCAGGGCGCATGGCCAGCATGTGGCGGTTCGCCTTGGATCTGACATATCCATCGTAAGTCTCCATTTCCGGTTTTTTTAAAGAAAAAAAATCTCTAACTAACGGCACAGCGCCTCGTACACCACTGGCCACGAATTCAACCGCGGAATATTCAAGACATTTGGAAACTCGCAGATTGAGGATTTCTGGCTGGAGTACTACTGCAACACGACTAATATCTCACGCTCGCGCGAGGAAATCCACACCTCTGGTTACGTATGGCGGTACGTCCGCGCATCGATGAGTTTGGCAGGTCTCGTCCCCCCGCTCTGTGACGAGGGCAACATGCTTGTCGACGGCGGCTACGTCGACAACCTTACCGTCGCACACATGAAGCAGATGGGCGCCGACACCATCTTCGCCGTCGACGTCGGCTCGCTTGACGACGACACGCCCCAGCAGTTCGGCGACAGTCTCTCTGGCTTCTGGGCCCTCCTCAACCGCTGGAACCCCTTCAGTGCCCACCCCAATCCGCCCACCCTTAGCGAGATCCAGGCCCGTCTGGCATACGTCAGCAGTGTTGACGCTCTCGAGCGCGCCAAGAGTATCAAGGGCTGTCGCTACATGCGGCCCCCGATTGACGCATACGGCACGCTCGAATTTGGCAAGTTCGACGAGATTCACGACGTTGGGTACAAGTTCGGCAAAGAGTTCCTCGCCAAACTACGCGAAGAAGGCGAGCTCGGCGGCGTCGAGGAGGGCGAGAAGGAGCGCCAGCTGCGCAGAACCATGGCCCCTCGGAGAGCCAGTATCTAGTCACAACCGTGATGAATGATAAAGGTCCGCATTTGCTGATAGCGTTGATGCATGGATCGGGAGACTCGTGCTTTCTGGTATGCTTTGCTTTGTAGAATACGCTTCCCTTTCCTTGCACTCTTCCTCTGTAAAGTCTAGAAGCAAATATCTAGACATACACGCCAATTTGAAGATTGCACGAATGTATGCAGAGGGAGACTGCTGGACACGTAAACTTTCGTTGAGCGATGCGGAATCATCGTGAATATCACGGCCGAACAGTATAAGCTCGGGGCGAATGAAGAGACAGGGGTAAGAAATACGTAGATGACCTCAATTTATAACTCGCTCAGGATGCTGCGGGAGAATTATTGATTTAGGGAACTACTCATGGGCAGGATTGAATGAAACAGTTCCAACCTCCAAGGCCCCGATGCACTATCTCCTCCGCGACGCAGATCCACTCTCACCTCCACTGCCACCTCCACTTGGCTTAGCGCATTCCTTATTAGGGAATTTGCCATCTATCATTCCTCGCTAACATCCAACCACTAATGGTGTTGATTTTCCGGTCAATAGATAAGCTCCAATAAGCGTGTAGGGAGGTGGGAGTGGATCTGCGTCGCGGAAGAGATAGTCTAAATGGAGGGTGGATGCAACCCATATTTCCCATCCGCTAATTCTAAGCTTCGGAAATATCGTCTCCAGCGTCTGCATTGTCTTCGTACAAACCGAGATCAATGGATTGAGTGGCACCGCCTTGTGTCTACAGCGTGTGCTCCCTCGTTAGCATGGGTTTGCCAAAGAGTGTTGGGGACTAATCACAACCTCGTCCGCATAAAGTCCGTCACAGGATGTTCTCGTGACTATCACTCAGGAAATTTTAAAACGAATGATTCAAAAAAAAAAAAGGAAGCTTGATGGAGCTTTTATTCTAGGATAAATTCTATGCTTCTGCAGAATATAACTCAGGATCCTATCGGCATCGAATTCAAGTCTCTATGTCTACTCGGTAGTGAGCGAACCGCCCGCGGTATCACATCCCAATAAATTCATCCGTTTGCAATGTCCACTCTATTGGTGGTACCGATGCACCTCACCCTCCTGCACGATGCCCTCGCCGGCCATGGCAATCTGCCTCTCCCTCCTCTTGATCTTCCTGTTCAGCCACCAGTACTGCAGATTGGCCAGCACGGCAAAGACCAGGCCGACGCTGGTCAGGGCGACAATGGAGGTCCATCCCGTCTCGTACAGCGGCTTGTCGCTGCTCTGGAACAGCTGGCCGCCGACGATGCCGGCGGCGTTGGCGGCCATGATGAAGAGGGCCATGGTGATGCTGCGCTCGCCGGCGGTGCGGGCGTTGAGGGCGAGCCAGGAGCCGTTGACGGCGTGGTAGGTCATGGAGAAGGAGAGGGCGAGGGTGAGGACGGCGTAGCGGGCGTGGTTATCTTCGCTGTGGATGAGGGCGCGGTTGGCGATGGTGACGGCCCACCAGATGAGCACGCCGAGCAGCACGAGCGGACCGCGCTGCCCGAAGTGGTCCGCCATCAGGCCCCAGCAGACGTTCATGACCAGCGCGATCCAGCCGCCGACCGAGACGAGCGCGTTGGAGACCAGCCGGCCGTAGCCGAAGGAGCTGACGAGCGTGGGCGCGTATGAGTTGAGCGTGTTGTTGGGCGCGATGGCTGTCAGTGTGAGCAGGAGGTGGGGATACACCTTCCAGTTCGAAAGCTATGAGGGTCAGTGATGGCTCATGATATGCTGAAGGAGGGAAATGATTACAGCATAACGCAGCTCTGCCCAGTCAATCCACTTCTTTTTCTGCAGTTTGCGCGGGTCATCGAAGATTATTCGGCGGCGGAGGATGTCGGCTTCGCGCTCGGTGAAGTAGCGGAATCCAAAAGCGCTCTTGGGCTCGAAAAGACTCTTGGGGAATAGGACAGCGAACAGAACCCCGACCATGCAGGTGAAGAGCCCCTCGATCTACACACATTAGTCTATAGGGAGCGAAGGGCGGGCGTGGAGAAGACTTACAATGAAAAGCCACTGCCAACCGGCAAGGTTTGCTACTCCTCTCATATGCAGACTAAGCTGTCAGCACTCGACCGTAACGGCGCCATTTGTCCAAACTTACATTCCATAGCCAATCAGGCCGCTGCTCGCAACAGCAGTTAAATTACCCAGGAAGAAGATGGAGAAGCGTTTGCTCGTCTCATTTCTCTTGTAAAACATGGAGATTGTGTAAAGACCGGCAGGGATGAAGCCAGCCTCACATAAGCCAAGCAGAATTCTGGTAACCATGAAAGCTGCCAGACCCTTTTGGAAGGCTTGGAACGTCGCAACAAGCCCCCTGGTATGGCGTCAGTCGGCCCAAGGCGTGTCGTGATTGGCTTCCCCAGACTTACCAGGCAAAGATTTGGCCACTGATCCATTTTTGCGGGCCGATCCGGTAGAGAATAAGGTTGCTTGGGATCTGTGGATGCTTAGCTCCAAGCCATACTACTTCCGGGGGTCGTGGCAATACCTCCAAGATGACGATGCCGGCCGAGAGCAGCTGTTGGCCAACGTTGAACTGGAATTGCGTGATACCCACGTCCTCCATGAAGTAATCGGTCAAGGCATTACCACGGTTGGGGCGTCAATACGAGAAGCACAGACTGCGAAGTGGAAGCACATACATGTTCCCCCGGTCTAATTGGAGAGCGTAGAAGCCAAGCACCAGTAAGGGCATCACAACCATATCCAGCCTGGCGGCGTCAGCTCGGCACGGCACGCAAATCCAAGGCAGCATACTTTCGGACCAGCTTCTTCTCCTCCTCAGCAGTCCAGTCGATCTCATCGTTCTCGCCGAGCGACGGGCTCTGGTCTTGAAGATAGTCGGTTACCGGCTTCTTCTCGAAGGGGTCGTCTGCAGGGCGGGAGGCGGGATCATGAGAAAATACCATCTTGGCTGGAAAGCAGCGGCTCGAAATCAGACGATTCGTCCTTGGGCGAGAAAATGGAAGAGGCAGCTGCGGGCCAAGCGCGCGAGAAGGACTCGACGCGGCGGGACACGGCAGCCCTTAAAAAAGACATGGCTTCGCGCAGAGCATCAAATCTGGGTCCATCGGACTCGCGGCCTGATATGCCCTCTGCTGGGGGCCTGCCATCTTCTTGCATGCTGCGGTAACCAGACTCGCGACGGGGTTCGGTAGGGCAGGATGCGACCGGGCAGCGAAGCGGCTCGTGTGGGGCGATTGCGCATGCGAATGAAGCACCGGGGCAAGTTTGGCGGCAGATCTGGTCTACGGGACGGGCAGAGGTGCAGTTGCAACGCGTCCGCCGAAGTCAGACTAAGGGGACGTGTCGAATGGGAGCGTGACGTACCCCTGTAAACTCTCGGACCAGCCAATCAGCGCCGTCGCCCCGGCTTGATGCCATCTGCAAGACGACTTGCGTGCTGAGCACAACATCGCCCAATTCAATTTTGCTGACGCCGCTTGCTGCTGCTATTCAATGCCTCGAGCCAAACACCCTTGCTGCGACCAGAAAAAATACCCCCCGTTTCAGTACGCAGGGCTGCTTCCTCTGAATACACCCGACAGTAGAATTCATCGTCCAATGCATCCGTTGGACACCAACTTGCCAATATTCACTAACTGCGACATGATTGTTCAACTAATAGATGGGGTGCACCTCTCACATTTCTTACAACTCAGCAACCGACGCTTGGGAACCCCATCTCTTAAAGTGTTCCTTGATAATACAGAGATCCTAGTAATTCTACTCAAGAAAACATCGTCACTGCTTTATATAATCACGCACGTTAGCGTGTCCGTGAATCAGGCCTCCACAAGAACCCACTTTGTCAACCTGACAGGCTGCTTGCCCCCAAGCTACAGCAGTCATCATGATACTAAGCATGATAAACGTAAGCGGAGGGAGACCAGAAGCTCAAGCGTTACCCAATATGCCGCGGTCGCCGCGGAGTTATTTTTTTGTAACGAGCTTCTCTTACGCAGCTTGCAAGCCAGAACGCTCTTCCTCGATGGCGTGGCGTGTAAATCCGCTTCAACTTCACCGACTACCATCTCCCCTGTTTCAGCGATCCAATCCTTGTCTTTCTACCGAGACATTGAAGCACCTTGATGTCTGGTCTCTCCTCTGGTCGAAGTAAGAATGCAACTTTCTTCAAGCGTAGTATAAAAGATGCCATTACCTGGATATGCATTGGGGCACACTTTATCCTTAAGGGATAACACATCTGCCGTACAATCACAAAAATATAGAACCAAGGTTGAGCGGTGCCAAAAATAATATAATATGATACCAGAAGAAGAGAGTATATAATCAGGACACACAACATAATCCGAGATCGAGGGAGCATTTACAGAAACTCATTAGACATTTCCACCAAAAGAGCAGAGTGAAGAAAAAGTCACGATGACGCCCATATGCACTTCCAGATCAATCCCCCACCACAAAAACGCCCCCAAACCAATGATATTTTCACCTCCTGGCGGCCTCAGCAGCCTGCTGAGCCTGGAGCTGCTCCCTGATATTGCCGCCTACAGCCCTCCACCAGACGTCACGGCCCCAGCGCACCGCTCTCTCCGCCGCTTGACTGGGAGTGTCGATTGCCGGCCTGACATCGAGGAAGAAGACAGGCATGCCGTGCTCTGGCTCTCCCTCATAGTAGTCAATCACGTACCTCCTCTCCACAGTCTCGCCATTAGGCAGGTTCCTCTGCACAAACCAATCGTGCCTATCGAATGGTGGCTCCGCGTTGAATTGACTCGGCCAGACCTGACCCAAGAACTGCATCATTCGCGCCTTGGGAGTCAGTTCCCCGGGCCTGCCCATGAACCTTGTCAACTGCGGCGGCTGCACCTCCTTGTCGGGCCAGCTCTCAAGTAGCTCTCCCGCCAAGCTGCCCTCCTCGCCCTGCGCGCTCGCCTTCCACCCATGCAGAATGCCCTTGGAGAAGCGACGTTCCCACTCCAGGATCTCGGCCCACGCCCCCTCGTTCAGGAAGTTGTGCACCGCAACCATACTCTCGACCGCATCCTGCGGCGTGTCCGTATATCCTTTGCGCAGCATTGCATTGTACATCTGCTGCGGGCTGGGGTACTCCCAGTTGCCTCCTCCGTCGCCGCGGGGAATCGACGAAGCTTCGCGGTCGGTCGGGAGGTCGACAGTCTGGTGAGCTGCGCGCTCTTGCGACAGATTCGATGGCATGAAGTTGAGCGGGTTGAGCTTCTCGAGCAGCCCGGACTTAGGATGCGCTGGAGCGCTGTCGTCCTTCTTCTCCGGCGGGACGTAAGGACATGCACCCGTGGGGGCAGCCGAAGGCTTCGGTGGTGCGGGCGGTGCGGCACCTTTCTGGTGCATCGGACAACCGGGCTGAGAATGTTAGCACAGAGTTTGCGGATTTTCCCAACATGGAAGACCAACGGGTGGAGAGGCGTTGGAGGATCGAGGCATGGGATGCGGGGCGACAGGTGCCGCGGGCTCTGCATCTGCCCAAAACCAACCCATGGTGAATCAGTCGTGAAAAGGGTGAATTGGATGGGTAGAAGGAAAGAATCAAGACCGGCTGCTCGCAGATTGCTGTTTTGCGGCGAAAGTGAGGAAAGAAAGTTGCGGAGCAAGGGCCACGATGATGGCACGGAAGGCGCACTGGTCTCGAGCGGCCCCGACTCGCCTCCGGCTCCGATTTACTCGAGGCCGCTCGAAGACGGTATTATCACGCACACTGCGGCCACGAGCACATAGACTCACCCGGCTTCACCCATTCACTAGCAGTTTTCTAGCCCGAATTTTCCGACCTTCTTCAGCCTTGAATTTGCGCCACACATTCTTTAGCGTCTCTCAGTGAGTGGGATGTTATGAATTTTACGCTCGAAATAATCAAGCGCTGATTGGCTCTGCAAGCCGCTCGAACTCTTGTCTTAAAACACGTCTATCTTCTAATTACTTGCCTGAGCCTCTTGTCTAGCGCCGTGGTATGCATACATCATGTTCTATCTTGCATCACTTCTCTGAGGGGCCCATCCTTTCAACCACTCCCTTCCCTTCTGTATATCTCCTCCTTCCGCCTCCATTGCAGCAACGCACCACTCCACCCCATAACCACCTTTCCCACTCACATCCTCTTCTGCTGCCAACATCTCTGCCAAATTTCTCCTCTTCTGGCTTGATTCATCTGTACAGAAATGCATCGGCGTCTCCGGAGTCTCTCCCTCCCTCACCTGCAACTTTTCCAGCAGCGGTTTAATAAGCGGCAAGGCTTCTTTCATTGACAAGCCTGCCGGCTCAATGCCCTGGTTTTGGCGGCCGCTTTTGCACATCTCGTTCCGGCACCAATCCTTCCCACACCCCGTCGTCAATTGCGTGAGATATCTACGCTCCACACGTCTCCGCAACGCCTTGCCTTCTGGATCATACATGCTGACATAGAGCGGACCGAAACAGACTCCACAGAGTCCTATGTCGTTATCCGGACCCTGCACTTGGCCTAATTTGGTCGCGGCGCGTGTGTCGCCTGTCTTACTGGCGCCGTCGAGCGTTCGGCCGCAGTTGGCATTACGGCAGATGCGTGGCGCAGGACGACTGAGCTTCTCGAACTCATGATGTTTCAGATGAGTCGACATGTCGCGGAGACGAATAATCTTGCTGCAAAGATGGCATTCGGTCGTTCTCCCTCCATCGGCGAGTTCGTGCGGTGTGAGGTTTGAGAGGAGCGCTTCCGCATTCGGTTCATCCGGATCGCCTTCTTGTGGGACTTCAAGGTGGCAGAACTGACAGAGGATATGCTTTCCGGGACAAACTGTTGTCTTGTGATGTGCTAGTTGCGTCAGGGAAGTAAAGGTGCGGTCGCAGCTGTCGCAGCTATACGATTGATGGAACATGGCATCGTGTTTGGAATGGCTGAGAGCCGTATTGCCATGAAATGTGTCGTGTGGGCAGTGCCAGTGGTTCTGGAAAGCTTCTGAGCGCTTTTGGAAGACTTGGCCGCAACCTTGTGGACAAATTATATTGTTCCTCAAGCAAAAGTTTTCATGAAGGAACAAACTTCGTTCCGGCACCCACTGCTGACAGTTCTTGCACTGTACCTCACCAGGATTTGGTGGGGCAGCGTCTGAAGATGCCTGAGAGACCGGATTTTCCGCTTGGGGATCGAAAGGCATAGCGCGGATCTGATAGGTCTTCGGAGATTTTGTGGTAGATGCCTCCTCAGGAGTATAGGCGTGAACAGAAACCCACAAAGATTCGGCGTCTTCTAAGTCCACATTGGTCGGTCGTAGCCTTACTCGCTTAGGATACGTGCTAGAGACGTCTGCAAAGACATGCTCCTCTGCGCGCGGTCTAGCTCGTTGCCGAGGCCCAAATGGGCTGACATACAGGTCGAGCTCATCGTCCTCGTCCACTCCGCTCAGCTCGATCTCAACCCCTTGGGCTCGTATCCAGGATGGTATTTCGTAATCCACGTATTCGCCATCCAGGACCTGGCCGGGCTCAGTTTTCAACAGGTCCAGCTTTCCGCCACTTGAGCTGCCCCCTGTTGTTCCTGGCGCTTTTTGTGCTTTCGCAGCAATCTTCTTGAGTGTCTCCCTCGCTTGTTCTTCGTTCAAAGCTTCAATGTCCACCTCAAGGTCTGTATCCACCACACATATTCCGTCTCCTTCTGGCCTGAAGCCATCAATCAGAAATCGGAATTCCTCTCTTTTTCCTCCAACGCCGCGGCCGCCGGGTATCACTAATATCTCTCCGTTCGTCAACGTCGTAAAGTTTGTGCGCATGTGCTGTTCTAAAAGGGATTTCCAATCCGCAGGATCGTAACCGGCCTCCAGTGGGCGAAGCTTCACGAATGTGCCTTTCGGAAGTTGCTTGGCGTGTACGGTAATCCTCGGTCTGCTTTTGTCATTTATCGCAACGGCTGCCGCACCATTCGTCATGGCCGAATCCTCGTCGCTGGTGTTTCCACTGGAGGGCCAGCTACCCTCTTCACCGTCTGTCTCCACACCAAGAGACTCCCTTAGGAACTTGCTCAGCACAACTTCACCATCTTCCGCCGAGAATTCCCTTATACCAGCATATGCTGCCTTTCCATTGTCGGGGTTGACCAGCCGAAAGGTAAGAGGGTGTGGTAGCTGTTGCACACGGTCCTGGTACTGCAGCTCACGCGCGTGACGCTCGGCGGCGAAGGTGTGAGGGTTGAAAGGATCGAAAGTGGACGTATGCGCCTGGCTCGAGGATGTCTGCGCTAATGTTACGGGCGCGGCTGCCAGCAGCTGCTCGAGGGCGGAAGCCGGTAGCAGGAGCTTGTCTCCGGGGAGCTGTCGCGATTTGGACGGCGCGGCGACGTCGAACTGCGCGGACCACTGCAGAGGAGCGGGTTCTGCGGGATCGGAAGCCATATTGAATGCGAGAGAGATAGATGTCAAGGAGAGAAGAGCGCGCAGCGAAGCAGGCGAAGAAAAGGGAGCGTGGGCGCAGTAACTTCTCGAAAGTCTGCAATTGTAAGCACCGAGCGGCGGGTGACGCAGAAGCCACAGCTCCGATAAGATAGCCGGGCCCTGAAGGAGCTAGGCCGTTTACGGCAAGAGCGCTGGCTGGAGCGTCAGCCGGGATGACAGCATTGCTTGACATGATGATTGTCTGGTCGAACGACTCCCACGCACTCGTTGCGGTAGCTGCGTGTGCGTCGGCGCATATATTTGCTCGCATCTCGCTCTCCCTCTGTCTCAACAATTTCTCCTCTCCAAAGCCTTTCTCGTCCTTGCGCCTCACCAAGCACCCCTTCAATGGCTGCAGCTGCCGACGCCACCACACCTATCACGCTTTACCATCTGTTGAGTAACTCGCTTCTCTTGCGACAAATCGCACCCTACCTGCCCCCCGCATCCCTCTTCTCGCTCGCGCTTGCAAACCGGGCTTTCCAGGCGCTCGTCTACCACTCGCCTGATGCATTCCGCTACCTGGACCTCTCAACTCTAAAGTCCACCGCCATTGCAGACAAGCATGAGCCACTCGACCGCGGCGGCAACAACTGGCGCGCCGAGCGCATGGACGAGGCGCTGACCGAGGACGAGTTCTACTGCGGACCCCTTCGCGGTATATTTTCTCGACTGGCTGACAGGCACATCCTGGAATGCGTACACACGCTGGTCCTCGATGGGCTCAGTGTGCCGGCCGACCTAGTGCGCGAGATCATCGCCGAAGACCGCTTCAACGTGCGCATCCTGTCGATCCGAGAGGCGGAGCATCTCAACGAGCACAAGCTACAGCAAGTCTTGCGGTATGCGGTCCGCCCCACCCGCCCGCCGGGTACGCCTCGTCTCAAGGGCCTGTACGTCTTCGGCGCCAAAGATCCCGGTCCTGCGACGGAGCCAGTGTCGTCCAAAAAGCAGCGGAGCCCGCCCCGCACCCCTGGAGGTGTCATGAGCTCTCTTGGCGCGCAGATCGGAGCGGAATGGAACCAGCGCTCCAGCGACGCCTTGTCGTGCGCCTTGGCGCGCTCCGAGCATCACAAGTGGTACCAATCTGAGGGGCGGGTGCTGCGCAAGCGGCCATCCCCCGAGTGGGCCGAAACACTCAGGGCGTGCGAGGGCATCATTTTCTTTGACGCCGTGCTCTGTAGGGGGCCGCGCCATGATATTGCCGCCGTCTACGCCGAAAGCGGATCCCGGAGTGCCTATCTCCCACCTGCAGTTGCCAGCGTTGCTCTGGGGCCTGTGGGGTGCCAGAGTTGCCACGACTGCCCCGAGGGCCCAGCGGTTTTTGGTAGCTCGCCAGCACATCACTTGCCGCTGTTGAGCCCGCCACTGCTCCACTCCTCCATCATCCGGGCTGCACAGAAGCCATCCATGCTGCCGGGCACTCCGCCACCGAAGCTAGTTGTCCGGTGCGAAGAGTGTCTTCGCGGTCGTTGGTGCGAACGCTGCAATAAGTGGTGGGACGAGAAGTGCTACGCTGGGAGCGCAAGCGCCGTCCACACCAACGGGTCAACGCTTACCGCCATGCAGCAAACCGAGGCCCTGCAAGAGATGGCGGCCGAGGGAAACCCTCCCCGAGATATCAAGGTACATATGGGTCTCTGCACTGCACACTGCCTGGTTGAGGAGATGATGTCTGGGGCCGGGAGCGCTGGTATGTGGGGATGAAGAAGTGAAATCAAAGGCGCAGCCAGATACAAGCAGGAACGGTCGTCTCCCAGAACAACAATTATCAACCGGAGAACAGGGACCCAAAGGCGCGCTCATGATCTCGGCCCCGGCATTATTCACAGAGGTATGTCCGTGTGGAGGTCTTGAGCACGGAGTGGCTGACACGACTGCACTTCCAGATTGGCGTAAAGCGGGAATGCTTCGGTTGCGGTCCAACTGTACGTGGACATCCACATTGCCATTTCGCTGATCCGTCCTAGTGCCCTATTCCCACCTCATCTATGCTTCACTCTGAACTGAATTTGACTAACTGCGTGCGGTCACACAGTGCGCTGACTGCAAGGCCCTGTTCATTCGTGCCTGCCGCACCTGCCGCAACGAATACTGCATCATTGATAACGACGGCTCTTCTGCTATCGCTGTATGATCCTTCTGGCTCGACCATCATTCTAAGACCTTGATCTGATGAATTATCCGCTATACAGTGCGATTGGTGCAACTACAGCGGCCGACGGACAAGGGAGTTATACTGAAAGCAGCACACACTTCCAATTTTCCAGGAATTGCAGCATTATACCCCAGCTGGTATGATTCAGGCTTCACAAGACCGACACAAATTGGTACGAAGCGGGAAACCCGGCGAAAGAGGGACCTACAGATGAGCCACGAAGCTTAGCATGAAGGGCTAGCGTGGTGTTCCTTCTTCTTTCCATTTTCTTTCCTCTTATTGGTGATACTTTTTCCTTGGGTATCATTTGGACAGCAATATTGGGTCTCGGCTGGTAGAGCGTTTTCATACTCTCCACTCCTCTTTTTTACATCTCTTATAGCTTTGGCCTCTCCATTCCACTGAAGCGCGTCCAAAACCACGCTCTCGATCATAGATGATACCCATCTCCCTCGTCCACAGCTGGTGTCTAGCTTCAGTATTTCGACAATGCTTCACATTCATGGCAATGGCAATCCATTCAGTTTCACCTCAAAATTGAGTTGTTTCAAACACGAGCTTTGAAGCTATTGATTAAGTCAAGCTACTGAGTTTTTTTTTTTTAAAAAAAAAGAATTATGAAGTCAGCTTGCCTGTCTGTGCCCAAGCCTCTAATTTCCTAGTCGAAACTGGCCCACATGACTATGCCTTGTGACCCTTGACCGAACCAAAAGAGGAGTGCAGTCTATCGGAGTGTAATGTACACCAATTCAAGATGTCCCTTCAACTGAAGTAGCCCGTCGTTCATGTTCCAGAAGCGAGCATGTATAGTCATATTGGGAGGATTGGTGTTGAGAAGACCAAGCTACTATCCAGCTTCCATCAGATAAGAATGTCGGCTGATAGGATTGGCTTTGCAGAAGATGATTTGACTCGTGGGAGGGGGTTGATCAAAAGGAAAGGAAGCCAAATCAAAAATAACCACTCTCAGAGCAACTCTGGAGAAACTTCTGTCCGCTGAGGGGTTGCTTGTGCAATTCCCTGGAGGCTCCCTTGGCGGGATAAAGGAGATGATCTAAAAGCCTTGTAGGGGGTGTCCTGTGAACACCCCAATTGACCCCACCGATACGCCATGCTATGCAAAACCAAAAAAAAAAAAAAGACTCAAAATGTTTTTGGGGAGTTTTATGATGTGAAATCCCGGGTATCGGTTTCGCTGGAAGTCTCTGGTGACTGGTCGGTGTATAAGAGATAGCAATGAGCACAAGGTGTCCGTAGCCCGTAGGCCAAATGAAGTTAGAAGAGAATGGAATGTGCCCCCCTGTTGACTGTTGTAGACAGTCAAGTTACGATGAAGCGGCTTCAAAGTGTCCACCAAGGTTGCAATAGCTTAGGTAGACGGCAGCTTGTCGATTTTGAGACCCTTTTCCTTAACCCACTCTGGATCAAGGAGCTTGTCCTTGTCCTGGTACAGGAGTTTGTACGCCGTCCGGATGGTGCCGTCGCTTACACCAGCAACGGGTGCAATCTCCTTTGCCGTTAAAGGCTGGTCAACCAGATAGCTGATCATATAGATGCAGGCGGCACATGCAGAGAGTGGCGAGCGACCAGCCAAACAGCCATGCCTCACCATCTCTTCGGCAAGACGTTGAGCCAGCATCTGCACGCGATTGTCCAACCCCAGAGCGTTGCAGTAGCGAGCGCACAGCTCTGGAGGAGAGGTAGCCTCCTTCGATTTGTACGCGTCGCCCACCATTACCATACCACCGGTGGTGACGACAGTGCCCGACTTGTTCTGCTTGTTGAAGAAGGTATCCAGCAGTTTGAAGATGCGGCCAATCTCCTTCTTCGAAACGCCTGTCAGCTCGTGCAGCTCGCGAAAGGAACGGCCCTGCTGAGCTTGCCGGCAGGCCAAGAACAAACAGCCGGCGACGATGGTGTCGAGCGCCTTGCCCTTGAACAGCTTCGAGTCGTCCGTCATCTTGTACATGTGCTTGGCCGTGTCGCTAACTGTATGAGGCAGAAGCCAGCGGTCACACCACTGACCGATCAACTTGTATGCCTGCATAAGCGATTTGTTGCTCTTATCGGTGCCGGACTTGTTCTGAGCACGATTGAGCTCCCGACTCTTCGCGCCATCCGTGTAGGAGATGTTGGTCGCCAACTGTGAGCCGTTGAGAAGCGGGTTGGCAGCGTCACCAACACGCGAAGGATCGTCGCCGTTCTGGTCGTCGTTCGAGAACGTTCGCCACTCAGAACGAGTATCCACGACACGGGCAGACAGCACAAGACCACAGGATCCACAGACGGTGTCGCCGCTGGAGAATTCCTCAACAAGGTTCGGAGGGTGCTCCTTGCAGTCGGGGCAGATCATGTGGATGTTGAAATTGTCCACATACTCCTCGTCCTGCTTGATGAGGTTCTCCATAGGACGCACTTCACCCGGAGAGAGGGCCATGGCGGGCTCAGAAATTGACTCGCGACTGACAGGAGACTGGGCGGGCTCGAGAAAAAGCGCGTGCTGCTGTAGCTCCGGCACGCTCGACGGTTCAGTGGTGTTGCCAGGCGACGGAGTCGTTCTGCGACGTTTGGCACGGCGTGGAGACGGCGGATCGAGCGAATCGCCGAAGAAGAGGAGTCCGGCTTCCTTCCAACGGCGGCGGCGACGACGTTCAACAGCGGAGGGCGACTCTTTCAGCGGGCAGGTCGGGTTGCAGGTGCGGTCCAGGACAAAGAAGAGGAGAGGTGAAGGGCGACAGGCAACAGGCATATCATCGGGCTGCGGACGGGCCATCGGAAGTCGGGGCTGAGTAACCGAATGGATCACGTGACTGGGAATTTGTCAAGCACGACGAGCATGAGCGAAATTGGTCGAAGAGCTGCAGGAAGAGACAGCTCGGAAGGGGCCAAGACATCTACGCCTACTACTATTGTGCATTCAGACCTGTTGTGAACCGTGGCTTTTCACATCACATTCACACGGTTTGCTGTTTAGGAACGGGAATTGAGGCAGCGAGGCCCGTGCGTGGGACGCGCGAAGGAAGTTCAACCTCACCCTCCGGCATCGCCTACGACGCCGGAGCTCCATCAAGAGAAGCATCACCACCCCCTCGTCATCATGCTTGCTCAGACAATCCGGGCTTCTGTACGTCTCCGCGTGTCTGCCGCCACCGACATTGATGCTGACTGAAGCCCTCAGCGCCTTTCCGTCGGCCGTCTGGCCCAGCGCAATGCCGTCATGGCGCGCCGTACCTACCTCACGCCTACGGCCGTCCGCCAAGGTATTCCGACCCAAACATTGCCTTCTCCCATCGCGCATGGCTGACCCTGCCATCAATTGCAGCCGACCTCGTGCAGGACATGTACCTGCGCGAGCTGAAGAACTACAAGCCCACGCCTATCAAGCCCACCGATGCCGAGGGTCACGTCCAGAAGTTCTCCATCCCCAAGGCGCCCCAGTCGCCCGAGGAGGCCGATCTCGCCAGCGAGCTGAAGGAGTACGAGGCCCAGCAGGTCGAGGTTGAGGGCCAGGCGGCCGCAGGCGAGGCCAAGGCGGTCGAGGAGGACTGGTTTGAGGAAGAGGAAGAGGCGCCTGCTGCTGCCCATTAAGTGCCGGGACAATCCACTGTACAAAAACATCCCGCCGGCCGTCTCATGACGCAATTGAGGCGATAACGCTCCGTCGGATAGCCTTACCAGCGCTCGATTAGGTTATTTAACTGGTCAATTTCCTTCCTCCATCAGACTCTACTTCGTCATCGATCATCTGCGTAAAGAAGTGTGTGCTTGACATCGACTACATTGTGGGAGCGGTCTCTGCGGCTGCTCGTTCGATCCGGAGCATTATTGCAAGGGAGGCAAAGTTCACTCTGATCGCGATATCTCGGCTCTGCGGCGCGCATGGGACACGTCGTTTTTTTTTAAAAAAAAAACTACGGGAGATAAAACGATGGGTCCACAACATCCTTCGTTCCCCGAGACTGAAATGCGGCGGGGAGGCTGGCGGGGGCGGTGGACATGGACCCGACCCGCCGTGCCCAGCGGTCATCTCGCGCAGCGCAAGCGGCGGTGGGCCGGACCAATTTCCGTAGAACATTCTTAAGTCCTGAATTGATGGTCTCCACCCTCTTATATGCGCGCGGGCGGGGGGATCTCCAGCACACCCACGGGTACATGGCAGCCACGAGCCACAGCGTCCCGAAGCGCCAACACCGATACTAATGCGGCGGGCTGGTCGCTTGGCCAACAACGGCCGTTCCTGGCGACTCGTATTGCAGGCGTTAATGGCAAGGCTGGGAGGCGGCTGTCGGCGTTGCGGACGCCCGAGGCAGCCGAGTGGCAGGGCGTCCTGAAATCAAAACTACGCAATCGCGCTGGCGCTGGCGGGAAAGGCTGCCTGCTGTCCAGAGCGCACAGGCGAAGGGCCGGAGCTCAGCGCTCCTGCACACAACAATTTCTCGAAGGTTGCCCCTAGCCCCGAGCAAGCGGGCCGCGGTGACGGTGACGGACGCTGCGACGCGACTCGCTCTCGGCGCCGCAGGGCAGCAAAGACGGCGTGTACGGCTGCGGAAACGTAGATCTCTGGGCGAGCCACCGTCCACGATTCGCCGCAGCGGGCTAAGATGGAGCCAAAAATAATGCTGCTGCGCGCTGCTACTGGCCCACTCAGCCGCTAAGGGTCCGCCAGCCGCAGCGCGGGCAGCTGGATCTTGAACGCCCGCCCGAGTCTGTGACGACAGGGAGCTGCGAGTCCTCTCCAGCCAATTTGCGCATTTGTTTCAACCTCCCTCCGCCTCTCCGCCCGCACAATCGCTCCAGGCGTTGGTGCCGCAGCCCGCGACCCTCGTTTCTCCCACCACCGCTCGCTCTCAGCCTTCCGCCCTCGCTATCTCGCAGCGCGCCCTTCCCCCCAGGACCCACCAGCGCGTGAGCCTTCCTCAGCCTCAGCTCTTCCAGGCAGCCAACTCCCCAACGGCCTGCGCGATCTGTCGTTTCCCCCCGCCGCTTGCCTGGCGCTCGCGATCCAACACCGGCGGTCGACCCTGAACGCGCGGCAGCTCCGGTTGCGCCTCTCACCTTCGCCCGCGGACGATCTTCGAGCGCATCGCGCGGATCCCTGCTTGTCCACTCCCGCGCCGCTCGCCGCCGTTCGTTCTTCTTCCGGGCATCTCGGGCGGGGATCCCCCATCGTTATCTGCTCACCTGGTCCTGGCCACCGGATGATGGGGAGTCGGAGCTAGCCATTGTCTCAGACTCGCTCCCGCTCACCGAGCCGCATTCCTAGCGGAGCATTCCATATCGATAGGTATCGTTCCACAATGGCGGCTGCAAGCATGGCCGCCGCAAGCAGTTCAACGACTCCAGTCATTGGCAGAGACCGGAGCGTATCAGACGTCGCCGCTGCCCACAACGTGGTCGACGACCCGCGACCGCCCGAAGCTGTGCATCTCCCCCGCTCGGCCAGCTACACCTACTTTCCCCCGGTCAAGGACCTAGAGTACGAGGACTCGTCCGTCGTGGAGCTCAAGGGCAGGATCTCTGAGGCAGAGCTTCACTCATCGAGAGATGAGGATTCGCCCTATTCCTCCAGTGGAGGCTCAACACCTGAAAACGAACCTGCCGACCCACCAGAAGGAAAGCCATCGCAACCGGTTGATCCGCTGCCCCAAAGATCGAGGCTTTCCCGCTTCTTCTCCTCGTCGCGCGAGCCTGTGACGTCAGGCGGCCCGGCGAAGGACGGATTGAAGGACAAGAGTACACGCAAGGACCCCTCGAGACAGCTACAGAAACAGCCCCCCAAGGAGGTGCGAAACGAATCCCATAAAACCCCGCAGCAGGAGAGCTCAAAGCAGATTTCAAAGCAGGCGCAGAAACCAGCCCCGAACCACATCCTAAAAGAGACTTCGAGAGATACTCCGGCAGATACTGCAAAAGACGCCGCAAAACCCACCCCGCAAGACGCTTCGAGGGAATCGCCGAAGGAGAGTCAGCAAAAAGAACAAAGCGAGAACGATAAGGAGGAGGAGGAAAAGGAGAAGACGGACAGGGCGGAAGCTGATCAGCAGGCCGTGCCTCCCAAACGGTCGCTTACTCATCTTCGACGCAAGTCCTGGGTGCCGTCCAGTGCGAAGGAGTCGTCGCCGAGCAAATCCTCAGGAGAAGATGGAGTAAACGGCAACCGCCCATCTCCCGAAAAGCGTCGGAGCCTCATCAACACATCCCGGCGCAAATCTATTCTTCGCAAGGATTCCGACCCCCCTCCGGTCGAGGAGGAGCGTGCAGAGCGCCCAGCTGCTGCAACCAGACGCAAGTCTTTCATACGGAAGGAATCGGAGGGCTCGCCCGCTTCGGAGGACCGTCTCACTTCCCGCGTGTCTCGACGCATGTCCATTCTGCGAAACAATTCGGACCGCAAGGAAACGGAGTCACTTCCTGCCGAAGACCCGGCCGGCAAATCTCCTAAGAAAAGCACCGTTCTCACGAAGCGACCTAGGAAACCGTCGGATGCTTACATCAAGCCAGTAAAGGCTGAAGAGCTTCCACCGATTCCCGCAGTCCCCGAAATACCCAAGTCTCCCAATCTGCCGAAATCCCCGTCAATGCCTGCCTCGCCTGTCTTGGGCCAATCGTTCTCCACGGATAGGCTACCGACACTGATGAGGTCGCCGCCATCGCAAGAATCCGTGATTCCACCCTTACCTAGAACGGTCAACCAAGAGAAGTTGAAGACCTTCTCATTAGAAACGCCGAAGAAGAAGGATGAACTGTGGGGGCAATTCAGGAGCCTGGATGGAGACTACCAAAAGTTCGTATTGTTTTCGGTTTTCCGTTATTGCGAAGCTAAAAGATCTTCCACGCAGATTCTCATCAAAGTCCATCGCATTGAAAGCAAATGTTGTACGCCAGAACTTGATTCCATTCCTACGGACTTATGCAGCACACCCATCAAACAGTAAGCTTCGGCCAGAGGATCTGGACCGCCGCAGCAACATTTTGAATAGATGGTGGACGGGCTTGCTGGAGATGATCAATGGGAAAAACAACCAATCCATCTCCGGGTCTGACAGACCGCATATCCTCCAGGCGATAGTAGGTATCATGGAGCGCCCCGAATGGCGCACACACCCTTCGCCATTCGCACCTTTGACGGGAAGGCATACATCGAGCTTGCCCAGGTCGCATTCCTCAACGTCAGTCGCTTCTATCGAGTCCGACTTCCTGGCCGAATCGGTGCATCACAACGTGCGCAACACTTTCATTCAGAATCTCACGGCACAGATGGGATTTGTGGTTGAGAAAATGTCTTTGCGAAATGCCCCGGCTAGTTTGGTGAACTTCTGTGGGAAAACATGCGCATACGCCTTCTTCTTCTGCCCTGGCATGGCGGACATCCTTGTTAGATTGTGGTCACCCTCTCTGGATGCCATGAGACGGGTTATGGCCGAGTGCAAGATGTCAGACAGGTCGAAGCTCGATGAGACGTCCAAAGTCATCCTCCCCAACTTCCCACCGAGCCTCCATTCCCTTGGATTCACCAATCTTCACAAGACTTTCCGTGAGCTCCGCAAACCTGCCCCGTTCCCTCTCGGGACGGCTAATTTGCCTTGGCATGGGTCGTGGGTGAAGCGATGGTCAGGAACGGAGAGCGATCTTTTCTACGTCTTTACCAAGTGCTATCATATCCTGATCACGGACTTCCTTCCGGAAGGAACGTCGGCAGCCGAGCGACTCTGCGCCCCCGGATTGGTCATGGTCCACGCCCAGATCCTGGCGAACCTGGACGAGACGCTCCACCGCCACGCAGCGATGACTGCGGCAAAGGAAGAAGATACGCACTCAACGTCTTCAGTCACATTTGACGACGTGCTTGCGGACGGACCGGATGCAGCGGCTTCGGCTCTTCCAATACCGCCGGCCAACGCCGTTCGGCTGATGGCAGAGAACCGTTTAATTATGCTTCTTCGAGACTTCCTCTCGGCAGGAAGCTCGCATGTCCTCACAGCACCTCATATTTTTGCAGACAGTTTCAGTTCTCTCTTACAAGCAGCCGCTCGTAGGGTCTCAATTTTTGATCATAACGCGTCTTATACCCTTTGCGATTTTCTGGAAGAAGCTCTTTTGATTTTGCTGCGTTATGAGCGCGCTGCTGACAGACTGGTTGTGGACTGGACGTTTTGGATTTCGGTGTACAAACGCATGACAGAGAGCCATAACACCACGACGGAGATTCGACTTTTGTCCTTTTTATACAGCGTATGGGGCACGATTGTCGAGGATGAGAAGCGCAAGTCTGAGCTCTGTCTCAACTTCTTGCTCGAGCCAGGATTCTTCGAAAGCCGGTTCAACCACTGGTGCCCCATGCTCCGGGCGTACTACATGAGGTTGCTCTGCTGGAGGATCTCGAGATTTGACGGGGAAGCTACGGATTGTGACTCGTAAGTCATGGGACCGAGCAGAGAGGATTGCGGACGAATTGCTAATGGAAACAGACGAATTCTGAAGAGTGTCGAGGAGAGGTTGCAGTCGGTCTGGGCCCACTATCTGTACCTGCAGGAAGTGGCACAAACGCGAAACGAGCCGCTCCCCTCGACGACGCCTTGCAACCCAGCGCCCGGACGCCGGCTCCTTATCATACGACACGACGCGCCGCTGTCGCCTGCGAACGGGCCGTTTCTCTCATTCGATGGGATCGTGTCGAATGCGCCTAAAAACCAACAGACAGCGTACGGCAGCCACTCGTCGCTTGAGAACCAGCTGGGTGACACGAACATCCGGCCGACTTCTGCACTTTCGATTGCTTCGGATAACTCGGATGCTGGGGAGGAGGACAATGGCAAAAAGCGGTTCAGCTTATTGCGCAATCTCCTGAGCGTTTCCAAGCCGCGCTCGAAGTCTCGCAGCCCTGAACCGCCGACGTCACGCGAGGGAGCCACGAACGCATCGAATTCGACCAACATTACTCCGGATGCGGCAGCGAAAAAGCATAACACGCCAGATGTGCCTCCGCATCGTAGCTACTGCTTCCGGTTTTCGTTAGAATGGGTGCACGACAAGCGCTTCGCAAACCCTGGGCCGATGCGTCTGCTGCCTCCGCGTCTGCCTCCGGCAGCTCATAACTTCTTGCACGCACAGCGCGAGGAATCGGAAACGGCCAACCCCAAGCCAATCACGAGCGTTAAGCCGGAGGGGCCAGCCATCACTTCGAGCAAGTATGCAGGACGCGCGCTGGGCGAGTGGGCTATAGTGGTGGGCGAATGCCAGAGCTTCTTTCAACGCAGGAAGGATGAGGGTGTGCCGAACAACAAGTTGGTCGAGACGCCTACGCTTGGAGTCGAAGTATTCAGGCGACCAGGTTAGAACCCTGATCGGCAGGAGAGAGTAGGAGCCAGGAATGAAAGTAGCAGAAGTGCAAAAAAGAATAAGGGGAAAGGGGGGAAGTGAAGCATCCCGGACTGCGTCAACCAGTCCAGTTGTCACGTGCTTTCTTCGTTCGATTCTCTTCTCATCTGATAAGTTCTTTTAATGTTTTCCTTCTCGGTCGGATCAGGGCCAACGCATATGATTGCATCACAGGGGCGGGACCTTTTGTTTTTCTTTTTCCGGGGGGGTGGGGGCTCATGGAACATTGCATCTGTCATTCTGGTTGTCCTTCTCTTCTATACTTGGTTTGCTTGTGTAATCACGGGGCATGGCGTTGGGTTTCTCTGGTCGTTTCTGGCGCGCCACACGTTCCTTTATTTGAAATGATGGCTTAGTGATGGTACCTAGGCCGAGACCTAGCTGTCGGTTGCTCGGTACCTTCTGGAAGCTTGGCTGGTTGAATTTGGTACTCAGCAAGGCGCGCAATCAAACTCTGAATTTTATGGTTCTGGGCATTTTGACGCAGTGGAAAATGAGATGTACGAGCCCCGCCGACTTGCATGCTCAGGTGTGACGTGATACATACGAGGGCGGCACGCGCGGTTGCGAGAACGTGGCCTACGGCTGGCACACGGGTTGAAAATGGGCCGCGAGGCCAATCGCAGTCAGACACGGGCTTGGCTTATGAGAAATGAAAGGGAGAGGCCGTGTTACTCTGGGTTTTCGCCAGCTGAGAGAAAGAAAATGCAGTCGCGGTGCTACGTGAAGATGCCTCGTGCGCAGCGCTCGTGCCCGGGTGGTTTTCGTGATGAAGGGCGCCGCGAGGGAGCAGTCACGTCGACTTTTAATTTCGCATGCGCGAGGAGAATTCACGGGCAAGCTTATTCGAGAAGCTTATTCTGGGCGGGCGGGAGTTGCTGGGATGAGGTTGCAGTCCAAATTTAGCAACGTAGAAGACAGCAAGGTGGCGCACGAGCACCACTGCGCTGCGTGAGTTACAAACGTTGCGGCGCGGATTGGCGCCTGTGGCTTGCAGTTTAGCGGTGTTGATGATTTCGGACAAAGGATGGAGAGCCGGTCGCCTAGCGCAGCAACAAGCGAGCGCGCCCCGCCACTGCCGATCTCGCCCGGCCATCCACCACACCTTACTCCAACCTCCAGCCAACCGCAGCTCGTGGATTTGACGGCCCAGAACAAGCTTTCATCTCAAGGTCGCCCCCACTGCCCTTGCGCCTCCCTGTTTCGACACGGCTCTTAAGTTGTTGGCTGCTGACTGACGGTCGTTTTCTAATTTCCTGCCTGATTCAGCCGTGGCGCGGTGCTGTCAGATATCTGCATGTCTCGCTGTGTATCCGCCGCGTCGACCGTCTGTCTCCACATCGGAAGCCCAACGTAGACCGTATTTCCTCTTTTGGCTCGCCTGCCCGTCTTCCGGAGCCACCGCTGTTCGAGCGTGGCCAGCACACCCATGACGCTGAGGTGAGATTCTAAACATGCATCGTCCCGGCAGCCAATCATGGCCGCGCAGATTCTGCTGAGCCTTCTTGCTGGCGTGAGAACCACGGCAGCATCGGCCATCCCTTACATGGCTCTAGAAAACCAAGCTTCTGACATGGCAGCTGTGGTAGAAGCCATGTACCCCGCGGTGCAACTGAAGCCACCGAACAAACAAAGCCTCAGCCACCATGAGGGTAAACGTCCCACTGTCTCCGTGCAATTTACCAAGGCGAAGGTGGGTCTACGGAGAAAACACCCCAGGATCCCCCACCCACATCCGTAGCGTCTCGGGATGGCGCTTTTTAGTGGAGACGAGGCCACGCAGATCATCAATATTGCGGCTCAATCTCGAGCTGCACCTTGTCGCCATCCATCCATGCCTGTCAAGAAAAGGCCCGACGCTACTGCGTCCTGGTCTTACCGCATCGAGGCCTCGTGCAGAGCAAGAATTGCCACAGACTGCAGTGATCATCATGATACGCATGCTATCTCGCTTGTAGCCTTCTGCTGCACACACCGCTGCTGATGCCTGCCGTCCCGTTGCCCCTGGCGTTGCCGCCGCCAGCCTGGCATTTCCGACATCACACTACCTCAATAGTGCATCGCAATGCGGGTCAGCTAAGCACGCTCGGTGCTTCGGTGGCAGCAGCCGCCGACCTGTTACTGCGTCTCTAAGCCGTTACGCCGATGGCTGAGCATATCCTAGGCCTTAGTGAGATATATAAAAATGAGTTCTGCCCTTGACACAAGAGATCTTCTTATTGCAGCATCCATCCACTCCTGAGCCCTGTCACTTCAGCAGATCTTCCGCAGGGCAGCTAATAACTGTCCAATCGCCCCCCTCTCCATCGTTTGACCTTTGGGTTTTAATTGACCAGCCTCCCCCTCGCTCATCCTCCATTCACCATGCATTTCCCCAAGTCATCCATCGTCCTCCTCGCTGCCGCCTCCAGCGTGCAGGCCCTCTCTTTCAACGATGTCTCGACGGCCGCCTCGATCCTCAAGCGTGAGGCATCCGGGCTGGGCAACAACCTGCTGTCCCTAGTCAGGCGCCAGGACGGCTGCCCAGCTGTGTGGAACGATGTCGCCTCGGAACTGAGGGGCTGGTTTCTCGACGGCGATGGGTGCAGCGACGATGCAAGAGCTGCCATCCGCTTGGCCTTCCACGACTGCTTCGCCGGTGGTTGTGATGGCTCCATCATCCTCGCCAAGGAGTACACTCGCGAGGAGAACGCCGGACTGGAAAACTTCTCGGTGAAGCTCGCACCTTTGGCGGAGCAGTATGAGGTTGGAACCGCAGATCTAGTCCAATTCGCTGGTGGTAAGTCACACACGCACGCATCCTAGACCGTTTGATGCTAACTGTAGGGGCAGCCCAAGCAATCGCCACCTGCCCGCTCGGCCCGCGTGTCGCCGTCAAGGTCGGCCGCGCCGACAACGACATTCCATCCGAAGCGGGCCAGCTTCCTTCGGCGACGGCCTCAGCCTCGACCTTGATCGGCCAGTTTGAAGCCAAGGGCTTCTCTTCCACCGACCTAATCGCCCTCGTCGGTGCCCACAGCACCGCGAAGCAGTTCTTTGCCAAGCCCGAAAAGGCCGGTCTCAGCATGGATAGCACGCCCGGTACCTGGGACACCAAGTTCTACACCCAGACATCGCTTGGAACCGCACCCGTGAGCTTGGATAGCGACGTCAACCTGTCCAAGGATTTTAGAACCATCGTGCAGTGGAGCTCGTTCAGCTCACAGGCCGTGTGGTCTGCTGCCTTCGTGAGCGCGTACGTTTAGATCCACTTTGCTTCTACTGCCCGAACACGAGACTGACAATGAGCCACAGTTTCAATAAGATGTCCGTCCTGGGCAACGATGCCGGTAGCCTGACGGATTGCACCAACGTCATCAACGCCGCGACCAGCAAGCGTGACATCAAGGCCGCCCCGATTGCGGACAGGATGTGATTGCGAGGCGTCGGCGAGTGCATAGTTACTTCTTTAATTGCTAATGTCTGTTTGTTCATACTTGTCTATATTAGTCTCATACTTTTGCACGGCAAGGCGTTATCATTTGCTGAAGGATGTTAGAGAAAACACATTTGCAGCGGGACACTTGCACTAGCATTTGACGGTCGAATATTCATCACATTACTGCATTGCAACCTACTCCAGTACTGGAAATGCGTGAGAAGTCACTGTTGCAGGCAGATCGCCACGGCGCAGGAGGACGTGGCAATCACTGACGCACATGCCCACCGGTGCTTCAGACTCATGATGCGTATAGTAGCCCGTAATGGCAGCTGCATATTTTTCTCCTTTTGCCACAGTTCTGCATAGCAGACAAACTTTGTCGTCAAATCACGCTACTTCGATATACTGGTAGGCTACATCCTTCATGCGTACCACAAGACACGCTAGAGAGACAAGGCTCCGGATCCAACGCGCAGCCGTTAACGACCTTAATGATCCTCGTCCACTCATTTGCCGACGTTTTGGCGTCATAGCCACCTCTCATCCCGCCACTTCCTTCCTCTCTAGTAAGCAGCCGCACTGCCCCCCTGCAGTGATCAAATTCGAACCATTGCGTAGATGAAACAAAAACCAACATGAATACGTACACTAAGATATCGTAGGATTTCTAGACGCGCAAGTTTCCGTGCAGTGTCAGTGATGGCTGGTGGGACGGTGACGACGTTGAAGTCATTAGAAAAAGCAAGGAGCCTCGCAGGGCTGAGACACCACACATGCGGCCTTCCCGCAAGGATATGCTAGCAAGGCGTGCAGTCAAGCAAGCAGCTAGCCGTCCCTTTAAAATGGCAGTCCGTAGCTTGCAGCAGCCGCATCGGCGGCGCTGCACGCGTGACTCGCATGCCCACCTATTCTCCTTCACGCTGACTGGACGAAGATACGCGTGGAGTGCAGGGAACACGGCGGTGCCCGGTGCATATGCAGGCCAAGGCCAAAGGAGCTCGGTCGAGGGTGAGCAAAGCGGGTGGCGGCGGGACTGCGGACGTATGGTGGATGACGTGCGTTTTACTCAGTCAGTCAGTTCCGGTCAGCCCTGTCGTGTGCTCCGTGAACCTATCAGAAGGCTATTTGCAGAGAACTCCAAGTCGATCGGAACGTCCCCTTGGCCGCTCGGGCCGAGTTACCATTCTTTCGTTACTGCATGGCTGAGGTGAGAAACAGCCTGGTCGAGGTCCACACCCATCCAGATGCCTCAGCCACCACGGCGGCTGTTTGTATCTTTCACCCGCGTCGATTGTGTTACACTCGCACGCTCCCCATCTCCCGGGTGCATCTTTACCAGGTCCGTGGATCAAGCTCTGCGGCAATTGCCATTGCGCGACTGTGCTGGAGATCGTTCGATCCTACATCTGCAGGGAACGTGTGTCAACGGCGCATGTACCCGTGAACTACGTACATATGGCACGACAGAAAAGAAATTCGTCCCAAAATGTCCTATGACCCGCTGCAATAATGCCGGTCCCGTAGCGCTCCGGCCTGCATATTTCTCAAAGGGCCCGGATGACCCCCTCTCCACCACCACCACTTCTCTATATTGCTCATTCACACCCATCATGTCGGTCGCACGAGAAATGCACGGTGCTCGGCCGAGAGGTCACTGGAAGAGGAGAGAAAGGCCTCATTATACCTCACGAGGGCCAGGGTTCGCACGCACGGCTAACGTGCATGCAGTCTCAGATGCAAACATGGCCGGAATCTTCACGCACGCTCGTGTTCAGGCGCCGCATGACAGGAGCGCGCATAAGAGGGCATTTCCCGGAATGGTGCGCAGGGCTGCAGGCGATGACTCGAGCCTTTGGATGCCTAGCCCGTCCCGTTGCTTGTTTTCCCACGTGAGCAAGGGAAAGGGTGGGGCCGGGGCCGGGGCCGGCACGGTGGCTGCTGATGAGGCGGTGCAGCCATGCGACTGTCATTGGCTGCCGCGTGGCGTTTTGGGTTGGCTGGCGGTCGATCTGCCGGCCTAAAGATAGAATAATGATGCTTGTCCAACATGGAGGAATTTATTTTGAACGGTACCGATGAGGTAGCGGGTGCTACGTTTTGGCTTGTATATGGCAATCGATTGCCATTGGTCGCCACTAGACCAAGTCACACAAGCGTTATACAAGGCTGAATTATAGGGCGATCTCATATAATGAAAATAGTATTTACAGAAGTCTGGGTGGTACCTGTCGTCCGCACGTGAAAGCGGGGTCTGGGAACACGACGTTCAGCTCGCACAGACAAAGTACATTCGAATCATGACTTTCATTGATATCATCGTGAAAGGAGCTTCGGCAATCTCGTGTGGTCCTTAGCTCAGGTAATAATATACACAAAGATGTCAAGGTCTCGGCCAATGCTTGGCCTAAGCTTGTCCTTCACCAACACTTCATCCGAAGTGCACGTGCGTGCGGGTATCAGCCACTCCATTATTTCTTGCTAGTCGTCTCCTCGGCGTGCTTCGCGAGGATATGAACCGGGTTGGATGTAAGGCCGCTCTTGTCCTGCTCAGAAGCCTGCTTCGAACCCTGCTCAGGGCCGGCACCAAGGTGAGCAGCGGCCGCACCCTTCAGCTGGGCGTCGGTCTGACGCTCGGGGTCGGGGGACTGGCGACCGGCTTTGGGGGCAGACATTGTGGTTAGGCGGGTGGAGAAACTGCTCAATGGCTGCGTTAGCAGGCTGTGCATAAGTGTGGGAGATTATGTGGGTGCGGCTGAGGATAGGGTGAATTGACCCTCGACCGAGAAGATCTTGAACGACGAGGGATACGCTGATGAGGGTTGCGCGTACAGTTTCAGATCGGTCAGAGGGTTCTGCGTGTTGCCATCAGCCATCATGATCCCTTGGTTCAATGTGCAACAATGGCTGAACGAGGTTGACTGAGATGATTTATGGAGCAAACTCACCTTGATAGTAGAGACTTGAGAGCGACGTGAGAGGGCTGCGAGACTTGTTGGATGCTGCTGTTGAGGAGAACGGCGTTCCCCTCTTCTACCTTTATCATGCTCCAGCCCCACGGTGACGTCATGTGTGCATCGTCCACTAAGGAACGTCGTCACTGATGGAGAGGAAGGAACGCCCACCGGCCCGGGGTTTCTCCGCACGCAATCTAGATCTGGAAGCTATTGCAAACAGTGACGAAACTGCCAACTGACGCAATAATGGCGTCTATGAGGCTGATCAAGCACGCTGACAGAGCAACACTGCCTCCCGCTCGCTTCCCACATCAGCCTGATTCCCATTTGATATCTATCTAGCCATGAAATACCCTTAACACCATACGTACATTCGTTGTACAAAATCCCATCAGCACTCCCAGTGAGCACCGACCCAGTCCGTGATGATGCTCGTGAAGCTCCTACCTTCCATGTATGGGTGCGTGTCAGATACATTGTACTCCTGCCCAAGGTACCTCAGAGCGACCAGGATCCACGGCTGCAGGAACTCGTTGAATACAAGGTCAACCTCTTCCGGTCTCTTCTCCTTCGGGTCTGTCGAGTTGAAGCCAAGTTCTGCTTGGATGCAATTCGGGACCTCGAAGAACTTGATCGCCGAGTGCACTGTATCGTCTCCGTCTTCCCCCGCATCGTCAATCGTGGTATAGCCCGGGATGAGGTCGGACGGCTTATCATTTGGCGTGAGGGGTGCTTGCACCCGGCTATGCTCAGCAATCTCGGACCTGAAGGCTCGACTTGAACCAAGGCTCAAGCGGCCGCTCTGCTGCTCAGGCGGCGCAAGCACTGCTGGATCCAAAGGGCCCTCGGAAAACGCCTGAACCACCCGTCCTTCGTCGTTCAGGAGTTGCAGGACCTTCTGCGCTTCAGCGTACGGCACGTCCTTGATGTAGTGGAAGCCGCTGGTGAACGGTGACACGAGAAAAGTGCTATCTCTCGTGAAAGGGCCCTTGAAAATGTCAAACCGCATCGCTCCAGTGTTGGTGATGATGAGCGCCTTCTTGTCATTGGCAATCCGGGAAGTGTTGCTTAGCTGTGTCGGGAGAACGTGCTCTTGCAGCCATGTGAAAATGCTATCGTTCGCGGGGAATGGAGCACGATTGACCCAGAGATTCTGCGGCGCGCAGCCGTGTTTATCGTCGAGTCTCAATTCCTTTCGGGCCTTGGTGATCATCTTCGTGACATCCTTTCCTTCGTGCGTTGAGAACGTGCGCTCGTTCTTGCCACTGTGGTGGTGGAGCGAGAAGAGGTTGTTGTCAATATATCGACGTGCGAAAGTGAGTCCCGCTGTCTGAGTCTCGGATTTCTTGGTGCTTAGCCCGTCAATCGAAAGAAAGCCGATGGTCTCCATGTACCGTCCGCTGGCAATGGCGACAGACTTGGCATCAAACGTTTTGAAGTCCCGCACATGAGCATGGCCACCAAAGAACTGGATCGGCATGTCCCACCGCACGGATCGGACCGTCTTGAAGATATGCTCGTACTCTGGCGTCCGGAGAGCCACGTGACCGATGACAAGAATGAGATCTATGTCCTTGTCACGGATGGCATCCTGAAACCACTTCTCTTTGACCGTGTCTTCGACAGACTTGACGACCGTGTTGTTGGCATTTCCAGCAAAGTTGAAGAGGAAGCCGAAGGACAGGACCCGGATGCCTTGATTCTTGGTAGTAAACTTCTTGAATCTTGGGGCAAGCGGCTGAAGTTCTCCGGTCTCCGGATTATATATGTCCAGATTGGATGCAAGATAGCTACCGTTGAAGTTAGGAACGGTGTAGTAGAATTCATTTTCGGATGAGTTCTGCTTGTACAGTTCGTGGTTGCCGGAGCAGATGACGTCAATATGTTGATGTTTGAAGATGTCAAACGTGTAATTTCCCTTCGGTTCAGATGCGTCATAGAGGCCGTTCCCTTCAACACGGTCTCCTGTGTCAACGAGCAGAAGATCTACTCCGTCCGCATCCGCACGGTCGCGCATATGCTTGGCAAAGGAGATGTAGTCGCCCCAGTCAGCCGAATAAGAAGACCTGCGCCAAGCAGAGTCAGAATCAAGGTCCCACAAGCAGGAGGAGAGAGCTACTCTTGTAGGTGCCCGCCGTGCCAGCCATGCGTATCAGTCGTATGGAGGAAGTTGAGTTGAGCCCATGGCAACTCCCGGAGAGGTGCCGCTTTGGGCGACGGCGCTGAAGGCTGAGCCGCATATGCGCCCACAGCGAAAATGAACGATAACAAGGACCGTGTGATCATGATGCAGGTGTTGATAAGTTTTTCTCTGATGACAGAGAGGACAGAGACGTCTGGAGGTGGCTGATACCTTGATGGTCGGAGCTTCCGGTCACATGGGCACGTGCCATTCCGGCCTTGGGACTAGCGCCGGCGTTACGGCAGAATGTTGATCCCTTTTCGCTTCAACCCGTCCACAGAACTTTCCGTTTATTCGAGACTCCGACAGCGACGACGACAATCGGCTAACCCAGTGCCTGCTCAACAACCGTCAAAATGGTACGTCGCCACGCGTCGATGCGACCGCTACGATGCACGCTCCGAGCGAATTCGCGCAAATTGCGCTCCGAGGCAGCAGACCGCTGATATTTTTTTCGTAACAGGCCATCAAGCACAACAACCAGATCCCTCACAACCGTAAGAAAAATTTCCGATCAGCCGCAACCACCACAATTTTTCTGACAATGGCTTGCAGACTTCCGCAAGGACTGGCAGCGCCGCGTCCGCGTTCACTTCGATCAGGTAATTCCCCTCTCAGACGGCTGAGAGCAGCGGCGCCGATCGAGCGGACTTTCTCTAATACCCCGTCGAATAGGCCGGCAAGAAGAAGAGCAGGCGCGATGCCCGCCAGGCTAAGGCTGCTGCCGTCGCCCCTCGCCCGGTCGACAAGCTGAGGCCCGTCGTCCGCTGCCCCTCCGTCAAGTACAACCGCCGCGTCCGCGCCGGCCGTGGCTTCTCCCTCGCTGAGCTGAAGGTATGAGTTGAAATTGTTAGAGGAGATTGGGCAACAATCTAACCGGTTTCAAGGCCGCTGGTATCCCCCGCAAGCTTGCGCCCACCATCGGTATCTCGGTCGACCCCCGCCGCCAGAACCTCTCCGAGGAGTCCCTGAAGGCCAACGTCGAGCGCCTCCAGGAGTACAGGAAGCGCCTCATTGTCTTCCCCCGCCGCACTGGCACCAAGTCGGCCAAGAAGGGTGACGCCTCCGCTGAGGAGATCAAGGCCGTCAAGGCCGGCGAGAACGTCAAGAACGTTGCCGCTACCTTCCCCGTCGTCCAGGACGTCGGCTTCTCCGAGGGCGCCATCTCCGCCCACCCCGCCACCGAGAACGCTTTCCGCACTCTCCGTGTCGCTCGCTCTGACGCTCGCCTTGTTGGTGTCCGTGAGAAGCGTGCCAAGGCCGCCGCTGAGGCTGCCGCTGAGAAGGCCAAATAGATGGGATGAAAAAAGTGCTGGGTTGGCGTTCGTTGCTTGCACCTATAACAGGAACGGGACAAGCATCATGCCTAATTTATGGTACCAAAATCAAGGGGATTGCTTGGCTTTTAAGATACCCAACATGAGGACTGCCTCTGTTTACGAGTGAAATGTGCCTGCTCTGTGAATCACTGGAAGTTTTGGCGTGTCTACAGTCTGTCTTGCAGTGAATTGCAAATTTGACAAATTTGACACGTTCGTCACGCACCGCTTCTCGGATTTTCCGTTCAAGCCTCTGCCCATTTCGAAAGTCGACTCGCATGCTAATGCCCTAAAGCCTTAGGAATGTATAGAATTTCGTTTTACAGCAAGCAAATGGTCGCCCAGATGAGACCGATACTTTACCCCGTGCATGTATTGCTCCTCGTCCAGGACTTCTTTTCTCATATAAAACAGCTCAAAGTCGGTTCCACGAGACTTTCCCCTTCCCATGCCATGATATCCTACCGCACAAGCCCACCGCCAAATCAGTATCCCAAAAGCCGTTCCGTTCATCAAAGAAACCAAGCCAACCATGAGCATCGCAACATCCGTCCACTAGTCGGGACTGATTACCAGGTAAACCTCTCCTGCACCTGCCACATCATCTCGCCATCTTGCAGCGTGCTGCCAACAGCCACGTTGTCCAGCATGGCCTTACCATCCTCGAACGTCCAAGCGCACGGCAGGAACCTGCTCCCCAGCTTCGCCACGCGCTGCCACTCACCCATGGTACCCTGGGCGCCGACGAAATGCTCCCAGCGCTCGAGGTCGATCTGGCCGTTGATCATCAGCAGCGCTTGGCAGAACTGCGCGACGCGAACGACGATGCCGCGGGCCTGCCGCTCGGGCATATCGAGCGAGAGCACAACGCCGTGGCGGCCAGTCTCGGTGCCGACCAACTATGATCGGAACGCGTACCAATTAGCGGAGACTGCCCCAATCGCAAGAGTGAAGCATGGAAAGAAACAAAAGGACAACAAGCTCACCCTCGGCTCCACCGTGACCCATAGCTCCTGGTAGCCGATCGAGACGCCGCTTCCCCTCTCCCTCTCCATCCGGCCGATCTCCAAGCACGCCTCGGGCCTGCCCGCGACGGGGTACATTTCGCCCTCGTCCTGTGCCGGCTTCTGGTCCGGTGCGACGCACCTGCTGTCGATGACGTGCCTCCACCGCTTCCTCGGCACCGTCATGGCGCCGCTGCCCCACGGTCCTGTCGCGTTGGGATCGTACAGGCGGCCGTATTCGACCGGCACCAGCGGCGGCACCTGCGTGTGCGCGGCCGCGAGCTGCATCTGCGGCATGACCATCGGCGGCAACGTCTCGGACACGCCCGAGAAGGCCCAGTCGAGGCGGTTGAGCGGCCCGCCTGTGTTGGGCAGTGGCAGTTCCGACGGCGGCGTCTGGGGGGTTGGCAGCAGCAGCCGCACGTCGAGGAACGTGTTGCTGGGTGCGGTTAGGACGAGGGTCGTCGTGGGCTCCATGGGGCCTTCGCCTTCCTGTATGTGGCGGGTGAGTCTGCGGTTCGGATGGCAAGCAACAACAAGTGGGAGATTGAATGACGCAATTGGTGGATAGAGCAAGAAAAGACGGCGGTGGACGACGTGGAAGTTACCTACCCAGCAAATCCACTCCCTCACAGAGATGTCTCCAGCCGGCCCCGCGGAGTTGGCAGTAGGCTGTACCATCTTGGAGCTGGATTTAGAAAGGTATCAAGGATCTTGCGACAGTCTACCGGGGGTCTTTATCCAAGCTCTTTTCCGGTCACTACAAGTGACTGTGGCGCCTTCAAGATCTTCGAAGCGACCGAGTTGAAATGTTTCTGCCAGTGGAAAGGTAGCTAAGAAAGTAAGCAGCAACGCGGGAGAAGTAGAAGAAAGACGCGCGAAGCAGAAAGGGAAGCCCGGGATTAGGGATGGAGGTGTGCGACTTGCCCAGCACGTCTAAGGATAGTTCTACGTGTTGGTGCCGTGGCTGTGGTGGATGTAGAGTTGAGAAATGGAAGGAGATGCGATGGCGGCCATAAGTATGCGTCCTTCGGCAGGACGCGTCCCGCTGCCGAGCACGCGGCGCTAGTAAGAGGCCGTTTGGTACAACATCAACCGGTAGTTCGAGATGTCTTTTTAATTAATTTACTTATGCCAGAAACGGGTCATACATGCCTCCTCTATCCGCTTAAAGACGCCTTGCTTTTCCTTTCAACCTGCAATTGCATCGGCTCCGTCGAATATATCCGCGCTAGTCCATCCATGCATGCATTCTAGCACCCTACATTGTAACGCTGACAGCGACGCACTAAACAAGTCCTAAGCTTGTCACTCTCCTTCGCTGCCTAGCCAGTTCTCACGCAGCCGTGGTCTTCGCCGCTAAGCCACCCGTTCCCCTGCTGCTGAAGATTGCCATGATACCAAAGCCCACATAAAACAGTCCCAGAGGATAGGCTACAAGGCCGCGCATACCGCTCATGCGACCAACTGCGCAAAACATGGCGCTGCTGCTGTACGTGCACCACATAATGGCCGCTGTCGTCAATATATATCCAAATGGACCGTCCATGGGCACGACGATGCCGATCAACGACGTCAGGACCAGCGGCAGAAGGCAGTATCCCAGTACCGACGCAGAGCGGGGAAACGTGAGGGTTGAAGAAAAGTGCGACGAGGTGGTGGGGTGCGCCGGGTGGCCGGACGCGCTGGCGGTGGCAGGGTCGACCGGTGGAGACATTAGGGACAGGATCATGTGGAGCGAGGTACTACCTAGCAGCGCCAGGCCGTAGATGTAGCCGAAGTGTACCTTGCCGGACTGTTTACAGCGTCAGCGATTGCACCGCATGCTGAGCGGAGAGCAAGAACTTACGAAGAGCAAAAAGGTACCGAATAGCAGGAAGAACAAGATCGGACCCGCCAGGTCCGAGTCGTCCATGATGTGCTGGTCTATCCTCGCAAGCGGGTTCAGCACCGTGAGAGTCTGCCATTGCCCGCGCCGTCAGTAAACCTGCACCTTGATACATTGCCCGAACGGCACCCTGTCTTCCGTCACCCACGTACCTTCATCTTGATGTGCCCAAAGTTCACGCCCAGCTCTTCCAACAGCGGCGGCTCGCCCTCGTAGCCCTCGGTTCCAAATGCTGCAAGCCAACCCGTCCGCAGTCCACCTTGCTCGCCCATCCTGCCGCTCACGCCGGGCACCGCGCCGCCGAATCCGCTCGGTCCTGCCATGTTGCCCATGCCGCCGAAGCCTGCACCAGAGTATGCGTTGGACACAGCGCCGCCATTGTACGCCTGGAAGGGCGTCGTGTGTCCCGACACGGGCTGTGCCGAGTAGGACGATTGGTAGAAGTTCAGGTTCTGCGCCGCGGCGCCGGGCTGGCCTCCATATGCGCCCGAGCCCCCTGCGTTGGGCGCGCCGTAGTAATTAGACATATTCTCCGTGCGTGGGTGGGTGAGGTGGGCGAGTGAGTGGAGATCCGCCCCGGAACTGCGTATACGTGTCGGGGTAGAAGATGGGGCGATTGCGGGCGGGAGGTCGAGATTTTGGGAATGCGATAGGCGGAAGTGCAAAGGTAGCGATCGGAGATATACGCCGGCAAGGAGAGGGAGTCTGTAGCGGGTGCGCAGCTAAGTTGTGGTGGAGGCGTGCGGGAATGAGTGCGGCCTAGCTTAGCTTCCGCGGTGAAGTGGTCTCAAAAGAGGTCACGTGCGTCTCGAGCTTATGTACTACCAAACCCCTCCGCAATTCCGGAAACAGCGCAATTTTGTCATACGCTAGGGTTATCTGGGAAGTGTTAAATATAGAATCCGGGCGTGCCGTAGTATTCAGTTTGGACCTCAGGTGAGAGGAGGGCCAGACGAAGTTCAATCGGGGTACACAAGCTTGGCTCTACCTTCATCCTATCAAATAGTGATTCATTTGTGTCACTTTCTTGAAAATGATACTCTTTTCTATAATCGATCTCTTCTCGCATTTACGATTCAAACAGTTGTAAAATGCTCGCACGTTCGCATGTCATGCTCATGCCTTCCTGTTCATCCCTAGAAAACCCAGTATCTTCCAGGGGCCGCCAGCCTATGCCAATTGCTTCCGCCAGAAATGCAAACAAACCAAACCATTGCATGCTATGCTTCTCTACTGCGTCGCGATTCCGCTCTTGCGCGCTATGCCTACCGCAAATTCCAATCATGTCAAAGTGACACTTCATGCATCTACGCGAACCAAACGGACTGAATGCAATGTATCAAAAAGAAAAAAAAAATGGTGCCGCAAAACTAAACGCTTAACTGATTATCGAGAATCAAGGCCGCAATGCTAACAATAATCAAAGAACACTCAACATGCTGCTCAATCACGGCGTCTACGCAAAATGCTCAGTCATTGAAGAGAAGGGTATCATGGGGAGTTCCGGGACACGTCGTCGTGCGTCGTCCGGAACATCGTTACTAAGGAGGCCGTGCATTCTTAGTCTTTTCTCGTTTCGTCATCACCATGTGCCGGGGCCGAAGTGCTCTCCCGGTTCGACAGTCCTATATGAGCACGCTTGCCAATCGCAACCCTAAGTCAAATACGTTAGTTCGCCGTCTGACAGCCCAGGATTGAGACGAAACGCACCTGCTTGAAGATTTCGGTTCCCCACCAGCTGAATCCCTTGTTGAAGCCGGGGTAAATCACTCCGAAGAAAACGATGACAACGCCAACTGCGACGCCGGAGTCAAGCGCTGCGGAAAGCGTCATGGTGTATTTCTTCCACCACGCGCTATGGCGAGTTCGGATGAAGTCGTTGAAAAGCCAGCAGACCACAGCCCACACCGAGAAGTTGAGGCCGGTTGCTGGCGGAATCCAGCTAAGACTGCCAAAAAGCACCGGAAGATTGACCTTTCGCCAAACGCTGTGCTTTTGCTTTCGGCCAAGGAGCCACACCCCGACAGGGGAAACGGCGCCGAGCAAGAAAGCCCAAACAAGCGGTCTGTACAGTGCTCCAGGCCCGAAAAACCGCGCCGGACCAACTACACCCCACAAAATGCTTCCGTTGAAATGAACCCGGGCGATTGGGCAATTGAAGCCGTTGATGGCCTCCGGCGTGCAGATACCAGGGATAAATGCCAGCATCCAGTTCAAGACGCCAATCTGAGTAAGGCTGGAAACAATCGTGGCCGCGAGCTGGAGCGTGAAAAGCAGTCTCGGTGGGATTTTCATGTAGTGGCCAAGTTTAAGGTCCGACGAGAATTTCAAGCCTTGAGTGGATGTGATATATCCATATGTCACAAACACCATGTTCGCAACCGGTCGTCCAGGAAACACTACACCGCAGATGAGCTGACAAATGAGGTAAAGGCTACTTTGCTGGTTGGTGATCGCCATCACGATGCCGATAGGAATGAAGAGGAGGGTGCAAATTCCCAGAGCGAGCAAAAGACCGTACCAAGGCAGGTGAATGGGGTAACTGGAATCAAGTCAGGAGCTGTGCGTAGCATAGCTGCTAGGGAAACTTACTATTCCACCACAAACATGCCAATTGCAGTCATGGCGACTCCTGTGAAGAGATACCACGACATTGGCGCGTCTTTGTATCTCCTCATCAGCCGGTTGTGGACATCCTCCACGCCCATCATGTTGTCCAGATCGGGCATCGAAGCTGTCATGCTACGGGTTGACTTCTTGTGGCGCAGAGAACGGTCTTCCTGGGGAATTTGCTGATACCCGGGTTGTTCGCTCTGTCCCTTGATCTCTTTCCAGGATGCTTTCCATTGCCGCAGAATGTCCTTTCCGTGCCAGCATGCCGTATGCGAAAGCAGCGCAGTAAGAGCTGCAAATTGAAGGGCATAGCTCAGCACATACGTGATTGGCAAGAATACACGGCTGTAGCTCTCGTAGGCCTTTTCATCGAATAGGAAGTTGTCGGTGAGAATTTTGCTGACATCGTACGGTTTACCAGTGTTGTCGAAGACGGCGGCTGATAGAATTGGCATGTACGAGGAATACATGACGTTCAGGTAGTCTGGGATGAAATCAGCAAGTATTACAACACATCGCACAGCATGGACATACACATTATGGGGGCCATGATCCACATGACAACCACTAGCCCTCCAACAATGTTGAGAGCAGCCCAAAAAGGCACGACCAGTGGAGAGCCAATATACGCAATCTGCGACCAATCAAATGTCATGGGAAATAGTCCGAGACCAGAGGCAACACCAAACTAAAGACTGTCAGCGTCAAGTCAAACCATGAAAGGGCGGAATTGGCTGACCAGATTTGCAACAACGACGTTCTTGGGCGCAAACCATGTGATGACGCTGAAATAACTCAGAGCCGGGAAGAGCAGACCAGGAAGGAAATAGAATGCTGCCGATCCCAGGAAGACATAGAGGAAAAACCTCATACGTGAAATATGCCACCCGTTGGCTGGTGCATTGTCTTGCTTATGCAACGTGGAAAACATTGATGTCGAAATCAAGGTGCCGGGCCAGATCATTCCACTAGGTCTGACAAGGAAGCGTCGGGTGAGACCTGCAAGAGCATATCCCAGAACCTGAGTTGAGATGGTGAGGAGGATTTGATAGGTGATGGTGAGTTTCTGGTGGTAGAACATGGATTGCTCGACGATGACCTGGACAGTGCATTAGCGAGCGTGTGCGTCGAACGTGCGCAAGACGTGCATACATCGGTAGCAAAAGCAAATCCGAACGAGACGTTACTGCTGATATACACACAGCAGTGCTCTTTTTCATTCCACCTCCCCTGCGCAAGCCATAACCGAATGCTGCGTGCCCAGCTCCGTCCACGTTTGCCATGCAAAGCGCTGCGATCGCCATCTCTGCTTGCGCCGTTTGATGAGCCATAGTCCTGCGAGTCTGCGGCCCTGTGGTGGATTGACCCGTTGGTGAAGACTTCGGCAGGGTCGTCAGGGCGTTTCAAAAGCTGATCCCATAAAAGACCAAGGGGGTGGACCAGCAGAAGCGCAATGACAGGTGTAATGCTAACGCTAGGGTATCTGAGGGAAAAGAACAAATTGGTTGAGGAGCCGAGGATGGAGAAAAGCATGGATAGCGTCCACATTCGAGGGGTATTGATCGAGAGGGAGGTGTCGTCTGAGGGCCGCACTGCAGCGCGCACCTGAGGGTAGGGCGAGTCGTCCGAGGGGCTTTCCTCAGCCGGCTTGCTCTGAACCTCTTCCTCGGCCTCCGAATTGCCCTCGGAACCGTCAATATCGATGGCCTCAGAGTTATCGGAGCGGCCTGACTCCGAGTGCGTGTCCTCGTCGGACTCCATTTCTCCGTCCAGATTGCCCACCCAAGCCTCGACGGCGGAAGTGTGCTCGTCCGGTAGGTTGAAATTTGGCAAACTCTTCCTGCGGCTCCGCCTGCTGCCCTTGGGGTTCAGCAGCCGGCCGGTTGAAGCAAAACGGCTGCGCGTCGACTTGCTCGACTCGGGCTCCTCGGATATCGTGTCAGCCTCGCGCAGGTTGCTGGCGGCCTTGCGCTTGCCGGTGCGGATGGCGTGGTCGAGGTCGTGCACGCCCTCGTCGGCAGAGCTTTCGTTGCTCGTGCTCAGCATCTGGACGGGCAAAGCGCCGTAGGAGCCGGTGCCCTGGGCGGGCGACGAGCGCAGCAGCAGCGGGACCTTTGACATGGTGGTGCGCGGGCGGGGGACAGTGCTGGGGCCCGGCGCGTGGGAGTCGCCGAGGGCGGAGGAAAATGTGGAAGAATGTGGCAGGCAGGCGTGAGGGTGTGGTGGTACAGCGCGGGGAGGGAAAGGTGGATAGGCAGCATCGGGGAGGTGGCTGATGCAGAGGGTTGCTTTTTTTGTGCTTCGGGATTGCGGCTTGGGCGTGCCATCTAGCTTGGGCGCGGCGGATGAGGCGTGGTCGTCAGGACGTGGACAACACGCTCCTGACGTGGAAGGACTGGCCGGCGCCTGTTCCGCGAGCTCGGAGGCCTGCATGCGACGGCGCGTCACTAACACAGCTGCGAGCCAGGCTTCTGGGACGCTTGGGGCTTGGGCAGGCTCTTCCATCAGATAACGAGGCTAGATCCGCCGTACGATAAAGCGGCGAAATGCGGAACGTGACTCAACGTGGGGCCTTGCCTCGCCTTTGCAGCGGCAGGCGCGGCGGTGAGCGCGGTCCTAGCAGCGATCGCAGGATTTTTTCTCTGCTCGTCACGCATCTCTCCCGCATGTGCGCATGACATGCTGCCCACCCGCTGTCGTCACCGACGGAGCGACCGCCCAAATGCGCAGGCCCGTCCCTTGCAGCCGCCCGCCGACAAATAGCACCGAGCCTGCCAGCCTGGCACGCGCGCCGTCCGCCTGTTGCACGCCTCTCTGACACTCAAGGGTCCTCGCTGCAAGCACACTGTCTAGCATTTGTATCGTATTGTATTGTACATACTTTTACTGTACAGGGTATCGAGCCGCCGCCGCCGCTCACTCGTCTGACGAATTCAGCTTGCGCGCCAAATGCGCGTGCATCAATGCAACCTCGTCCAAACTGGCAATGGCGCCCTCCAGATCCTCCTTGTTGTAGAGGAACAGCCCCTGGAGCTCAGCCGGGCTCAGCGCACCCACTAGGCCGAGCTTACGCGCCTTTTCCAAAAACCTCTGCCGGCCCGCGCCGTCGGGATCCGCCTCGCCGTAGAAACGCTCCAGCAGCTGCTTGATCTGCCAACCCGTTGCCTCTCCTATACGCACTGTGACATCCACTCGGCCCGGCCGGATCAGCGCCTCGTCCAACCGCTCCACATGGTTCGTCGTCAGGAAAAGTATACGCTCTTCGGCGCTAGCGACGCCGTCAAGCGCGTTGAGGAGCCCGGAGAAGGTGACTGATGCTCCAGAGTACCCGTCCTCATTGGCTTGTTTGCGATTCACCCAGGCCGCGTCCGCATCCTCCAAGAGCACCAAGGTCCGCGGGGGCACCTTGGTCAGCATGAACTGCAGCCTGTCGTCAGTCATGCCCCGCTGGCTCAGGTTAAGCATAGCGATGTTGAAATTTAAGTGGCCCGCAAGCGCCTCAATAACCGAGCTTTTACCCGTCCCCGGCGGGCCGTAGAGCAGGTAGCCCCTCCGATACGGAATTCCCCGGTCAAAGTACCACTCTCGCTTCTGGATGAATTCCTGCAGGTCCTGGACCAGCCGCTCCTTGACCCCTTCTTCGAGCACCACCGACTCGAGCGGCCTCTTCCGCTTCGGCTGCCCGAAAGGCTTCCAGTCAAATGCGTCCGGGACAAGGACGATTGTCTTGCCCTCTTGGTTCTGCTGTGCCATCTTATGGGCCTCGGCAAAGAGCTGCTCAAAGACGTGCTTGTGAGCTTGCAGTGTCGTGAGCGTGACCGTCTCGAAGGGTTCGCCATTGGTGTCCAAATGATTTCCCTGGCGCTCTCGGTTGACCAACATCCAAGCGTTTTTGTAGCGCATGATGTGTTTTCCATGTCCGGGCTGAAGATAGAAGTCGGTTACTTGTACGCCGTCGGCACGCTTGTACGTGCTTGTATTGAGCTGGAGATGGTGCATTCGGGGAGTGATTCGGCGTGCGAGCGCATCGAACAAGCCACGGCTTGCGGCATCTCTGGATTATTTATTAGAAGACTCAATCAGCTGCGGTGGCCAGGATTGCGACGCACCGAGAAGCCTCAGCAGCAGCCCCTGATCCTAACGCATGGCCCCGGTGGTACATCCATTGCAGCAACCACGGATAGGCATCGTCATTCTTTGTAATTTCCAGCTCGACGAGCAAGCGACGGCGGAGGAGCACGGCACCACGCTTGATACCCTGTTGAGCTAAGCGGCCAAAAGTTGCAAGGCCTGCAAGGCCAAAGCCCTGAGAATATGCTGTCAGCAACGCGCCCTGGCGTATGCATGTTGGATCGGACTGACAGCAGTGAAGTAGGGATTGCCCGTGAGCTGGGCAATGAGCGAGCCGCCGCCATCGCTGGTGCTCGCGGAGAGAGACTCGGCTAGCTGCTGCTGAGGTTGCGGCGGAGATCCGGGCCCATGATTGCGATCCATCAACAGGCAGGTTTCGCGGTGTTGCGCTTGTCGAGCTCCGAAAATTTGGGAAGCCGCGACCGGCGCGCGTCATGGCGCATGGCTGCTGCCAAGCTCAGATCCCGGCGATCAGCCATTCCCCTTGCGGTCTGGTCTGCGGCCATAGCTCGCTTCCTCTTCCAGATACAGGACCCTTGGTCGCAGCAGTTGCTCCAGCTTCCACACTCCACATTCTGCATTTTCTGCCCGCTCGCCTACGTTTCGCCTCATGGAGCAGCAGGCCGCCGCTTGCGGCGATACTCTCGAAATCGACGCAGAATATCTCCGTTTCCTGGTCACGCAGTAAGCCTTACTCCGCAGCTACTTGAAGATCTGATGCTAACGCGAACGAAGCGCGCATGCTGTACGTCTTGCAGGGCTTCAATGTTGCCATCTGCAGCATCTTCGAGCTAACCAATGGGAAGACACGTCCCTTAGATCCATTTGATTCTTCTATGGTGCGGATTCGCGGCATCGAGTATGATTTCCTGGTGAGTATCTACTGCCATCATGTGCAAACGCACCTACCGCTAACCTTCAGTCATAACAGAAGCGCAGTCTTACTGACTATCGTACGAACCTACCATTTCCTCCGATCAAGAAGTTTTTAACATGACACAGTCACCCTCCGGAAGAACATGCTTGATTATGGCATCAAGCCTACCATTCTTGAAGCGTTCTTGAATCCGGACGGCTTCGACGCTCATTCTAACACTACACAGCGCCCCAGTGGCTTTGGTGCTGGAATATCAATGCCCGAGTCAATGGAACATCCCGTACCTAGCTCCTTCGACCATGTCACGCACATTCTCACAGGAAACCCCGTCATGAATGAGACTGCGCTTCGCCCCAATGAACGCTGGTACGATAGCGTTACTGCCTCGGAGGCTGAAGCCGGCTTTAATGCTACCCCGGAAGTCTTCACTACTCACAATCCAGAAGCCCCCGTCTTTCGGATGCCCGAGCAATCCGAATCTGAGTATGACCTTCCCGTGACTGGAGGTAGCAATGACTATGGCCGCGAGTACAACGTTGAGCACGACACATCCTCTAGACCAGGACACATCTCACTCAATGATAAACGTACCATTGAAATCACGGGCTTTTCGCCAGCTACTTCTCTCAAGGAGGTTGTTGCACACGTCAAGGGTGGCATGATTGTCGAGGCCTACCGTTGTAATGATCGAGTTGTACGCCTCTCCTTTCTACATGGCGTAGACGCCGAAGCTTTCTACACCTATGCAAAGCGCAATGACATGTATATCAACAACAAGCGGGTAAGTCATAATTGCCCATCAAACAATATATGACAATTGACTACAGCAGTGTACAGGTTGCAGTCAATTGGTCTGGTCGGCAGTGGACAATCTCTCCCTTCATAGAGAGCAAGATCATGCACGGAGCTACACGCGTCTTGCGACTACACGAAGCGTGTCGCTATCTCACTGAGCAAAACATTCGACTTGACATGGATCACATTGACAACCTTATTATCCTCGACATCAAGGCGCAAGGGAATGATCTTGTTGTATACACTAACTCCGTGCAACTTTGTGGATTCGCTCGTAGCTGTATGGCCCCCATACCCTGCTCATTCCAAGGGATCACAGAGGCAATTTCTGACTGCATTAGGCATGATGTCGCGCAAGCCGTACAAGTCACTGAAGATTGGATTCGAGAGAGATGACTGCGACGAGCCTCTTCCCCAGCGCGTTCGTCCTAACTACGCCAACCCCGCTCGCCCGTCTTCTCAGCACACGTTTCAGCCAAGGGCTTCCGGCAACTTCTACGATGTCCTCGACTTGGAGCCCACGGAAGATGAGGAAGATGACAACAGTCTATGGCAGACTGGCAGGCACGATAGAGCTTCCAGTGACTTCTCCTCGGTGATCTACGAGGCGCGCCAGGATGATTCAGACCCTATACACATCGATTAAGCCTGCTTTTGTCAGCTATGAAGAGGCAGAATCTCTTGTTGGCGCGAATTCTACTCATAGACAAAATCGCCACAACACCGTTTGCGCTGGATAAATGCCATCCCCCAGCAACCAGACTGAGTTAAAATCACTTCCAGCAGCACCTCCGGTACCGGTCTAATTTCGAGCCTGGACATTGATCCCACTGGGCTGACTGCCACGGCCATACAGCACCAAATCAAAGGTCCTATCAAGTATCATTCTCAACTCAGTACGAGAGTTCTGAGACTGGTGCCATTAACCTCTCAGTTCATTCCTTACTAACATGCTTTCTTCCTTTCATGATTCAGTATTCTTTGACCTCCTCTTCGCTTAATGACTTCTCTATCTGCACATTAATTTCCTCACTCAATCGGTCAGAACACAAAAGATATCCCACATGAGCCTGGTCCCTGAGTTTACGGTATCGCGGTGTACTAGACATAGGAGGTTGGACTTCATTGATACCTGGGATGTGGCGTAGTCTAGGATAATGAAATTCAGGAAATGAGCAGAATCAATCTGCAAAATAGATTCATTACATCCCTACATTCGGTCTTGCAAAAGAAAGCATTATCGACGTCGTACTCGCGCCTCAACTTTCTAGCAAAGCGACGGCAATTGGCCAAGTCTAATAGATCTTAGCTTTTAGCACGCTGTCGAATAACTATGGCAATTTTTACCTCTTCATTGAATCACACATGGTGTCAACTAGACCCGTGCGGCTCGATGAATTCAGGATGCAAACGAGACTAGTAGCAACTCGCGTAGAGCTCAACTGAACCTTTGACCTGATCAGCGTATAGAGTCACCGAGACTTGACGGCCAGTAGCAAGCGAGCTTAAGCCATGAAATGCCAAAATGACATTCTTAACCGTCATTCATATATCCCAAAGGGTACTGACTATTCGCAATGTTACCCCCTACCGACCGTCCCACGAATCATGCAACAGCAGCATGCGTAAAGGGGAGAAAAGAAAAAACTCCCAAGCCGGTCTTTTTTGTTCTGCCTCTTTTCAAACAGTCCCGCATTCAGTTCCAGCAACCACGACAACGGCCTTGACACGTGCTTTTCTCTTTTGGATCCCCGGGAACCAATCAACCTGGTGATAGAACTCCTACCCATGCACGGTTTTTGCAAAACAAGAGTCTAAGCAAATGATGCCACCGGCGAGCACCAGAACGAACTACCGGCCAAACCCCGGTGCTTCCTCGCTCATCGCACACACCTGGTGTCCATAGTGGCAGGCTCCTTCCTCGCGAGAGCCCTCTCAAAGGCCGCATACACATCGAAACCAGCCCCGGACCCACCTGTGCTTCAATTATGAGGCATTCCCAGATTAGGATCCAGGTATCTAGTAGGTCCTGGCAAGGTTGCGGAGATACCAGTCTACGAGCCTGCGGCCCACCTTGGCCTCGGAAACGTGAATGAGATCCTGTTTGACAGTCAGCATACAAAACCAAAGATGATTTGTGAGTAAAGTAGGGTCACTTACGCCCTCCATAGCGTAGTCGAGGTCGCTGCTGTTGACGACATCACCGTCGAGCAGACCACCCTCGCTCCACCTGACCTGCCTGCTCCTCTGCTTGTTGACGAGCAGCCAGCAGCGGAGCTTCTCAGGCTCCACGTCGAGGAAACCGGCCAGCTTCTTGAGATCCATGGTAGTGTAGAGCTTCAGGTAGCTCTTGACGGTGGGCGACCACATGTTGTTCTTAACCTCCTCCATGAAGATGCGGCAATGGTGGTCAATGGGGTCCACGTTGACTTCCGGGTTGTCGAAGTCCGGAGGGGTGGGGGAGATGAACTTGGGGCAAGCCTGGCGGAAGAGCTCCTCGAACAGGGGCAGGGCCTCGGGACCGCCACGCTGGAGGCGGTTGAACTGCTCGCCGTACTTCTCGCGGAGAGCGGAGTGGATGGTGTCGTCCAGCCTGGTGGGGTGGAAGGCAACGCAGATGGCGATCAGAGCGTACATCTGATCGTTCTTCTTGGTGATGGAGTCGTACTGAGCGTTCTTCTGGAAGTTCTTGGTCCTCGAGACGTAGACCAGGATGTGGCTGAACATGCGGATGGCATCGGCGTAGCGGCGCATCATCATGTAGGAGAAACCAACATAGTAGTAGGTGGTGAAGTGAGCGGCCATGACGCGGGCAAACATGGCCTTCTTGTTGAGCTCGATGTCGTCGAGGGTCTTGAGGGCCAGGCTGAAATCACCGAGCAGGCAGTGAACGCGGAGCAGGCCGATGATGGAGAAGTAGCCGAGCATCTTGTACAGCGGGCGGTTGCCGTACTCGCCGGCGAACTGGGCGGGATCCTCGCCGCGCTTCATGGCGGCCAGCTGCTCGCTGATCTGCGAGCGCTGGATCAGCGAGTACAGGACGTTCAGAACGCTGTAGCAGCCCCAGGTGTTGGGGTTCTCGCGGAGCAGCTGGATCTCCTCCTCGTTGTCGCCCTTCAGCGCAACCTTTTGTCTGAAGCTGCAGAAGCTGTTGAATTGGTAGATGAACTCATCGATGACATCCCAGGCCCAGTAGTACTGTACATGCATCAGCACAACCGTTCTTCACAGAATGTATGCAGGGGTGCTCACGTTGGGAACCTCGAGGTCGACGGGGCCATCGGAGTTGAGGATGAAGTGGAAGAGGCTGCAGTAGTTGTCGTAACTGGCGAACTTGGTCTCGAGGGTGGCCTGGAACTCGAGCGGGGTGGCAGCGGCGGCAAGCTGGGCGTGGATGTCCTGGCCGCCGAGCGACGAAGTGCGGTCGAGAGCGTCCATGCCATCATCGTACTGGACCTGCTCGCGGTAGTCGTTGGCGAGGGCCTCCTCCTCGACGTCCGAGTCATCGGCGTGCACGCGCACGGGCGTCTCGGCCTGCGGGATGTTGTTGCGCAAGCTCATGGCGGGCGAATAGAAGGCGCGGTGGGATGCGCGGGGGGCGGTGGGTGGGCGTGCGGTGGAGCGTGTCGAGGCGTCGCGCGTCGTGAGGATTGAATTTGGTGTTTCGCTTGGTGTGCGAGCCCGAACGCCGCCTTATCGATAAGAACCACTAGGCCAACCCGCCTGCGGGGGAAGCCCACTCTCCGCCTCACCCACGGTTAATAACATTGCACGATGGCCCAGACAATCAAGGTCGCAGTGATTCAGCTGCATCCCAAGGTCCGTTCTCGCCGTGATGTGCTCGCTCCATCGCTCACACGCAGCCGCTACAGCCCCTCCAAATCGAGCACAATTTCAACAAAGCCGCAAGTTTTGTCAAGTCGGCTGCACTGCAGGGCGCTGAACTTGCTGTGCTACCTGAATACCATCTGACCAACTGGGTCCCAAAAGATCCTGGCTTCCTTCCGCTCTGCGAGCAGTGGGAAACCTACCTCAAGAAGTATCAGGCCCTCGCTAAAGAACATCGGATCTGCATTGTCCCCGGCACTATCGTCGAGAGACACCGTGACGCCGAGAAAGAAGAGGACAAGCTACTCAACGTTGCCTATTTCATCAATCAGGATGGTGAGATCATCGGCAAATACGTGAAGAAAAACCTGTGGTAAGTGAGCCCTGAGCGGGCAGTTTAGTGATTATCCCGTCTCCCTGTCTTAGTCCCAAACCTGCCAATCGCTTGCCCTCGTTTCTCAAAGGCTGCTGCTTATTCGAACTCTCCTACAGGGGTCCGGAGCGCGAACACCTCACCTCATCCGGCCGCGACATCCACGAGGTCTTCGACACCCCAATCGGCCGCGTTGGCATGCTCGTCTGTTGGGATCTGGCGTTCCCAGAAGCATTCCGTGAACTGATCTCCCAGGGTGCTAAGATCATTATTATTCCATCATTCTGTCAGTCCACTCCTCACGAAGACATCACTTTTGACTAAACTTTTCCAGGGACATTGGCCGACTGTTCACCCAAAGGCCTTGGCTACAACCCGTCCTCCGAAGCCCTCTTCCTCGATAGTATGCTGACTGCACGCGCTTTCGAGAACACTTGCGGTAAGAGCCTTCCTCCACAAGGAAGCCATCCTCTTAGCTTTCGAAATCTAACTTTTCACTCCGTAGCCATCATCTTTTCCAACGCTGGCGGTCCTGCTGGAAAGGGGTATGCCGGGGTCTCGCAAGTTACGGTCCCCTACATCGGTCCTGTGACTCGCCTGGGCAGCTGTGCCGAGGGCATGAGCATTGTCGACCTCGATCTTACCATCCTTGAGGATGCGGAACAGAACTATCAGGTTCGCGCGGACTTGGCTCGTCACGATTGGCACTATGATTACCGGCACAGCGCAAAGGGGAAGCTTTGAAGATCGAAATGAGCAGTGTAAAGTGAAGATTCAAAGTGGAAGAAGATTTTTATTTGATATTGCTCTCAACCTGGTTGGTCAAAATATTCCCAAATTTTATGAATGAGTGTATTTGGAAGAATAAGAAAAAGAGTAAGGAAAAAAAAAGAATGGCAACTGTTCCCAGTCTAACGGGTTTGAAGATCCCCCCAAAAATCGAATCAATGAATGTCTTTTAGGAGAAGGGAAGTATAAGAAAAAAAAACAATTCTCCAAAAAAAAAAAAAACGTTGGTCTAAATCTCAATGTGCAGCGTTCTCTACGGGTATACCCAAATGTCAACAAAAAGTTTTGACCCATCCAACTCCGTTGATACTGTTACAGAAAGAAATCACCCCAATGGCCATGTTCGTTCCCAGTAGCGTTTACTGGTCGATCCACAGGTTCGGCGCATCGGCAAACTTGATGCGCTGGCCCGGCAGAACCTTGCTGCACTCAGTAAGGTTGTTGATGTTATTGACGCCGAGGAGGCTGAGCCGGGTGTAGGCCGTGGCGTAGTCCTCGTTCCAGTGCTTCTGGCCCTTGACGGGATCCGTGAACTGGACCCACTCATCCTGAATCCTGCTGTCGTTGGCGAGGGCGACGTCGCTCGCGAAGCGAAACACGCCTTTAGGAACCTTGCCGGATGTCGTCTGGTTGTAGAAACGGGTGTCCCAGACGCCCGGAGTGCTGTCTTGGGGCGCGTTCGCCATGGAGGTGTTGACGAAGAACTGCTGCGAGGTCGTGTGGGCACCAACGAGCGCCGTGAGCTCGTGGGGGCTGATGGTCTTGTCTTGGAAGAGTTTGATGAGCTTGTCGGCGCTGTCGTTGACGCCTGGGAGCAGGCCATCCGGAGCCGGGGTTTTGCTGTCCTGGCGACCTGCGAAGAAGCGGATGCGCGGTCCTAACGGGCACGTCACAACGGCATGCACGGCGGCGAACTGGATCAGATCGGCCATGCCGACGTTGTAGCGCTTCTGCCAGGTGATCATCTTGCCGATGATGTCCTGCAGACCGTTGTTCTCAGGCCGGTTGATCTCGGTGCCGGAAAGCGCGATGCTGCCGTCCGCTCCGCCGCCAGTAGTGCTCTTGGACCAGCTACCTGCATCGTGGAAACCAAGGCGAATGGCGGCACGGGCCCATTTGTTACAGCGGCCAGTAGGACCCGTGAAAGCGATGCTGAGTTCCAGGGAAACCCAAGACCAGACGCAGCAGGTGTCCTGCTTGCAGGCTTTGGTCCCGAGAATGGGTGGGATGTATCCGCCAGCTTGAGACTCGCCCGACTCGTTTCCTGTCAGGATGTTGTAGATGCTTTGGCCGACTTTGGAAGTAGGGCCAACAGTGGCAAGGTCACCAATCATCTCGGGAGAGGCATCGTTGTCTGCGTTCAAGTCGACGACGACATCGGTGTTGGCGTCCTGACGAGCTTCGATTTCGGCAAGAACTTTGCCCATTCCAGGATAAGCCACGGCGGGTTGAATGAGGACGGTCAGAGCAATGCTCGAAACGACCGAGGAGAACTTCATAATGATTGTTGGTTGAAAGGACTAAACAGGAGGTGAATGAAAGGCTGGGAGCAAGACTATCCCAGGATAGAGATCGTGGAGAACGACTGCACTCAAGTGGATGGTTAGAGAATGTTGGTTGTGTAGACTTTAAAGGCAGCGGGGCAGCGGGTAAGATATAGTAGGTCTCATTCATGAAACGCCATCACTCGGCCGTTCTGGCCGTTCTGCCCGTCAGCATGGAGTTTCCCGCAAGCCGTGGGAGAGAGTAGCATCACGCCAGAAAGGACAATTCCAGCGGCAGAGGACGACCAGAACCGGGTCCAGGTTGATGCTCTAAAAGTAGGGTCGCAACGCCCAAGGCCGTTTCTAGTTAGCCTGATGACGCCTGTAGATATTTTGGGCGAACGTGCATGGACGGCGCCACGCCAAGCGAGGACATGTCGGCCTTCCTTCTTCCCATCTGGCTAGACAGCTCGTTTCGCATTGCAGCAGTGCGCCATGGCGCTGCAGTGGGAATATCCGATGCACATGTTCAGCGATCAGCCCTGCAGGCCCCAGATCCAGCACCGGGCCCAGTAGAATGCGGGGGATCCGGTGGGCTGGAAAGGTAGTCGAGGCGCATCGAGACCCTGGCTACTCAGCCTCAGCTGCCGCGCTCCGCGGGGACCACGGTCATGGCCACGTTCTGCCTGGCACTCTTGCAATGGCGGAGGCTGACGATCCGGGGCGGGCTCGACGCTAAGGCAGGATGGGCCCCCGGAGTGATTTACAATAATTCTGTGGACATTGTCAAGTGGCGATGGAATAAGGCGGACGGCGTCACCGATGCACGAACACCACAGCCAGAGATGTCCTGTCTTTTTCTGGTCTACTTCTTGGCCTCCTCGGCTTCCTCTTTGACCTTTGCATCTTTCTTCGGCGGGCGCACGCCAAAGATGGTGGTACCCACTCTGACCTCGTCGCTTCCCAGGGCAATGGCGCCCTCGAAGTCGGAGCTCATGCCCATGCTCAGCTCCAGCTCGTCTGGCCCCAGGCCAAGCTCCTTGGCGACCTTGTCCCGCACATCGCGCAGCGTCACGAAGTCTTCGTTCTCCGTCTCTGGAGTGGTTGCCTGGGAGCGGGCAATGGCACCAATGGTCATGAGGCCTGCTAGCTTGAGATGCGGGCACTTCTCGCGGATATGGCGACACAGGGCCGCCGTGTCCCTCGGCTCCACGCCGCTCTTCTCCTCCTCGCCCGATGTATTGACCTGGACCATGATGCGCAGCGGCTCTTTCACATCCTCGCCGGCACTCTTCTCGACCAGCGTCTTGCGACCCTTCTCCAGCTGATCGGCCTTCTTGGTCGAGTCGACGCTTGACACGCACCACAGGTTAGGAATCTGCTCGGCTAGCTTGGAGCACTTGTTGGTCTGCAGGGCGCCGATAAAGTGCCATCGTATGCTGCGCGGCAGCAGGGCGGCCTTCTCTTGCAGCTCCTGGAAGTAGTTCTCGCCGAAGTGGTAGTGGGTGTTCGGTGCAGGCGCCGTGTGCAGGGCAAGCACGTCGGTGGCAGGCTTCAGCTTCGAGACAGCAATGAGGCGGACCTGGCTGGTGTCAGCTTAGGGGTTTTGTCGTTGGCTGTGAGGAAGGTGCGACGCACGTTTCTGCCGGCCTTATTGGCGAGGCCTATTCGGTGGGAGACATGGGCAATGTTCTCGATGAGCTCTGTGGCCCGCGCAGGATTCACTTTCATGTCGTTGTCAGCCATGTTGCAGGGTGGGAGAAAAGCGAGAGGGCGACAGCAAGTGACGTGAGGCGGCGTCGGTTCCTGAGTCATGTCGACCCGTCACAGATCCTAGCAACTGCATCCAACTTTGAACGTCTACAGGCATGCTGAATACACAGCATACCCCAACCTCAACGCTCGTATTTAGTCCCTTTCCAGCAATAATTGGCTGCTTAGCGCCGAGGATCGCCCCTGACGAAGCCAGCCAGCCGCAGGCCTGGCAGGTTCCGTAACTCTTCTTCTCCTTTGCTGTACCCCTCTCTCCTTACGTCTCAGCATCCCGTGTGGCAGTGCAGTGAGGGACGACCTCACACACTAGTCGCATAAGTCGCATCCATGTATTGCTGAGCTCACATGAGCGCCGGGTGGTTGAGGCCCTTCCTAAGGGCTCTACTTCATTTTCTAATCGAATCGTTTGTCCCCGCTCACACTCTCCTACCCAAAAAAGAAGCAGGCCTAACAAAGATACACTACATAGAGATGACCGAATAATAAGCATTAGCGGTGCCATGCAAATAGGGTAAGGAGCTCGACATCAAGATTCGTCCATCGTAAAGCGCAGTATTTCGGTTCCCCTGCGCGACATTTAAAACGACATCCAGCCACCACCCCGAATTTGTCATGCCCAATTCCCACCACATGGCAAACTCCCCCCAGTGCGCACGTGCGCCTCCGCCGAGAATCTGCAAGCCTACAGCTTCATTTCGGGCGAGGGCTGGGCTTTGCCACGTCTTGCCAATCTAGCCCCAGACGTTGAAGGAGCGGCGGACGGCAGCGCGCTTCTGAGCCTCCGAGACGCCACCCGTCGTGCCGTTCTGCGCAGCCTCAGCGGCAGCCGCCGCATCGCCAGTTCCCTGCGCAGCCGCCGCGTCGGCGGCCGGAGTCGCAGCAGCGCCCTGCTCGGCAGCGGCTTGTTCGGCGGCGGCCTGTTCGGCAGCGGCCTGGTCAGCGGCGGCCTGCTCGTCGGCGGCCTGCTGGTCCTCGCCCTTCTGGCTGTCATCCTGCCCGCCCGCAGCCGCGGCCTGGCAAGCCTGCGAGGCCGCCTGCTGCGCGTCGCCGAGCTGCTGCTTCGCGTCTTCGCCGGCCTTGACGCCGTCCTCGCCCTTCGCGTAGGCCTGCGCCTGGGCGGCCTTGATCTTGGCGGCCTGCGCGGCCAGCGCGAACTCCTCCGCCTTCTTGGCCGAGTCGAGGGCCGCGGCGTCGAGGCGGGCCGCTTTGACGAGCTGGAGCTGGGCGATCTTCAGGGCATCTGTCGAACATCTTCGTCAGCGAGGGGGGAAAAGTGTCGTTGCTTGGAGGTGGTTCGCCTAATGGGATGAAGGATGAAAGGGCCAGGAAAGGAAGAGGACAGTGACTTACCCTCCTGCTTCTTCTTGTCGTCATCGTTGTTGTCGAGGCCAAGGATGATTATGATGGCATTCTGGTCATTGTCATCATCATCATCATCGTCCCGGTCCCGTTCGCGGCGGTCATCGTCACGGCGGTCATCGTCACGGCCAAAGCCGAACAGTGCCTCGCGCTTGAAGGCGCCGGTAACGCTGCGAGCAGCCTGCTTCGCGCTGTTGGCGAGCGTGTTGGTGTTGGCAGCTGGGAAGAGAGCAATGTTAGTTCGTGTTTTGGTAATCATTCATGTTCCGTTCTTGGCAGGTAGACGGCGTGGAATATGGATCAGCTTACAGCCAGACTTGACAGGCGAAGCCGCTGCCAGAGCGACGACGGAGAGAAGAGCAACAGCGGAGTACTTCATCTTGGCTGGTGGGTTGGTGGGATGAGCTTCAATATTAATCGAAAGGAAGGTAGTCGAAAATAAGCCGCGTCAAGCGTTGGTAAGAGGTCAAAGAGAACGGACGACGTGCACAGCACGGGTACTTTTGAAGCAGAGAAGCTTAAAAAAGAGCGTAAATCGGGACGTGGGTGGCTGGATGATGGGTGGAGGAGAAGAAATTGAGTGGGGCGCCGGTTCCTTATGAGATTTATACACACTCGACCCCCATTCCTGTCTTGGCTATGGATGAGGAACCTTCCGTCCAAGGCACTCATTTCAAGGCTGCCAAGACCTGGAAGCTTGATTCGGGTGGGGGGGTGCATGTGTGGTTCGACACCAGATGAGGGAAGAGCGGTTGCAAAGGGAAATTTTGGCATGGGTCACGGATGGGGTGGCTCAAGCCCGACAAGCTCTCGGACAAGCATCAGCGGCAGCGGCTCCTGCATAGACCGAGTGTACTAAGGATTGACGATTCATGGGGAGTGTCCTGCCGCCCGGATCACTGTGGTCCGGACAAGGTTGAGGGACGCCACTGAGCTAGATGCATGACAGACAGCGGTAGCCTGAGGCTTCATCTGTCGTTCCAAGAGACATGCCGATCGCCGCAAGACCCTGGAGCGGCGAAATTAGAGCGATAGCTGCGTGCGAGACACATTTGCGGCGGATCGAGATGCAGCGCGGAGGCGGAGATGCTTGGCAGCGGGAGCGACGGAGAATTGCAGCGGAGATCCCAACGGTGATCACCAGCCGCGGTCCAATCAGGGAATTGATGGAGACGATATTTGGAAGGATTCCATATTGGCGAGCTGCACTGTGCGCATGAGACCGTGGAGGCGGTGTTGCGGCGTTGTTCGTTTCAGACTCCAGATAGCCGCAACAGAGGCTGCGACACCATTGCCTTGCGAAGAAGGCAAGCCCCCCCAAAGTGGACACCAACAGACGATGAGGTGCGATTAAGCTTGTAGCTTTAAGTTTTACCTCTCCTGACCCGTTGATGTGAGCGTTTGCGATATCTATCCGTGATGTCCTCCTCATTTAACTTCCCGAGCGGAATGAAGACTACCCGTCCGCTTGCGTACGCCAACCAATCAAGCGGATTGCGCTCCTGAATGAAGAGTGTCAGCATCTGACAGCCGAAATATCTGTAGCAGCCAAGATAAATGAAGCTACATAGAACGGCGCAGAATAAGGCAACCAACATCCAAAACCTCTCTTACAACACTGGCCTGAAAGCCTCAGACCTTGCGCCACCCCAGGATTCTGGCCACTTTGATCCCTCTTTACCTTCCCAGCCCGCTGCCAGCATGGCTACAGCCATCAGCAGTCCGCCACTTGCGGGGAAGTATGGAGTAGGTACTCGAGTCCCGCCAATCGGCAAGCCGACGTCGTCGAAGGCGAAATTGTCATCCAGCAACCACCTCACGGCTCTCTCCGGATCACCGCCTCGCAAAGCTGTCATAGCCAGCAGAGGGAAGTCCCAACCGTAGCTGAATGAAAAATTCCACGTCTGATAGACACGTTCGACAGTTGCGTTGAAGACCGCTATATCGATATTGGGTGGCGGAGGAAGAACTCCGTTGATGGCAAGGAGCCCTTGGTGATCCGAAGTCAGGTCCGGATCGGTCCACATGTCAGGCACACCCTCATACGTCACGTAAGTTCCATTCTCAGTGGGAAGGGGTGCCAGATTTTCTGCAACGCGAGTCCAATGCGAAGGAACAGGTTTTCCTTGCCGCTGTTGCCATCTGGTGGCAATTGAAAGGCTAAATTCCCAGTACGCTAGCTCAAAGATCGAATTGATTGTGGCATTTGGGTTGGTATTTTCGGAGACAGGATACATCGGTGGGCCCAGATCGTAGACTCCGGTCGTGCCGTTGTAAAAGGCATACGCGCTCATCCATTCAGCAGATGCAGTGAGTATGGGGTCCCATTTGGCCAGTGTCGCGTTACTTGGACTACGTCGGTACTCGAGCTCAGCAAAGTAAAAGGGGTGGCCTTGTTGCCAGACGAGGACCGAGTTGATTTCTCCGGGTGCCGAGCGTCCTGTAGGGTCGCTCATTTTTCCCCAGCGAGCGCCCGTGTATCCTTGTTGCGCAGCACGTTCCAAAGATGTTGGAAGGAAGCGTTCGTACACCCCAATGCTCCGATTAAGTAGGGTTTCTTTCCCCCATAGATCCCAATGGACCAGATGCCAAAACACCATCTCCATATGGAACTTCCCGTACCAGCCGTTGTTGGTAAGGCCGGACTCCTGAGGTGGATCCCTCCCGGCTTCGTTCACAGCAAGTAAGTACTGAGATAGGACTGTCCGACGCTGAAGCTCGGTCGCATTAGAATTAGAAATATCGGTCAAGTCCACAAACGCGCCCGTCTCCCAGTAGTTGCTCCACCAGTCGGAAGACGTGGCTGCTACAGCTTCAAATGTGTTATCAGCATGGGACCTTTCGAGGGTAAAGGCTGCAGTGAAAGTCAGCATGTCGCCTCGAGTCCTCAAAAAGTACCGATGAGCGTTTGTAGCGGGTCGATCCACGGAGCCTTCCCCGTCCCACTTGATGTTGGTGAAATAGGTTGTGGCATCGATGTTATGTTCAACCTCAGCGAACCCTTCACCACTCCGAAGGGAAGTGGTGTGATTCGAGGTGGCGTTAAAAAGCCCCACGAAATTCTCGAATTTATTCTTGTCAATGGGATACGGATAGTCGAAGAAGACTGACAAGGACCCATTCTTCAACAGCTCAGACCGAATCTTAATGCCCAGAGTATCGGAGGCCGGATCCGCAACGGTCTCGACGGAGACAGTATTTCCACGGAGGGAGAAGTTCGAATATAGTATACCGCTGAACATATCCAGCTTTTGAAGTGGGCTACCAATATCGGCGTCTTCGATGGGCTTGCCGTCCAGCACGAGCCCTATCCTAGCCAAGTTGACACGGTGAGGATTGGCGATCATCCACTGCGAAATTGCCGCCTCTGCGGGATTCGGCTGCGCATAGTTGACGAGGCGGCCGTGGGTCCACCAGGAAAGACCCGTGAAGTCGTCCGGAGAGGTTTGGCCGGGCGTGGTGGGCAGTGAGGAGTTATGCCAACACCAGGATGAGAGAATGTTCCAGGGCACCACGGTTTGGAGACCAGTGATATCAGCACCGAAGGCAAAGTCCCCGTTACCGACCTGCATTGGAGTGTCGTAAGAGGAGGCAGATCCATTGCGAGTTGGGTTGAATTTTTGGACTACGTCACGCCGGTTGATTAGAGTAGCAGTGGCAAGACCGGCCCAGGCAGCCACAGTGAAAGAACAGCATATTCCGGAGAGGTGCATCACGGGGAGGCGAAACGTGCAGGTAGAAGGTGGTGGCCTCGGCGCTTGGCCATGGAAGACTTTCCCCGGATTTTAACATGAGTCTGGATGAATGCACAACGGGGCGTCACCCCGCGCCCCGCACTGATCGACATGGGCGGTGGCCATTTTTCCCGGGAGATTGGCGCTGGTTCCTGAGCACGGGGCAAGATGCTGACAGGTTGACGGCAGACTTCGGTGTAGTGAAGTCCGTGGTGATGATGGAGGTCGGTGCGCACAAATGTCTCGAGATTGCCGAACGAACACACCAGACGAGAAAATTGGAGGAGGGCCAGGTGCCGAGCGAATGGAGAAGTAAAAACCGCCGATCCGAACCGGCGCTCGTGTGGGGTGGAATGGTGCGTGCTGTGCGTGCCATCGCGGTGGGTCTATACTCAGGCAGCGCGCCTTCAGCTTTCGTTGACTGGATCAGCTGCCGTTGACTGAAGCCAGGGCGCGTGCGGCTCTTGGGTGCGACGCAGCATCGGAGCGCCAGCGAGCAGGTTTGCGGCGTCGGCTGCTGCGGGCGGCCTTGGGTTTCGGGCAGCGCGCGGGTACGAGATGCAACCGCGGCCGTGCACAGTCGTCATCGCTCGCTCCGGCTCATTGTTTCACTGCCCTGTCAGCCAGTGGTCCATTACTTCCACCACCGCAACCCAATCCACCGTCCAGAAATTCCAACACGCGCCCTTTCTTCACCGTCAGCGCCCAGCGACTGCGCCCAGACGACCTCCCAAACGACCTCCGATAGCACCCAGTCTCCACCAAGCGCACTGCTCGCCGAATCAATCCTCCAGCAGCAGCTCATCCCATGCCCTAAAAATAACCCCTCAGCGCAACAGCCTTACCGACCCCCGATTCGACGTCGCTTCAACGTCGCCCGCTCGCTCTCCAGTCCTCTCCCTCTAATATACCTACTCGCAAAGAAGGACTCCGCCTCCCATCACACCACGCTCGCGCTACAGCGATAGAAAGCAACAATGGCCTCAGGCGTTGGCATATTCTTCGGCATCCTCATCCTGCTGCTCGTCATCGGCGGCGTCGCCTGGGTCGCCTACACGCGCATCCGGGCGAAGCGTCTCGGCCTGCCGCCACCGCCGCTGAACCCGTTCGCGCGCGGGTCGCGCTCGTCCTTGGGCGGCGACAGCTACCCGGCGCCCGCACCTAGCGGCATCGTCGGCTGGGTCAACGACAAGATCAGCGCGCTCAAGAACGGCCGCGGCGGCCGCAACAACGCTCGCTACGCTGCCGGCGCCTACGAGGAGCCCGGCGCCGCCAGGGCCGCCCGCAACCGCGGCACCCTCGACCCGGACGAGGCCTGGGACGCACGCGTCGGCAACGAGGCCGACTACGGCTACGGCTACGAGGAGGAGCAGGAGCTCGGCCTGCGCGACCCCCATGCCGGCACGACTCCGTATGGCGGCGGCGGCTACGCCGGTTCCGGCATGTACGCGGCGCCCCCACACAGCGCGGGCTTGAGCGCTGGTTCCGAGCGTGGCCGCAGTAGGACGCGCGAGCTAGACGAGCGCTACGATGAGGAAATGGGCCACAGCCGTGGAGCAGAGAACCCTTTCGGCGACAACGCCGAACGCAGCAACCTTCGTGGCGTCAGCCCCAGGCCGGCGGACTCGGCCGCGCGAGGCGGCGCAACCGGTGACAGCCCGTCGGAGTCGAGGAGGAGCATGTTCAGGGAAGAAGTTTAAGACGTGAAGAAGGAGGATGTTATGCTGTACAGCACTGATCTTTCGATTCGGCTTCTCCCATTTCGTTCTTGAACCATCCAGACATGTTCGCGTAGGTTCTTTGATGGAGGATGGACAGACGTATGATTTGGCGGGACAGGCTGAGCAGTTGGCCTTGGTGACGAGCGTATAGCATGGGATTTCCTTTCTTACCACGCGCGGAGTTCACAAAAGCGGAGGATCATTGTATAATGCCATTGATATAGTTCGCCCTGGTGGGTTTTTCTTCTTATGTTCAACTTCCCATCCGACATTGGATTGATCTGAACGTACGCCTGATCCGACTGCAAGCTGTGGGGACCATCGTATCCGCAATTTCAACCAACGTACTGGACCGACCGGCACGTCAAGTAAACCAAGGATATCCTTGCCTCGACCCAAACGTTGTCAATCCAATCAGCCACCCTTCGACCACCGTCGCTACCGTCTTTCCAGGTTGTTCCCAAATCCCACTTCTATTTAGATGTCGTCAGCCAGACGATTAAGAGCAGCGAACTTGTTCCTCCAGATCTGCTCCATCGGATCCGCCTTTTCTTCTTTATCCTGCTCATCCGGCTGGTCTTGCTTCTTCTTCTTGCGCTTCTTGCCGTTGCTTTTCTCTAGCGCCGCAGCGTATATCTCCTTCGGGTCTGGCGCAAGGTTCGGAAAGTTTTCAATCGCATTGAGCAGGTACGATTCGGGCACGGCCTCCTCGTCGTCGTCCGGGACGGGATCAAAGAACCTGTCCGCAGTGGGCAAATCCTCGAGGCGCTCGTGCAAGTCCTTGACGGCGGCTTGAATCTCCGGATCGCCGTGCATGTCCGTCTTGTGGGCTTGCGGGGCACCGTCGGTGGGGAATGAGAGAAACACACTGAGAAATTGGCGGAGCATGCGCAGCGAATACCATATGCCCTGCAACTGGGCGACGTGGTGGATGTGAGACCATTCAAGCTGTCCCTGGCAACCCTGAATCATTCTCAATACCTGATTCTTCGAGACTTGGCGTTCTTCGTTCTGAACGAGCTTGTCAGACAAGTACATGGCACCGTACAGCTTCCAGAAGTGAAGCGGTGCGCGAAGGTGAAGGTCGCCTGAATTAACCATGAAGGCGGTGATGTGAGCGCTCAGCTCCCGACATGTATGGACGATCTCCGCCTTCTTGTAGGAGAAGCGGGGGACTGCAGATTGAGCTATGCGCGAGCCTCGGCGCTCCCATTCTTCCATTGAGAACAGAGCACACATTGGGAGAGAAAGGATGGAATAGCCCAGGAATCGAAGGTCTGCGGATAAGCGCCATGCCGAGGCCCGCGTTGGATCATCAATCAGGAATGGGAGGAACATAGCACAGCTGACTCCTGCACCTTCTGGTTTGTGGAGCTTGGTGTAGCCTGTGTCCGCGACTATGGCTGAGCATACTTGCTGGACAAGCTCCGAAATCCTTGGGTCCATAGTCCTCAGGTGTGGGTCAGCAAGATAGCCGAGGTAGGCGGCTGTGTCTCGTTTTGTCTGTCGCTTTTGAGGCGACGGGAGACATACATCTTCGTACGCATTCGGAAGTAGGGCTTGGAGAGTGGACTTCCCCTGTTTGGATCTAGTGAGCGGTGATTCGGGTCAGGCGCTGTACGCGAATACATACCTGTAAATCGGCAAAGCTTGAGCGGTACTGGTTGACCAGCAACTGGTCGGGGCCTGATATGCCATGCAGTGGGGTATACTCTTGGAACCACACTTGGTATTCCGAAGTTGAGCTATCTACGGCTTTTGCGGCCCGAACAAGCTCCTGCAGGCTCTTATGGGGGTCAATTGTAAGAGAAAACGCCAGTGGCGCCAAAGCCTTCAGCCCGAGGCGTTCTGCAATTGACCTGGGATGATATTCAACGCCTTTCAGGACCGTGCGACGTGGAAAGGTTGCCAAGCTCACATCCTGGAAGCGGAGGACTGATCCCTTCGGTCCAAGGTCGAACACGAGAAGGTCGGTATCAGAGCTCAGAAGCCAACATGCCTTGTTCTGACTGACGCGACAGACGACGTCGGCACAGAAGATGTCTGCTTCGCCGGGGACCACGAAAACCCGGTCAGAAAATGCACTGTTTTTGAGGCGATCAATGACAGCCGGCACTAGAAAAGGTGCAGCTGGCAGTCTGGTGAGTTTCTCGGGGACGGAAGTGGGTGCTGCAAAGGAATTGGTGTCGATCCTTGACCGGACGCAACGGACGTCATCAGAATGCAGGTTCTTGAAGCTCTGGAGCTGGACAAGAGATGAGTGCAGACGCTTGAGGCGGGTGTCACGCTTAGCAGCAGGAAGCGCTCCATCGAAGAAGACCCCTAAGCTTTGATTTAGTCAATGGCATACAACTGATGACTACCGAAAGGTCACGTACATGGCGATTCCATGCGACTCGAGGGTAGTGAGGAAATGGAGGGCAGTTTCTGCCACTTCAGCGTGCGACGGCATGGCTTCGAGTGCGTTGCGCGCGTGGTATCTTCCGGCGACGGCGCGATGGTAAGCATGGTAGGCCAGGCTTGGGCCGTCAACCACGACGTGTTTCTCATCGAGATCTTCTGTTGGCGAGCGACTTGTGGCCTTCTGCCAAGCTGTTCCCAGCTCAACAGAGATGCCAAAGTCCTGCATATGGTGCAGGAGGCGTGGGATCCCCATGGCTGCTGTCAAGCGCGTGAATGTTGCGAGTCGAGCAGCCGGATGAAGCGTGGAGGATTGTTGTAGATATTCGACTGCGCGGCGCTTCTTCGGCATCAGATGCTGCCGGCGCTAGTCCAGATGGGGGAAAACCAGCTATGGTCGATTATCTGACATGACAAATGCTACTCTCTGTTCAACGACTGAGACCGAGTTCGGCCAATGTTTCGGCGTGTTTCTGTGCCTCCAGACTGTCTACATACATCCTTATCCCAGTGTCTGGATTAATAACAGTGAGCCGTTCATCTATCGGCTTCGGCGACGGTTTCTCAAGAGGGAAAGGTTCTGGCCATATGACAGAAAAAGGTTCATGCCGAGATTCACTGTGCAGGTTTTCAGCGGCACGCCATCAAGTACAGGAAGCCGCAATTTGCTCACGTGTGCGTGTAAAAAATTTCCCCAGGATTAAGTTGTTCCGAGCTGTTCGCAAGCGCCCTTGACCCAGCGTGGTACGCAGCAAAAGCCAACTGACTCTTCCTATCCAGGATCGGGATCATGAGCCGTAGCATAGTTTGCGTCATGTGATGCCGCCTCTCAAGGTCGAACTGCTCTCTAATCATGTCCCAACGGTGCTTAACGGCCGAATATTTACGGCGTAGCTTGGCTACCCTATTTCCTCCTCTCAACGGATAGCGCATGTGGATGGCGTAAATCACTGGCACTGTGCTTTCTGCCCTCAAATTATCTGAATAACGGCTTGAAGCAGAACGGTCAAATGTGTCAAGCTTGGTGACTGTCTGCTTTCCGTCATTTGCACCATCAAGGGCACTGTATTTTATCAGTGTCCCTTTGCCCTCCAGAGGGAATGGGCTGGGTGATTGTGAACTTGTATTATGCGTGGGTCCAGGAACGTTGCCGCCTCTCTCTTGTAAACTTATCGTAGCTCGCTGGTTGGGATCATGATCATCCAGCGAACCTTGTTCGGGCTCAAATTTGTTGGTTGATATCGGCTCGTCCGAATCATCGCAGAAGTCATAGCCGGGGCGTGCAGGCCCCAGCTCACCAAGCCAGGCTGAAACCCGTTGCGCACGTAAAAGCTGCACCTCTCTTTCTTTCTCCATAGCCAGCGACTCATCGAATGGGCTTAAAATCTCATCGATCGTTTGAAAGGCTTCTTCAGTTTCATCCAGCAGATCGCTGAGATTACAGGACTGGCTCGTGTTGTGCCTATCCACGTCCGGGCCTGGCGGTAAAATCGTCAAAGTTGTTCGCTTCAGTCGTAGCATTACATGTCGCACATGCTCTCCGGGTGGGTCGATACCCTGGCACATCCCTTGCAACATGTTTTCAAACTTCCCCAACTCTTGGATATCCCACGCCTGCCATTGCGGCTCAAAGGGATCAGGTGTCGGAGGCGCTCGCGATTCGTTACCCGGGGAGCCTGGCGGCCACTTATCAGTTCGTCTTGTCGCGAGAGTCGGAGCCGGTGCACAATTCTGGCATGAAGACATTTGGGCAGAGTTGCTCATGGAGTTGTCTGTTGGACTGCCGTCACTATCGAGTGTGTGCGGCCAGGATGCCCTATTCGCCTCATCTGTAGAAGGCTGAGATACAGTTGGCGCTTCTTCAATAGGCTCGCTATCGGGGCTTGTGGATTTCAAGGATGTAGTGGGGCCGTCCGAGGGCTTCGTGGGCTCACGTTGCTTGGGTCGGGAAGTGTTTAGCGAAACGTCACTCATCTCCGGTTGAACGACTGCAATGAGTGTCGAAAATTGTTGAGATGCGACGAGGGTAGATGCTGATAGAAATAACCTAAACGGGCATTGTTTTTCGAGAGAAGGTGATGTATCATTGTAGAGTATAGACCTGGAGCTGTTTGGACGGACATGACGAAATGTCTCCAAACCCACCTTGGCGTGATTAGGCCAGCAGTATCTTCAGTTCATTACCCATGGTTGATATAAGAAATTTAGGATACGCCTGTTGACGGCTGTACGGGGATCTATCAAGTGAGCCTTGATGTCAGTGCGTAATATTCTGTTGAGACAATGAAATTACTTGCCAGACAGATGTAATGTTTTGATCGGTGCAGAGATTGTTGGAGCATCCATGAAAACTTCCATTTTCTTCTTCATTATTAGGTTATTGATAACGAACGGTAGGCAGTCGTGAATTAAAATATATACATTGCCAAGTGTCGTTCAGCTGCAAGAACAGCATTAAATCATCTTTTTTGTAGCCCACGGGCGAAAGAAAAGACCGGGGTGCAAGATCTACGCAACGCCGTTGGATGTTCTATCCAGAGGTCCTGACCTCGGGCACAACAACATACCAATTTCTTCCATCTCAAAGTACCACGACATGCAGCGCATGTAGTAGGAATGTGCACACGCCACGGGTCAGAAGACTCGTTTACTGAGCCTTCTTGGCCTTAGCGAGCCTGCGCTCACGCCTTCTCTTGGCAGCCTCGGGACCAGACTCGGTATCAAGGACATAGTCCCACCAGCGGAAGCTGCTAGCGTAGTTGCCAATGAAACGCTCGTGGTGGGTGTCGTGGTGATCGGCACCGGCCCAGAAGGGCAGGAAGTGGTGGAGGCTCCAGGGGAACTCGTAGCCGCTGTGGGCGTCGATGGCCTGGAAAAGGCGAGCGACGATCCACACGTACATGGTCAGGATGTGGAGATCCTTGGTAATGGCACAGTAGAGAATGGGGGAGCCAACAGTGCCGAGACCAAGGACAAGGACCTCAATGGGCGACGCGTACTCGGCGGCAAGGCCAAAAGGAGCCGAGTAGTGGTGATGGATCTTGTGGATGTTCTTGTACAGGAAGGGGAAGACGTGCATGGCGCGGTGGGTCCAGTAGTGCCAGGTATCCTCCAGGACGAAGAAAATGGCGATCTGGTAGGCCATCTTCAGCGGCGACGGGAAAGGAACGCTAGTTTCGAGACCAAAGAACTGGGCCATGGGGTGGAAGAGCCAGATCTGGGGAAGCTCGACGGTAAAGTGGCTCAGCAGCACCAGGGCGGCGCACTGCCACTGCTCCTTAGCGGTGGGAATCTTGGCCTGGCGGCGCGTCAGCAAAATCATCGGGTTGGGGCACGCGGGGAGAAAAACTCACAGCCTGGATCTTGTACTTGTTGAAGAAAGGGATGGCGTCGATGAAAATCCACGGGAGCGAGCGGCCAAAGTAGACGGCCTCGTGCATGACGAAGGACATGATGCCGGTGGCCAGAACATCGTTGTTCATGTAGGTGTACCACGCGAGCCAGAGGCGCTCGAAGTAGTTGAGGGAGACATTGTACTTGGAAACCTCCTCGAACTGGGCCCAGTACGTGTCGGCGGGCGCCGGATTGGCGAAAGCAGCTGTCGTTGAGTTCCTGGCGGCGGCGTTAGCGAGGAGGCGCTGAGCGGGCCGGCAGGCTTACATCTTGGCTGCACTCAGCGAGCAGGGAAAGGAACGAGAAGGGCCAGGAGCGGGAGAGGTCAGGACTCGGCGCTTCCAGTTGGTGTTCGGGAGGAACGAGCGACGGCGCGAGTTTTGTGAGCTGCAGAGGCAACACACCACACGGGACGCGGCTTTCCGGTCCCTGAGCTTAGATGGCACTAGCCCGGACGTGGCGACGGCTAAGCCGCAACGGGGCCGCGCTTGGATCTTTTCTTGGCATGTTTGACGCGCGGGATCTCAGCGGCGAGCAAACATGCCGCCCGCGGCATCGCTCGAGCCCCCATGGCGACAGCATCGTCAGACAAGCACCTGTGGGCTGCGCCGTTGCTCGCATCCACCCACCCGCTCGGAGCGCAAATGAGCTGATGATCACACAATTTCCACGCACAGCGCCCGACCACCCTGGCCGTCAAATTTCCCCGGGAGCTGCAGGGCTGGCCCCCGGCCTCTGCAGCCAATCACCGCAGCCCAGCATCGCGCCCGCGCTGCGAGAGCCCTGCGCTAGCCCGACCGGCGATCTCTTCGAGAAAACTGCCTGCACACCGCCTGGTCTTGGAGTCGTACTCTCGCCAGCTTGCAGGACTACGTGTGCGGTTTCCACATCCCCAACGCGTCGCTGGCACTTTTGCCACCGCACCAGCTCCTGCAAAGCGATCTCCATCTCGCATTGTCTCCCCGTGGCCCGCGCGGCTCTGATTGGCGTTCCGATAACGCGCGCCAGGACCCAACAAACCGTGCCTGTTCCTGTCTGGGGCTCCGCCAAACTTTCTTGCGCTTCCTGCCGCCGAGGGTTTGAAATTCTGCATTGTTTCAGAGGCGTGGATTCGTTATCTGCTTTGGCCTTCGAGCGATTCGCTGGCGCGGCCAGTGCGCGCCACCTCGATCCGAAGAGACAAGCTCTGGAAAGGTAAGCTCCGTTGATCCACATCAACGCCACGCAGCAATTCACGCTGGAAAAATCCACACCTAAGCCTGAACTGATTCTCGATCACCGATCACGCCCGACTTGACCGGAAGAATCCACTCGTGGCGACTACTGGGGACGACCCTCGGAAACTCTCGATCCGTTTCCTGTGCAGGCCAACCACCCTTGGGACACTCCGGTGCCGGCGGAGAGCATGTATACACAGTAAAAGGCAAAGGTGCCACATGACGTCGTTCTACAATACCGAGATGCAAGAGGCGCATGGGCAGTCGTAGAGGCCGTCGTAAAGCAAGGAATGGCACTAACGCGTTCAGCCTAGCGCATCAACTACTGCGGACAACATAAGCAGTATAAGATGTGCGAATCAGGCAACCATTGTAGGCAATAACCTTATTCAATCTGTCTTCCATGGCCCATTTTCGAATGATTCTTCCAGCACCTTTTTAGTGCTTACCGTTTCCTCTCTTACAATTCAAGTCTCCCCGCGTGTTTAACGTCGAACCCACTCACAAAATCCTTGATCTTGACATATTCCTGAAACGATGCTGACCTCCCAAACTCGCCGTGTTGAGCAACGCCATCCCAGCCTGTGAAGAGTACCCATTCCTCTTTCTCCTCGGCCTCCTTCTCGACTCTCCACCCCCCAGCAACCTTCTTAGGCGCAGTGAAGTTCTCGACAATGTGTTTCGCAGCACTGAATACCTTCGAGAAGCTGGTGCGCTTGTCTGATGCGATGAAATGCCTGCCAATTGCGACGACTGGAGCATCGAGGGGCAGACATGCACTCTCGACGTCAAGGTGGAACATGAATTCGACGTTGATCTGATCTTTGAGCAGCTCGAGGACCTCTTGGTTTGCCGGCGAGGGGATCCATTCTTCAAAGTGCTGCTTGGCCGACGGCCAGGAACCGACAATGTAGAAGTAGGACGGGTCTTCGATTTGAACGAAGTAGTGGAAGGGAAGACGCGTGAAGTCCTCCATAGCCTTCTTGGCTTTCTGGAGGTTCGCGCGCAACGTGGGGTCGTCGAAGGATGCGCCAGAGTTGAGGCGCAGTAGCGCGAGTTCGGTGACGGTCATTTCTGGAAGCAGACTGGCTTTGGTGCTGTGGCGGGCGATCCGTCTTTGATGGTCAAAAAAAAATGCAGCAATGCCGTTGTTGGCTGTTGTTGGCCGTGCCTATATATTCCCTAGCTGAGGCAGCAGCGATGATGCGGCATTTTCGGGGCTGGAGAAGCAACGAGCGCGGAAGGAACAAGAGCTCGCGCGGACATAAGCTGCCCAACGTGCGACCGCCCGCTTTGCGCGCGTTTGCTTGGAAGGCGCGCCGCGCGGCGAAGAGCGGGTGTGGTGGTGGCTTTCCGGCGCGCGCGGGCTGCCGGGGTTGACTGCTTGCACTGGATCGACGGCTTGGCGTGCAGCCCTCTCTGCCGCTGTGTGTGTAAACGACAACCTACTCGAACCTCCTCAGAGCACCCCGCCCGCGAGCAAGTGCCGCATCCGCTTCACCTCCAAGCTCGTGTCGTGCCAGCACCGCTCAAGTCCGCCCGTCTGCCCTCCACTGCGGAAGCGTCGCCGCTGACGCGCTCCAGGCATCCGAGCGCCAGCTTCAGGGCCGAGCATTAAATCGATCGACTAGAAGCACACCGTGCCCGCGCTGTCTCAAGTTTTTGCGACGTTCTCACTTCGCGACGTCGAGCAGCCTGAGTCTCCGCACCCGGCCTCGCGCTCCCACACTACGCACCAGCTCCAACGCCTGCCCACGCTCGCTGGCCACCGCTCTTTGTGCGAGAGCCCCGCCTGCGTCCAACGCCCGTAGCCTCGCAAGATGCCCTGCTTCCAGGGCCTGGCCGTCAGCATCCACACGCCTGACGGCCCGCTGCCCGAGTATTCGATCCAGAAGAACTCTCGCGCCCACCGCATTACCTCGTACATTCCCGTCCCGCCCGCCAAGGTCCCGCCTGGCGCCAGCAAGCCCGAACAGTCCACCTTCGCGATCTCCATCACCCTACTCACCCCCGGCCTGAACGTCCCATACTCGACTCCGAAGCCGGGCCCCGACGACCCTTACCCGCGCCCCAAGGTTGTTGGCGGCTTGCCCGGCTATGGCAATGAGCGGGGAAAGTACGGCCCTGTAATCGGTCCCTACATTCCGCTGACCTCGTCGCCGAACGAAACAATTGCTGCGTACATATACTTTGACGGCCGCGCGAAAGAGGAGGTCGCGACGCTGCTCCGGCGCGGCGAAGAAACATGGGTCAATTCTCGCTGGGTCAGCGTGCCCGAATCGGAGGGAGGTGGTCTCGCCGAGCGCGAGTTCCTCTTCCGCGAGGTTGGACTAGAGCGCTGGCTCAATGGCCTCGACCTCGAGGGCAAGGACAAGGATGTGGCAGCCCGGATAGAGCGGCGAAGGCAGCGCCTGGAAAAGAAGAGGCGGAAGAAGAGGGAGCAGAAAGGCAGCGATGACGACGACGACGATGATGACATGGAAACGGACAGGACGAAGACGACCAACAGGAACGGCGTTTTGCGTTATGGCGAGGACAAGACGGTCGAGCCGCTGTCAGGCGATGAGGGCTTGTTCACTTCGGACTCTGATTCGGACGATGAGCCGCCTATGCCCGAAGCCGCAGGCCAGATCAAGGTTGCATTATTCAGGGTTCTGGCGTCTGGGGAAATCAAGAGAGGAGAATACTCGCCGCAATTCGACGCTCACGACGACGACGATACCACTGGCGCGAACGGCGATCCAGCCAATGACGCAGATGTTGACCACACGACGAGTTTCGCCAAGCCGAAGACATTGGACCCCAAGTCAATCAGCACGCAGACTGTAACGGGCATTGATCCGCCAGACAAGCCCTACGCCGTTTTCACATTCCTGTACCGTGGCGAGAGTAAGTTTCTCCTCTTTTCTTCACCAACAATACATATCTGACAGACCGCAGAGCAATTACGCAAGATGGGCATTCTGCCAACCCCAAGCGCTGCTCCCAAGACGCCTGCCGCAACGAAGAGGAAAACAGGTCTTGACTTCTCCGCTCTGAAGCCACTTACGACAACCGGTACCAGGAATTTTGCTGGTTACCGTGACCCCAACGCGTCGCCAACGAAAAAGACCAGGAGCGGCAAAGCCAAAGACGTTGACGACATGGACAGCGACGCAGAAGATGATGACGATGCACGAATTGGCACAAATGACGATGACATTGACATCAAGGTGGAAGGCAAGGGTATGCTGTCGGCCGAGGATGTAGCCAGGCAAGAAGAAATGGCCGAGGGCGTCCGAAAAATCAAGGTAAGAAGTCTAATCATTAACTGTGCCCCAAATATCGAGCATTCCTAATGTTTTCTCTTTCCCACAGCTCAAGCGCGCCCATTCCGCAGACCCCGTTCAGGATTCCCCGACAAAGTCTCCTGCGGATTTCACACCCAGCGGCTCCGCCAGCGCCGCCTTATCACCCGGCAGCGAAGTCCCCACCAGCGCCGCGGCAGCGCTTGCTGCCAAAGAAGTCGCCCCAGAAGCCGCGGTCGTGGGATCGCCATTCAAGAAGCAGCGCGCCAGCCTACCCGGTTTCGATGAGGGTGTGCGCTCGAATCTGGGGTCCGCGCTGGCGAACGCCTCCTCGTCATCGGTGCTGGGCGGTGCGCCGCTGCTACAGCCGCGCAGCATGAGCGACAGCAACGCATCTGGCCAAACTGCTAGCGCGGCAGGGAGCTCTGTCGGCGTAGGCTCGGGCGCCGTGATTAAGCAGGAAGAGACCACGATGGAAGAGGATGAAGAGCTCTGATGGTTGGTCCATGGGCAGCGGATGATGGGATGAGGAGTTATTTTTCCCTTTCTCCCAAATATCCCCCCACGCCCTTGGCATGTAGATTGCTAGGGCAAAGGCTAGGAGGTATGAGTTTTCTTTAGCATTCGTTGGAAGATGGGTTGATAGCGGACAGGGGCTCGATTCGTTCAGTCGGTCATATTCATTGAAAGAAAGCCCTCGAAGGGTTCTTGGTGGAGCATGTTGTGTTTCCTTCACCTCTCTCCTTCCGCCTTTTTTTTTATTCTTCTTCTTCAGCGGAGTAGTGGATTGCAACACCTGCTGCCGCCGCTGCCGATGCTGCTGTACGGGAGGTGAAAAAGAGAGGGCGGTATATTGGCATTCCTGTGGTGATGTGGGGGTTATTGATGATGAATAGTCGAAACTCGAAAGCTGGATAGGAAATGAGCTTGAAATATCACGAAGAGAAAGAATAGGCAAAGCTTAAAAAAGGAAAGTTGTAAGAATGGTGCGAAGAAAAAATGATTCATGTAAGTGGCAGTGAGAGTTTGTATTCTCACCGATTAATGGTTCGAAAGGGCCGTGAAGGTTTCATACATGTCTGTTTCGGAAAGATGGAGGGAATGTAGGGTTTCACTTGTTTCTAGCGCCGCCCTCTTCTCTTCACCATGCTGGGAATCTCGTTTCACTTCCGCGGTCGAAGAATTCTGCAGCCATTAATTTGGCTTCGCTGCTGCAATATTTGGGACAGTGTGATTGCTTTTCAGGTTGGAGCGGGTGCTCAGTGTATTAAGGGTATACACGGCCAGTGCACATGATGTTGAAGCACTGAGCGACGGCTTCCCCGGACGCACAAGGTAATCAATGCTTCGGAGCAATGACTAGAGAATCTTGATTTGATGCCAAGAGCAAGGCGGGCTTAGGCAGAAAGCAGAGATGGGATAGTGAATCTAATATACAAGGTCCGTAAATGTTCAAACGTGAGTTGAAGGAGATCCACAAATAATTACCTCCACCTCCCTCCCAAAAAAAAAAAAAAACGCCACTATACAAGATGATGGAACATCTGAAACCCCCAGCAACGCCTAAGTGACAGATTAAAGGAGACTGACGATGTGATCGTCACTGGCTTTATCTTACATGACGAAAATAGAAAAATGATAGCCGAACAGTGTAATATCCGTCCTGTTCGCGACGCGTTCCTCTCTCAGATGATCATGAGAGACCGTCTGACAGCGCCAGTCTCCCAATGTAGACGATCATTGTCGCCAAGAATCTCAAACACAGCGACTCTCTCGTATCGATAACCAGTCGTATCACCTTCGAAGAGCTTCTTCTTCAGAACGAGCCCGGTGCGCTCGGAAACTAGAAGGAATGTTAGGACATCCTGGCGCGCAACCTCTAGTCCTGGTTTGTCAACATCGACAGTCAGATCGATCTCAAAAGTCTCCTCATTGCTCTCTCCAACTGGCGATGCGAAAATCCGACGGGAGAGGTCGAACTTGTACCGATCTCCTTCAAAGAGGTTATATTGCGGGTTGCCATGTTCTCGGATCTGAAGCTCCCTTGTGAGACCAGCTGCTAAGATGTAAGCCTCTGGGTTGAGCGTGGCTGGGGGATTGAGCGTAGCTGGATAGTCGTGCATCTTGAGGACTCGAAAGTCTGAACGGATGCGGATGTCTGAACTTGTCGCGACTTGGCCATTGATGGATGGCCACGACCATGTCGGAGCACGCCGACTCTCTACGGTTCGTTCATGGACGGACTTGAGGCTAGGAGCAGTCCGGCACGACTTCCAAAGCAGTGATTCGCAGAAACGATGATCCTTCCAGTGGCCGTATAAGTACTTCTTTCGCGCAAAGGGAGCCGCCGCAGCTGCAAGTCCCGCAAGAGCCGGCATGCGGTCTCCACCGACCGTGACCTCGCGACCGGTATAATGCTCGACAAGCGCGTGCCAGTTTTCAAGCAGGCGTTCGCGATTGTCATACCTGCTCAATGCGGCTATGCGGCTCTCCTGCTGGGGCTCGTGCAAACGTGGAGGGAAGCAGGGCTGGGAACGGCTGGGGTGGCACTCACAGCGTACCTCCTGCTCACATTCCCAGGTCAGCCCTCCACTACCAAATCGTAGTAGTCGTCGACTCAAAATCCATTCTTGCAGGGACCACGCCCGCCGAAAAAGAGGGTCAGATACCGGCGCATAATGTATGAACTTTTGGCCGTGAAGTCCACCCTCGGTTTGGAACTTGAAGATTGAGAGGGGAGTAGTGCGTACGTATATTGGGTTCCTGGACCTCGGGGGAAAGATGACGACGCGGTCGTTTCGGCAATTGTTTGTGGACTCGAAAATTCCGCTGAAGCAATCGGTCGCTTTGTCCGCGGAAATTGTAACCTTAGCCCCCATATAAATATCCCGCATGCTTTCTGAGTGACAATGCCAGTCTTCCTCGCAATCTTGCAAAATGCAAAGCGAGTCGATCCACAGGTACTTCAGCCCGAGCTTGCGAGTGATAAGGATGGCGTCACGGAAAGTCTCTGGTAAAGTCTCCATGGATATCGACTTCTTTCTGAGATTCTCGGTGGATATCGTGCTCTTGATGGTCCTCATGGCAGCGAACTTGTTCCCCCAGCAGTGGCTAAGCGCCGTGTAGTGCGCCGCTTCCCCGTTCGATTCGTGTAGTCTCGGGTCTTCGCCAGAGGAGCCTACCAGAATTACACGTTTGGGCAATGGGCCGGGGCCCCTCCGGCACCGTTCATGGGTCTTCCGACAGTTCTCGAGCAAATCTTCGGCCAGCTGCATCTCGCGTGGCAAAGAAACATCAATCGGGGTGTCACGAGCAGGCCCGATCAGGCTCCAGCAGCTTGGTGCACCTGGATCTCTCGTCAGTCGCTGGGTTCGCCGAGCCACGCCAGCACAGGTGGATGCAGAAGACTTGGCCCTTCCATGACCCGCAAAAGGCACTGTCTCACTGTATGAGCATTTGAAGCAAGTATTCGGGTGTAGATGCAGGCTGTAAAAGTCCACAAGAACATCGATACATGGTCTTCAACCACCCAAGTAGGAACACGACACTCTTCCTGTGCGAGTAACTAAAGTGAATGTCTGAATGTAGTTGTACGTTCTTGAGCCATACAAAAAAATCTAGACATACGCTTCACCTCCTCACATAAGTAGAGTGCAACACCACGAAAGTGTCAGGGTTGAGAAGGGCGACATCTGTTTGCAACCCACTGTGGCAACGCGATGCAATTATGCAATCGAAATCTCGCTCACTACCATCGTGGGTATAAAACTCAATATTTTGTTCTCGGCTCGTGTCGGCATTCAGGGTATAGGATAGGATGATGGTCGATGTGCCTTCCGTACCATTTGTGTATTCGCTCTCAAGTCGAATCTGTGCATCGTTGGGTGGGGTTTTGGTGATGAGTTGGGTCAAGCCGTGCCACAGGACTAAACAGGAAGCACATCCGGAAGATTTGGCTTTTCGGAGCTCTCGGATTTCGGAGGGAGGGGTGCATCCGCGGGTGAGGAATCGTTTTTGGAGCGCTTGCTTATTGAAGCCAAGACAGACCGAGCACAGGCTCTGGTGGGTTGGTTAACCTGGCTGAATGCGGCTCAAGGATACGAGTAGTTCCGGCGGTCCGAAGATATTCAAAGAAGCGGGATGACTTGCATGATGGGGTGGGTCCACCTTGGAGCAGTAGTGAAGGCGGCGCCAGCGTCGATGAGTTCTGCGCGGAAACGGGGACATTGTGGGAGAATGAAAGATTGGGCTGGTGATTGAAGCATCTCTCTTCAGGCACAATTTGTACATCTTTCGCAGATGGTTGAGGAGCTGAACGGAAAAGCACCGTGCTCACCGCTTCCGCGCATTGAGATGAACGTTGAAGTTTGCCACCGGAGACAGGCCTCAAAAAGGAAGTATGTCACTTGGGGCTGCTGTAATTGCTAGACTAATTGAAGGAATATTCCACGGATTGGCGATCAGGCCGGCACTGCCTGCTCGAGGGATCCGTATTCGCGAGGTCATGTTGTGAGCCGGGGCCGTAAGGCTGCGGCCGTTCGGCAGCCACGTCACTGGAATTGCTGTTAAACTCTGCGGCAAGTAGCGAGGTGTTCAGAGATCAACTGGTGTGGTAAGGCAGAGCGGTGTGGTTGAATTAGAGCACGACGCGATATGAAGTCATCCCGAGGCCCGTGCACGCCTCTCTTCAGCTGCAGAGGAACGAAAGAAAAGATTCCAGAGACGCGCGCGCATGCGCGGATTATCGAGAGCGGAGCAGAAAATTGCCGCTGCGTTCCTGCGCCTGGCGGCAACTGCATTGGAGCAGCGCGTAAGTTCAACCAGAATGCGACATCGCACTGCGGAACGGTAGGAGTGTTGGCAGCATGCTGGGATGCCATCGCATTCTTTCAACCGCGTGACTCTAGGATGCATAGTGGCTCGTGCAACTGCCTGGCCTGCGGTGTGAGGAGGCTGAGGCGTGCGAACCGACGCGGTACGGCGCAGATCGTGACGAAGCCTGAGGAGGGTGGTGACTTGGCGAGAGGCAAAATTAGTTCAGGCAACACCCAGCGCTGTTACTTGCGCCGGCGCTGTGGCTGTGAGACCGCTCTTGAGGTCATGTTGGCGGCGGGCGTCGCGTCGGCGCCAGGGCGCGTCATGCCGCTCGCTGCCCGCGCCTGCGCAGGGTCCAGTCCAATTCCCCTCCCCGCACACTCGATCGAGCAATCAATCCTCAACCTCCCAAACTTGCTCGGCAAACACTCAGCCGACCACCACAAACCAGCCATGGCCCCCGACTTGAATTCGGTGCCTCCCTCGCCGCGCCTCCCCCAGGCCTCCGCGACCGCGACCCATCCTTCCGCGCCTACTCCCTCGAACGGCAGCAACCACCAGACCCCGCCCGCTTCTACCTCACACCCATCGTCGCGCCGCGCTTCCCAGCTCTCGTCCATGAATCCCCCGCCGCTGCCCTTGGGCGCCGCAGCCGCCAACGGTTCCGCTCCGACCTCGCAGCCCCAGTCGCAGGCCACATACCAGCCATTTCCGCCGCTGAGCCCACACCTGCCGGGCACCGCTCCTCGCGGAAGCTTGGACGAGGCCGGCGTTCCCATGAGGCACCCACGCCCCTTGACTGCCGCTGAGTTGCACCACGAGCTCGAGCTCGAGCAGGAGGCTGTGGTGCGTATTGTCCGCCCCTTCCCATCTCCTCTCTGCCTCCCTATCCCTGCACTCCTATCGCCATGACATCAGCGCGCTCTCGCAGCTAACCTTCTATCCCCGCGCAGGTGAACCGCCTAACGCGCGAGCTCAGCGCCCTCCGCGCCCACTCGGCGTCCGTCGCCAGCTCCGTCTCGTCAACCAGCACCTCCGCCCACCCTCATTCCAGCAACGCCTTCCTCTTCGAAGCCACCGACCCTTCAGCCGTCCATGCCGGCGCGCTAACCGGCCCGACCCACCCCACGGCCTCGCGCCGCCACCGCAGCTCCAGCAGCGTCAGCCGCGCATCCCAGCCGCACCGCTGGTCTGTGTCGAGCCAGAACCAGGGCCAGGGCCAAGCGCCACCATTACAGCAAACTGATGGTGCAGGCAGCGGAGTCATCAGTGGTGCCAGCAGCACGTACGCAGCTGGTGTGGGCATGGCCCGAAGCCCGAGTCTCGGTGTGGGGACAAGCGCTGCGGCGAGGTTCGAGGAGGCAGCGCTTCACAGGCAGGAACTTGAGGAGGCCAAAAAGGAGAATGAACTGTTGAGGAAGCGTATCAGAGACTTAGAAGCTGAGCTGCGGGGGAGGAGATCAAGCGGAGGTCCGCCAGCGACGGCATCTCCCAGAGAGATAAGCCAGAGCAGAAGCTCGCAGAGAGAGGATGCTACTACATCATGAGGTAGCTCGTGGTGCCGAGGATGGGAGCGAGACGGTACATGTTCGGCGTAAGGTTTTAGGCAAGGGATCACTAGCTGGTTTTTGGCTGCGACTTTGGTAACAAGAGAGCCCGCGTTGCTCATGAGGCATCGCCTTTGTATGGAGTTAGGCGCACATGGGTTTACAAGCCGGATGCGTCAGGTAACGCATGGCTAATTAGTTCGGCGTGATTGGAACAAATTCGAGCTATTTCAATTTGCTTATCCATTCCTTCCCATGCCAAGGACTGTGGAAGCTGGCGAGACAAGTGATACAAGCCCCCTCCCTAAATACGTTGGGCATCAAGCCGGCGTAGCAGTAGGGAGACTCCTAGAAAATACCAAACAAGCACCAACCAGGCCTCTGAGAGACCATTACATAGCCTGAATGCAACTACCATTGCGATCGTTTCAATGGAACATCGTTGAATACTGGAGCATGCATGAGGCCGCGTTAGAATGACGTATGAATATTTAATTTGCAGATGACTTCACAGACTTCCAAAGCGCATCGCGATGCCAACTCAAACAAGTCCTATCATTGGGTGGACTATGCCAGTTGTGACAACCATGCAACTCGAAGAGGTTCTAAAACGGGTCTCGAGATAGTTACTGCACCTGTCAGCTCTCTCACACGAAACGCGTAGGAGCCGTACAAGAGGCTCATTTGGAAAAGACGAGTGTAAAAAGACAAGCGCATCGTCAGAAAAAAAAAATTTGGAAATCTGTCAGAGCAAACGTCTGAAGGCCGAAGCGAAAAAAGTTAAAAGCAAAAGTGATCGAAACTGAGAAACCTCCTGCCCCGTACACACAAAGAATACGCCCTATGATGCACCGCTCATTTTATTTCCCCTTAAATAGTACCTTTCGCCAACGGCCAAGTAAATCATAAGAATCCTTCATATCTTTCAGGAGAGAACATCCGTGGCATAGCCAAACACTCGTGTCCTACAGGTTGGACGAGGAAACATCCGAAGAGGTTAAAAGATGACGACCACTAGGACGTGACGAACAGTTGGGATCGGAAGGACGCAGCGCGGGGCCCTCGTTCATTAAAACAAGAATTATCTTTCGGAAAGCAGGTGCTCCATCCCCATAAAACTGGCAACCTTTTGTGTCGGAAGAAGAAAGGGCGGAAGACATGTCTAGTCCGTGTACATGGACTCGAACAGGTAGATGACGCCGAAAACCAAGAACGCGATAGCGCCACCGAGAGTGACTGGGGAATATTAGCACGTATACCGATGTTGAAGCCGGCGAAGAACTTACCAACACGCATGCTCACTTTGCCTGCAATAGCCCTGCCGCCTATCACGGCGGCACTCGTGCACAACCCGTGCCCGACAATCGCACCCATGGTGACCCACCAGTAATCCTGACCAGCAGCCATGGCAATCGTAGCGATCTGGCTTCTATCTCCCCACTCACCAAGAAAGGTCATGACAAAGGTCTGAACCCAGGCCGGACTGAGGAGGAGCGAAAAGAGATTGTTCAAGCCGTTCATAATGTTGGACAGGCTTGCACCGGAAGGCGAGGGCGACCTGGCAGGCGACGAAGAGGGGCTACGGTGAGTGGGCAAACGACTGTTGGACCTCGAACGGCGGCCGCGGGTTCCCGCTTCGAGAGCGTACGGCGAAATGGACGAGCGGCGTCTCTTTCCAATGGTGTGCTCCTTTTCTTCCAGCTCGGCCTCGACTTCCTTCATTTCCTCGCCAACGCCCTCATCCGGGCTCATTGCAAGACCTTCGCGGAGAAGCTTGGCACCAAAAACGAAGAAGAGCACAGCAGCTGCAAAGCTCGTGAGCCACTTGGGCAGAAGCGTCGGAACAGCGTGACCCAGCACGGCCGAGAGGACAGTCATGGTGATGAGGGCGGCAAAAGCGGCAGTAAAGACCACAACGCGAGGGTGGCGCATGGCCATGAGGGCAGCAACGAGGAAAGTCTTGTCGCCAATTTCGGAGAAAATGATCATCATGAATGAGAGAACGAAGGAATGGAACGGCTGGATGATACCCTCCTCCTCGTCGTCGTCATCTGTATCAGTTGTGGAGGTCTTTGAGGTCTTTGATGATGACTTTGAGGAATCGTAGGTATCCTTGGGCATGCTTGGAATGACGGGCTTGGAGGAGCTGCTATCGCCGTGTGGCGAGTCCGGAAGGTCTGTGGGTTTCTGGAGAAATGCAACGTCAGTTCAGCTTTCATGTACGGCGCAAAGCCCGGATTGCTCATTGGGTCACAAACCGCTAAACCAGCGGCACCTTTCGCCCTCTCAGAGGTTGATGATGCCAGGTCTTCGTCGTCGCTGTCGTCCGCAGTATCCACACCCATACGCTCTTGCTCATCGTTAGACAGTGGGCGCTCTTCGTCCGGCGAAACCGGAACCTTGCCAAGCTTCTCGCCCTTCTCTTCCTCCAGCGCCTTATGCTCCTTGGTCCTCTGTGACACGCCGCCTTCAGTACCTGTAGTGCCCTTCTTGGGCGAAGCGCGGTCAGGGTCGTCCATGACGCCAATGTCCTTGTCCTGAAGCAGTTCGGAGGATATCTTCTTCTGGTCGACGGTGATTTCATCGGAAAGCGATTCGCGAGACGATGTCTTGGTGCTGTCGGTGGTCTTGGGGGAATTCTCGACGACAAACGGTCCAGCGTGAGGCTTGCCATCCAAGCCGTCCACAGGCGCATCCTTGGTGCCGACATCGAGCTTGCTCGCGCTTGCTGTAACGTCCTTGGAGGACTCGCGCACTTTCTGGACGCCATTTCCGTCCACGTCCACGACCACGGCGGCCGAGAGGACGGGCAGGAGAAGCAGCAGCGCTGCGATCCTATCTTTTCTGAGAATCATGGCCTCCTGTACGAGGATGGGTTAAGGGGGAAGCTGAGAAAAGCCGGTCGTCGCTGACGTAGGGCTGCGCGCAGCTTGGCGGCGCAAAGAAAGCTGTTGGAAGCGCAGAAGGGCTGAAGGAGCGGACGTCGGCGGCCGAAGGACAGGAGGGCCCCGGGGAAAGAAGTGTTTAGGAAGGGAAATGGGGGGTTCTTGGGTGGTGGTGGTGCATCTGCTCGGTTGAGCGTGAGACTTAGGTGGCTTCGCTGCGGGCAGGAGAAAGTCGCCCTCTGGCCAGGATGACAGCTGAGGCGGTGCAGGGGCTACGTAAGTTGCGCAAGGGGCTGGAACCGCGGAGACGACGCGCTTGACCAGGTTCGCGCAGCGAGCCTTTTCCGCAAATTGAAGCTGCTGCGATTGGGCCAGCAATCCAATGGGTGCAACGCGCACGCCGGCCCTTCTCCTCAGGGCCAGTGACGGCGCGCGAGCTGCTCAACGGCTGTGCCTGTGCATCACGACCCGAGTCCCCGCCGGCGCGCGAGCCGAGAGTCAAATCTCCCGCACGCGACGGTTGCACGATCGCCTTCGAGACGGTGCTGATCGCCGCAAGGGTTTCTGCTTTCGTCGAGCACTGCCAGATGGGGATGCTCCCAGACTGGCCCTGTTTCTGCCTGAGGCAAACATGACTCTGAGGTGACCTAGGGAACGAGAAGATCACGTGCGCGCGGGACTGCTCGCGTTCCGTAACCCTAACCCTACATTTGGCCGGTCGCACTGCCCTTGCCGCCACAATGCCATCTTGCCTTTCTCTCCTGAACTCTACATCCTCATATCATTGCGATTGCGAGCAGAGCAGTCATCGCGTCGCCGAGCATCCTCTGGAAGACGTGCTTCCCGATCAGTCCGGGCCGAAAAAAGGGCGCAGCAGCTCGCACCGACGCCACAATGCCGCAACACCAACGCGTCCGCTCGCGTACGACCCCGCAACCCGACCTCCCACACCAACCATCAACCCGCACAACTCGCAGCCAGAGCCGCGACATCGACATCCCACACATCAAGCATCGCGCACAATCCACACGAAGAATTGTTCGTGGCGCCAGCGTCGGGAGCACTAGTAGTGTTGATTCCAATACCGGCCGTGCCACTCGTGTATCCCGTACAGCTGCAGCACGAAGTGAGTAATTTTCCGGTGTTGTGTGTGGCGAGCCCACGTGATACGACAACTCCAAAAGTTAGGGTCAGAGTTAGGGTCGGGATTGCATGTTTTGATTGTTTCCTATCTCTAATGTTTTGGATGTTTTAAGTCGTCTCCTAAGCTTGTTCGCGTTTTTATATTCAGCATTCACTCACTAACGCCTCCCTTATCAAGCCCTTCCTATTGTCGAAGAGAATGCGGTTGTGCCGTATCCAGACCTCCCGGAGCCAGAACCGGAGGCACCTGCTGATGTTGGCGAGGTAACTCCTCTTCCGCCGCTCGTTGCATTCGACTATGTTGCTCACCAAACGCCCGGTGCTCAGTCAAATTCTTCCGACGCCACCACAATCTCGACCGCTCAGAGCGTCCATGACCCTAACGAGCTAGACAACGACGTGATGATCGAGTTCCTCGAGGATCTGTTTACAGACGCAAGCAAGATCCTGGAAATCGTTGCTCCGAAAAATGCTCCTGCTGAGCAGCTGGTATCTGTTGCTTCAGAAGCTGCCAGTCCAGGCTCAAAAACACGACGGCTCGTGGCGAAGCGTGGCGAACGCTTCAAAGAAGCACGCGAGAACTTCGGAGATGGGGACTTCATCAACATTGAAACCGTGCTGGCGTCACTTGTCAGTGGCGAATCATTTTATGAAACCGGCACATTCAGTCGACCTAACGCTGTCCTTTACAAGGCAAATGTAGCTACTTTGGTCAAGCAAGTAGCAACTTTACCGGAAGACAGAAGTGTTATATACGATGGCCTTCTGTCTCTGGACAACACTTTTCCTCGCAACCTGATGGACCCGGTCGACTATCAGGATGCCAATGCCGAGCCGGCAGGCAACCCGCTCATCGCGGAAACAGTCAGTCTGGCCTTGGATATTCGCACCCAATTCGCCATCTCATTGTTGATCAAGCACGAAGCGGAGGAAAACTTCAATCCCGATGAATTGATTCGGTCTGTCTTCTTCACGGTTCCTGAAGACGATGAAGACGGTGCTGTAGCTTCTCACCTGCGGGGGTGGGAGATTTTGGGCCTCGGCTTGAGCGACGACGAGCTACCAGCGTTTGTCAAAGAAGCTGCCACGAGGAGAGTCGAACAAATCCGGCAAATATTCCAAGAAGATGAAGATTCCTTGGAGCAAGGGAGTCATATCAACGTGGAGATGCTTGAGTCCGCTTTTCCTTGGCGCGACTTCGTCGTCCGCGTCCTGAAATGGGCGAGCCTCTACAATGTCAAACTTGACAATGAGGTTGACAGCCTCGGCGGTGTCCCGGCCATTCAAGACAGTCTCAAGCAGTACTTGGAAACGGCTGACATCCGATCTCCCGGAAAGCGTAACCAGACAGCATCGCCGAGCCAACGCGCATCCACCGCTAAAGCAGAGACCCAAAGCCAACACGTTCCCAAGACAGCAGCTGGTGTCTTCAAGGTCGTGAAGAGGCGGTTGGCCCGTCTTTCAGGCCAAAAGATTGACGTGGCAGAAGATTCAGGGGAAGTGGGCACACAGAGCCATGTAGCCCCCCAAGTCGCTGAGGACGAGTATCAGCCGCCGGTCGTGGAGGATGAGGAAGACGAAGATGATCCCAGGACGGTTGTCAATATACCGACAGAGCAGAGTGCGATGCAAGAAGATCTGGAGAGATTACGACAACGTGAAAGACAGAATAAGGAGAATATGCAGAGATTGGCCACAGAGTCTGGCACCCCTGCTCGCAAGTCTTTCTACGACAGACAGTCAGGTGCAACACGGGTTTCTTTCGACGAGCCAGAAGTGTCGTCCAGCAGAAACCACGGGAAAAGATGGCGCGCTGAGACGGAGTCCGATGAAGAAGAGGAATACGAGACGCGAGTTTCGAACAAGAAGCGGAAAGCACCCGTCGAGAAAAAGGCACAATATGCTCCATCTTCGGCGCCCGCACGAGGTCCAGTCAACCTTTCCTCTGCAGGCTCGACCCGCGTTCAACCTCGACCGCAGGAAGAAAGTGACGATGATGATGGCGAGGATGATGGCGACGATGCGGCTAGGCAACTGAAGGCTATAAACCGACAGGCTAGGGCTATTAATAGCACACTTGGCACTCGTACCGCCAGGGGGCGCACGAGATGGTCCGATGAGGAGGTTAATGTCTTGATGAGACTCATTGCGGAATTCGGCCACATGTCGCAACCATGGGTTCGGATCAAGAAAGCAGACGCTGCCGGAGACAACGTGCTGTGGCGCAGAACCAATACGGACCTGAAGGACAAAGCCATTAACATACTTTACAGTTATAGGCTGTAAGTCATCCCAGAGGCTTCTCTTTTCTCACCTGTCGCTAATTAATTACTGTAGGGCCGGGCAACCTTTGCCGAAAGGCTTTGAGTACTTTAAGTTGCCGGCTAATCTCGAAAAGAAGGTAAATGACCGTCGCGGTATCTAGTTTAAGGACGCGCAAGCGTTGAGTACCACTGTGGACATGTCTGTATAATCCGATTATGCTTAAGGTTTGTAGAGTCTTATTCGACGCGTTGGAATTTAGAACTTATGCTTGCACCGTGTACGCCATAATGGCGAAATCATTCAGGCACTATACCTATGCGATATTTCTTTTCTTGTATCTCTTAATATTTCGGTTTAAAATGTTCTTACTACGGGGTGCTTTGCTTTAATTTTATATAGAATGCGAAAGAAATAAAATACTAATAGTGCTAAGTCTTTTACCTTTTAATCTGTTAACTAATCGTTTAAGGGCTTAAGGCGGTTTATAATAATAACTATGAAGAGACAATGTAAGTGACTTGATTGCTTCGCTTCAGTACCTACTCATTGCCCAAGCAAGCCCTGTCTAGATAATTTTGATAAATACTTAAACCTGCCAGGTGAAACAACTTTCAACAATACCTGAGAGATCCACCTCTTAATCGAGGTAGCTCACAACCGTCCGTTGTGGTCTAGGGGCTAGGATTTGCCGCTCTCAGTCTTTGGAGAGTCATCTCACTTACAAGTGCCGGCAAGGCCCGGGTTCGATTCCCGGCGACGGAATTCTCTTTTGCATGTTGCCATCACTTTTCTTTTGTAGTGGTGTTGTGGCGTGTTGACGGTGAAATTTTTTTTTTTGGTGTTGGGTCCGAGGGCGGTCCGAGGGCGGGGCAGAATACGGCCGGGCCGGGCGGTAAGGCTGATCAAGGGTCTGCGAGGAAGGCACGAAGGGAATTGAATGTCGGGCCGGAAAGGATAGGAAACCCGCACGCACCGATTGCGATAGGGGCGTATTTCTGGACGCCGGCATTTGCGGGACTTGGCGCGGAGTAGCCGCTGTGGGACGCAGTGGTGGGTGCTCTTGGTGACTCGACGACTGTGCGGAGATAGATTGAATGGCCGGTTATCGCAGTGATTCTTGGCCAATGGGGAATATCGCGAACGTAAGAAATTTGGAGATGCGGAAGAGTAAAATATGGAGACAGCGGGGAGAAACTTGGAGACGCCGAAATCGCAAGAGCCAACGTCAAGGGGTGCTCTTTGAGAGTTGGAGTAAAACACATCGTGGGAAACAGATTCGTTGTGACGTGATCATGCAGATAGTGCCTGCCGTAAAGATTCTCCACCGAAACCACCCCAGTTCTCGAAACCCTTGCTCGTCAAAAATCATCAAAATGAACGCCTAATGCTGCTTCCTGCAAATCGTCTTATAACTTGAAGTCTGCAGCTTGCCTTTCCCAACCCATTGCGCTCGGCTCAAGAGCAGAGACTTTGTCTACGAGTTCAAGCTTCCGCTCGCGCGACCTTTCGGTGCAGAGCTCGTAGATGGTGCTGAGGTTGAACGTCAAGGCGTGGAAGGCGTAGGACGAGTTTTCGCCATGATCAATCAGATCCTCTAGCAGAGCACGCGCGTCAGCTATCCGGCCAACGTAGAGTAGGCACACCGCACGATTTTGGGTGACCATGGGATCAGTGGGGGTTTCAGCGGCCAACGTGTCCCATATAGTCAGGGCGGCAGAGTAGTCTGCTTCAGCCATTGCGACCAGAGCATTGAGGGGGTCTGCAGGAGATGGGGCATCGCCCGCAGAGGGGGCAGGCGAAGGCGATGCGGTGACGCAGCGCTTTGCAGCATCAATGTCGCCGACTTTGATCCACGCCAACGCCTCCATAGACTTCAAGCGCACTGATTCTGGGCTCAGCGGCGCCGAATCTACCTCAGTCGCCTCCTGTGCTCCCGAGTCTGCGCGGACAAGCCCCGCCAAATGTCTTGCGGCACCCTCGCACTCTCCCATCTCTATCAGCGCATTCGCCACTCTGATAGCGAGCTCTCTCAGCCTACTCTTCCACAGTTGTTTTGCTTCGGGATCTTGGGACTTGATCGCCTCTATTCTTGCTTCCCGGGCCAGCTCATAATAACCCATAACACCGCGCCGCCAGTCGCCATATCCCAAGCCCATGAGCCGCACAGCGAGCACGCGTAGTTCCCATGGCACTATGTGGGAGCCGGTAAGAGGGTTTCGGTAGAATGCGCTAGCCAGGTCACCAAGTAGCTTCGCCTCTGCGGCGGCCAGCGCATGTTCATTTAGGAGTGTCAAGCAGGCCAACCGCACATAGAAGAGCGAGAAAATGCGCGCATGATCAGTCGGCGACGTGTTTGTGACCAGGGCCTTCGCAGCCGCAATGGCAGCAGAGCGGTAGTGTCCACCATCAAGGAGATCGCGGAGCGAAGTGGAGGGCGGAGGCTGATGGGAGGCGGAGAGGAAAGGGTGCGGTGTAGTGTGCGGAGGGAGGGGGTGAAAGTTGTTCGCGTGCAACAGGAAGCCATAGTCCTTGTCAGGGGACTCGAGGACGGACGCAGGGGTGGAGGGGGTGGGCGACAACTGAGATTGGCGCGTGGGCGTGATAGGCTGCTGGAGATGCTGTTGGTGTTGGAGATGCGGGTGGGAGAAGGGATTCGGCGATAAGGGCGGGGGGCCAGAATGGCTGGCGGCAGCCGGCGAAGCTAGAGGACTGATGGGGCATCAGCAGAGATGGGGCGAGTGCTGGAACATGGGATGACGCACTCGTCGAAGTCGGCGTCCAGCGGGCCTTTGGTGGAGCGGCGGGTGATGGCCACTGCGGCGGCAGTCAGCTACGGCAGGCGGGCATGGCGGGCAGGAACGTACCGCGGCGGCGCTCGTCGCTGGAGGCCATGCGGCCGTGGCCCTTTGCCCTGGGAGGAGGCTGCATGGCGGTGGTGCGGTGCGAAGTCGAGGTCTGGGCGTCGGCTTCTCGAGCTGTGGCATGGACTTAGGCGTTAAGCGGCGCCAAGGCTGGGGGCGGCACTTGAGCGTGATCATGGTTCCAAAAGCCTTAATTGGTCCGATTTCGGAGGGGGCCCCCTCCTCGGCAAGGTGGAAATTGTCGACGGAACTACTCACACTATTCCTGACTCACCACCACGCATTCCTTTCGCCCATAAGATACCCGCCGCGCTCTCCGCGTGCTCCCAGCCTGCGACCTGGCCATTGGCACCTCTCCACTCCTCTTCCGCGACCGACGCCTCAGGGCTCGCCACTCGTCACAATGCTCAAAGCACGCCAGTCGCGTGGCGCTCTCAAGAGCTTCAACTGCGCCGCCCGCCGTTTCTCGTCGACGCCCTCGCCTGCCGCCGTCTCTCCCTACCGCAATGCCGCCGTCCAGCAGCCCGCTCAGAAGCCCGTCGTGAAGAACGCCATCAAGCGCACCCAGAGCACTGCCGCCGCCCAGCAGACCGAGCGACCTGTTCCCGCCCCGGCCTTCAATCGCGATGACCCGGCACCGCAGGTGGCCTCGCGCTACCAGCCGCAGATGGACCACTCGTTCGTCGGCATGAAGGGTGGCGAGATCTTCCACGAGATGATGCTGCGCCAGGGTGTGAAGCACATCTGTACGTTGCACTTCGCCGCCCCAAGCTTTTTTTTTTCTTTTTCTTTTCACCGCCAGCAGTACTGACCTAATGACTCAGTTGGATACCCAGGAGGCGCTATTCTCCCCGTCTTCGATGCCATTTACAACTCGAAGCACTTTGACTTCGTTCTTCCCAGACATGAGCAAGGCGCTGGCCACATGGCCGAGGGTTATGCTAGGGCTTCGGGCAAGCCTGGTGTCGTTCTCGTCACCTCAGGCCCTGGCGCCACCAACGTCGTTACGCCCATGCAGGATGCCTTGATGGATGGTACGCCGATGGTTGTTTTCTGTGGCCAGGTCCCAACGTCTGCCATTGGTTCGGATGCATTCCAGGAGGCCGACATGCTCGGCATTTCTAGGGCTTGCACCAAGTGGAATGTGATGGTCAAGAACATCGCTGAGCTGCCCCGCCGTATCAACGAGGCTTTCGAGATTGCTACTAGCGGCCGCCCTGGTCCCGTTCTCGTTGACTTGCCCAAGGACATTACCGGTGGCACCTTGAACAGGCCCATCCCCATGGTCAGCAGCCTTCCGACGCACCCCAGTGCCGCCAGCTTGGCCGCACGCGAGTTGAGCAGGGCTCAGCTCGAGGGTGCCATCAAGCGCTCGGCCAACCTTATCAACGTTGCCAAGAAGCCTGTCATCTATGCTGGTCAGGGTATCGTCTCGGCCCCCGATGGTCCCCAGCTTCTCAAGGAGCTTGCCGACAAGGCCAACATCCCCGTTACCACGACTCTCCAGGGTCTTGGTGGTTTTGATGAGTTCGATCCGAAGTCTCTCCACATGCTGGGTATGCACGGTTCTGCCTATGCCAACATGGCCATGCAGGAGGCAGACCTGATCATTGCTCTCGGAGCTCGTTTCGACGATCGTATCACCGGTCACGTCGCCCGCTTCGCTCCCGCCGCCCGTGCTGCCGCTGCTGAGGGGCGTGGTGGCATCATCCACTTCGAGATCATGCCTAAGAACATCAACAAGGTCGTCCAGGCCACCGAGGCTGTCGAGGGTGATGTCGCCACCAATCTTGCGGCTCTTCTCCCCTACGTCGACGCCGTCCCAGAGCGTCCCGAGTGGTTCGAACAGATCAACGACTGGAAACAGCGCTTCCCTTGGGCTTATGAGAAGGAGGGCGCGAACGGCTTGATCAAGCCCCAGGTTGTCATTGACAAGCTCAGCCAGCTCACTGAGAGCATCCGCGACAAGACCGTCATCGCCACTGGTGTCGGTCAGCACCAAATGTGGGCTGCCCAGCACTTCCGCTGGACCCACCCGCGTACTATGATCACTTCTGGCGGTGCTGGTACTATGGGCTTCGGTCTTCCTGCCGCTATTGGCGCAAAGGTTGCCCGTCCTGAAGCTCTCGTCATCGACATCGATGGTGATGCGTCGTTCAGCATGACCCTTACTGAGCTTAGCACCGCTGCTGAGTTCAACATCGGTGTCAAGATCATCATTCTGAACAACGAAGAACAGGGTATGGTCACTCAGTGGCAGTCCCTCTTCTTCAAGGATCGTTTCGCGCACACCCATCAGAAGAACGCCGACTTCGTCAAGCTTGGTGATGCCATGGGTATTCAGGCTGACCGCGTCTTGAAGCCCGAGGAGCTCGAGGATAAGCTCAAGTGGCTGATGAATACTGACGGCCCTGCTCTTCTTGAGGTCATTGTTGACCAGAAGGTGCCTGTCCTCCCCATGGTCCCAGCGGGTAGCGCTCTTCACGAGTTCCTCGTGTACGATGAGGGTAAGTTTCATTCGATGCCTGTTTAATATAACGAAGATGGAAAGCTAACACAACAATAGCCAAGGAGAAAGCCCGTCGTGAGCAGACCCGTCAGCGCTCTGGCAGGTAAACATACTGCACCATACTAGCGGAAGAGGAAAGCCAGGTCCAAAATATTCTTTGACTTCTACTTGTCTCCACGGTCGCCAAGGCACGAATGAAAGGGACTACGAGATCATTTCTTTCTTCTTTTTGGGACACAAAAAAAGCGGCATTGAGTACCCCGGAGGAGCCTCTGTGATTCTATTTGGTTTATATTATTATTGAGACGCACACCAGCTTGCATTCCCTCAGTCTTTTGACATGCAAGCTTTACGTACGATTCGGCGTTATCATGGGTTGGGTTGATGGGAGCCTTTTCCAATTTTTATCTGAATTCTCTATCGAGCGAACACTACTACTGGTCTCCATGGAGGTCTGAAAAAGCAAAAAAGTGGATTCTGATGGTATTGAAATCTTTCACTTGGGCTTTTCAGTATTGCATTTCTGATTGTTCATTGCATGATTGTGTTAGTAAAAAGGAAATGATGGACGGGCCAGGATATTTTGGATTCATCATACTGATAGTGGGGAGAAACAATTGCAAGATGTTTTTGTTTTCATTTCTCTGCAGTCGAGACGGTTGCAACCGAATATTGCTGCCCTTAGGCACTGACTTCTTATTACGCTTATTGCTTTAGTGGTAAGTATTCTGAAGCATCTATTGCTCTGTTCGATCTCGTTCATAGCTTTCGTTGGGTCCATTGCTTCAGCAGGATGGCAAAATGATGCTTCGACTCTAGTTGACGGTGGTGTGCGTATACTTATCCCTCCTGTGTAATGTTTCGTGATCACAAATACTACCGTGAACTAGAGTGAAAACCCCCTAGTAGTCTCTTGCATTCCATCGTGGACTGGGAGAGGAGACGGCTCGTTCTCATACAGAGAACGCTGACAGGCCAGACACACGCGTGCCAAATGTGGTGAGCTGGTCGCGGAATACGACTTGTAATTTGGCATTGCCTAAACTCTATGATATATGAATCACAGAAACTCCCTTATCAGCGTGTCTGAGACCCAATGAGTAGCTTGGTTGTTCGCGGCATTGCAAGCTTAAGAGCAGTGCTTGAGATATTTCCCTTGTTGAGGCAGGAGTTAGTAGACTGCCCCAGAAACGGCCAGTCCTTACTTGTGCCTATGTCTGTCTGCCTGCTAGCTTCCACCTGTTCAGCCTGATTGTTTTGCCTTTTTACTAAATTTGATGGTTGTTTGTAGACATTGCCCCTCGTAGATAAACTTAGAGTTACTACGGAAAGAGACAAGTTATTTACGAATATCTTCTTGTAAATAAGAATCTACTTTGATTAAATTATATTTACTGCGTCTCTCTTCAATAACAGTGTTCATGTAACTAGTGTTTCGGTATTTGTCACTAAATACACTGGGTCGAGTTTATGTATAACCCAGCTACTTAAACTGAGATGTTAACCATGAAGTATACACAGATTAGTTCTGCGTCACCATAATCCCAGCAACCTTTCCATTTGGCTCCTTGTCATTATTTTTCCAGACTGTTATATTCCCGAACCTGTCCACATCACCATAACCCCCGAATCTGCATTTTCGTCAATACACGTCTTGTAGAAAGCAAGTTTGAATGTCCACTGACCTGCGACAACCTCTGTGTAGGAGCTAGCTCATCTGATCCAGTGTCACCTATGTCATTCCTCACCATCGTACCCGCCGTTGTCGGTCCGCTGTCTCGGAATACTGGATTGAAAGCCTTAGGATCTGCGCTCGCATCCCAGCCAAGCGTATCCTCATCATCATCACCGTAGCCTGCAGGGTCCCAGTGCGCATCATCGTCACCATAGTCTCGTGGCACAAAGAGTGAATTCGCATCCTCATGAGACTGGCTTTCCTGCTGCGACGGTTTCGTGGCCGATCCAGGCGGCGCCCTACGCTGCCTGGCTGAGGATCGGGAAACGGGCGCGGCTGGGGGAGGCATTGCTGTGGTACGCTGCCTGCTAGCGGCAGAAGGCGTCGATTGGGCGGCTGTGGGCTGCGCTCTAGAAGCAGTAGTAGAGCGGGTCGATATCATGCGAGGTGTGCTGCTCCTGCTATTTGCTTGGCCTTGCGGATCTCCAATCGTCATAAGGGTAAATTCGCAAAGAACGCCGATGGAAGCATTGCTGTAGCTGAACTGCAACGGACGCGTAGGCTGCGAATAGTAAGCATGGATGGAGGCGCGTAGATGACCGGCGTGCGTGACGATGGCTTTGAAGTCTTTGACACTGATGATGACGTGCATCTGCTCAGCAGCAGCGAAGTGCTCGAAGTCTGCAGTGCTGAGCGAGACGGCAGTCTGAAGGGGCTGCTTGAGTACTTCTACAGGACGGTCAGCATGGCGTTACGGAAGCGAGAGACATGCATATGGCCTGCCTTTGCCATTACTAATCTTTTCGGTGAAGCTTGTATACGTGACCCGGCCATTCTCGGCATAGATGTCCAGCTGCTCTGTCCTGGGGCCGAAGTACTCTATTGCCTCTTTAAGCGCTGACGAGTGGATTGACCAGCGATTTTGGGCGGACTGCTTGTCGAACAAGGCGTGCATAATCTCCACTGACTCATAGGTCAACTTATATGTCTTAGTGACACCTGAGGGCCAGTCAGCTAGCAATTTTCCTAGGAGAGGTGTCGTCGGGCATGCCTTGGTCGGAGAGCATCTTGATGATGAGGCGGCATTCTGCTTGATCATCCCTGTCTTGTAAGCTGACTTCGCACCGATCGACCGTCGTATCTCCCCCCCTTGGGTCGAGGATGCGGCCTTTGAAGACCGAGAGGAGCGCCTACGGACGGTTAGTCGAGAGCTTAAAGGTCCAGAGGGGTAGCGAACCTTGTTGTAGATACGGCAGGTGAAGCGGCCATCAACATTCGCTGCGGCAGGAGCAAAGCTGTAGGACGAGAAGAATTTAGAGGCATCGAAGGCGAATGAGGCGTAGGCGGACTTGGAGGAGTTGAGAGCCGTGAGGGAGAGCTGGAAAAGGAAATCAGCTGCTGCCTGAGAAACAAGGCGCAAAACCCACTTTGTCGCGGCGGGCCTCGATGGACACGGCGTCGCTGAACTTGGCTAGGCAGATCAGCGCATCATGCAGGACGGCGAGGGCCTCGGGCTGCAGGGCGAAATTCAGGGCAACCATTGTGCGGGGTTTGGCGGGGTGAGGAGCGAGCAGGCAACCGTGTCGCAGGCGCGTCCGGCTTGGAGACGCGGCGTGGCGCGCGTGGACGTCATCTCGTGCTCGACAAACACAACAATCCTATCCCCGCACACGCACCTCATCCAATTCCTGCGCTGGCAACCATGCCGCTCGAAGTGCCCGAGGATGTCCTGTACATTCTGTGCGACAAACTCGCTGATGCCAAGGATTTTGATACTCTGTTCCAATGCGCTCTTACCGCCAAACGCTTTGCCGTGCCAGCCTTGACAACTCTCTATCGGTACTTGGCATCAGCACCAGGTTCCTGGCGTCATTGGCTAACCAGTGACCAGCCATCACGATGCTTCCCCCGTTATCGGTGGAGGCGGAGACGGCCAACCTCCTCCGAAGGTGCAGAAGTGGTCGATTATGTGGCGCTCCATCATCGCCTCAAGTCTCGAGGCCACCGCTTTCCCATATTGCCGATATATCAAGACTCTGGATTTTCGCGATTTGATTGTGCTCTTGGAGCTCTTTCAAGATCCGCGATTCATGCGCAAAGATATCATCAAGTAGGTCACCGTCGCCAAAGACGCCTGGACTTCCTAGGTTGATTCGCCAACAGAGATTTCTTTTCGGGAGAAATGTCTGGATTCAAGATCATGAACAAGGTTGGAAGGAAGGGAGTCTTAGATGTCAGCGCAACTGTCGAGGCTATCGGAGACGGTGCGCTCATCTCCTTCCCGCCATCGCCTTCCTGAGTTGACAATAAATAGCCATGACTCCGCACACGCCATTTGTTGAGGTCATCACTGGAAATGGTAGGTGGTTTCAGCTGATGTTTTTTTTTTTTTTTTTTCGCCAGCTCGCTGATGCGCTTTACAGTCAAGGCCAGCGCACTCATCAAGTGGCCACCAAGGCTCCCGCGATTGACCTCGCTACAGCTGTGGGCAGGCGATGCGCTCAGCGATCCTAAAGCACAAGATGCCATCATCGAGCATTGTCCAAAATTTAATGCTCTCAGCTTCTACATCTGGTAAGAGATTTGGGATTACTTGGACACCAGAGGGTACTAACGTCTCGGGAAGGATTGGCGAAGCTGCCGACCAACAGCTCGCTTCTTTCCTCTCTGGGCTGCAACCCCAACAGCTGAAATACTTCGAGACAATCAGCCATGCCGACCTCGGTGAGGGGGCATTACTATCACTTAGCTCCCACGGCCAGTCTCTCAAAAACTTGAAAATGGCCTTGCGACCCAGTACCATAGCACATCTCGGTCTGCTCAAGACTTGCACGGCGCTTGAGAGCTTGGAACTCGAATATTCCAATTCCCGAGAGAACCCGCTTGACCTTGAGGCTACGCAACATGATGTCTTCGTCGAAGTTCAACAATGGCTGCGTGAGTGCAAGAACCTGAACAGCCTGCTATTCAGCGGTATTGTCTCCGCCCTCAAGCTGGTGACGCCTGTCCTTCTTCAGCACGAAATCAAGCTTTCTCACCTTAGTGTCGACTGTTACGAGGCACACAATGCAGCAGAATTCCACCGAGCTTTGACACACCAGACAAGCCTGCAGTGGCTTCAGCTGACGGCTGACTCAGACGCAATGACTAGAGATGATATTGATCTTGTCGTCGAGACACTTACACAGCTGGAGCAACTGAGGCATATCAAGCTCATTGGAGTGTCGGACTACTTTAATGACGAACATATCATTGCACTTGCAAGAAGCTTGCCTCATCTGGACGATGTCTACTTCACCGGTCTCCAGGTCGGCGATGCCATTCTTGCTGACCTCGCTAAGCTTAGAGACCTTCGCCGTCTTGAGGTTGCTTCGATAAGCACGTTTACCTTCGAAGGGTTACTAGATTTTGCAGAACGACTCGGACCTGGCAATCGGGGGATTGAGTTCAGGGTGGAAGCTGCGGCGCCAGAAAGCAAGCTTTCGGACGAAGAGCTGCAGGTCATCAACCAGCAATTAGCCGCAAAGGTGGACGGCAAGTTGGAATGGGTGCTATACAGAGGTATAACTTTCAGAAAGGGCGGTTATAATGGGTTTGGTATGCGAGCACTGCTAACGGGTCACAGATCCGCAGGAGGAACAGATTGACGAGTCCGATTCGGATTAAGCTGCATTTAGTGGGCGGCTTCTTTTCTCGCGAAATCCTCCTCCGAATTGGAACGGGATGGGCGTTGGAAAATGCGCAGGCGAAAAAGATTGGATCGAGGGTGGGGAGGTGCGAATTCTATGGATGTTTCGTCGAAACGCCAAAATGGAAAAAGCAGGAGCAAATGGCGGCACGATTGTTTTACTCTGAGGGCGTTTGGCAGGGATGGGTGGTTGCGTTGTGCTAATGACGTCCCTGTCTCGCTTCTACCCGCTGCGACAGCGGCGGGGTCACGCCTTCCTTCAGTTGCTAGGAGAACAAACTTTTCCCCAACAATCACGCGAGCCCCAAACAACAGAAGGATCCGAGGCATGAATAGCAAGCGGATCCTGGTGATAGCCGGCTCGGACAGCTCTGGTGGAGCGTACGTGCACCTGGGTTCCTGCCTCGAGGTTGAGACGAGGTCGTCTTCGTGGCGCCACTGCGGCCTCTCTGACTTTTGCTGTGTAGTGGCCTCGAGGCCGACCAGAAAGTAATCGCTGCCCACGGCTGCTATGCCATGACTGCGACGACCGCTCTCACGGCACAGAACACGCAGGGTGTCTACGACATCCACCGAACGCCTTCTTCCTTCGTCCGCAAGCAGATTGACGCGTGCGTTGAGGATATCGGCGTCGATGTCGTCAAAACAGGTGGGGTTGCCGTCCAATCATCTTTCAATTTTGTCAAACTGGCATCAGTTGTGGTTTGACGTTTCTATTTTTGAATTCAGGAATGTTAGCGTCGGCTTCGACGATCGAAGTCGTCGCCGAGGCGCTGAAGAGGCACAACGTCCCTATATCCATTGTCGACCCTGTACGTTCGCGCTCCTCTCAGCTGCTTAGGGAAGCATTGACAGATCTTTTATCGTAGGTCATGGTCTCGACAAGCGGTGCGCAGCTACTACCTGAAGATGCCGTCGAGATATTAATTACGCGGCTGTTGCCCGTAACCACGCTGCTGACCCCGAACCTGCCGGAAGCTCAGCTCATCCTCAAGTGTGCCGGCAGGCCTGTCGGTGACCCGCAGAATGTCGATGATATCGTGTCTATGGCGAGAGCCGTGCGTGAACTAGGCCCTAAGAACGTCCTACTCAAAGGCGGACACGTACCCTTGACGAAAGACAGGGTCGTGCCGACGGGTGAGGCGGATAGACAGATTGTCCTGAACGTGCTCGTTGGTGAAGGCGACGACGTCATTTTCGAGACGGCCTACTTGAAGTCGAGCAACACTCATGGAACCGGGTGTTCACTGGCCTGTACGTATGCTGTTTCTTGTTTCGTGAACTGCGCTTATGGCATGGGTACAGCGGCGATTGCGTCGAGGTTGGCCTCTGGCATGGCTATTGAGCAGGCCGTGAAGACGGCCAACTACTACATTGAAGCTGGTATCCGTACCAGTCAAGATCTTGGAAAGGGTAGTGGCCCTATCAACCATTTCCATTCGACGTATTTCCTGCCATTTGCACCGTAAGCTTCCCTCAGCCTGGAGTATATCTTGGCTTTCCTCGTTGCTAATTCTTCCTCAGCGGTCGCTTCCTTGAATACCTTCTTGACAGAGAGGACGTCAAGGGTCCGTGGCGGGAGCACACGCATCATTCCTTCGTGCAGGGGCTTGCCGATGGAACCTTGCCACTTGGAAAGTTCAAGAATTATCTCATTCAAGACTATCTTTTCCTGGTCAGCGACCCTGTCCGGCTGCGTGGGGCGCCGTGTTGACTTCCGTTCAGATCCAGTTCTCAAGAGCAAACGCGCTTGCTGCGTATAAAGCGAAGAACCTGGCCGATATCAATAAGTCGGCCAAAATTGTCCAGCACATCCAAGAGGAGATGGGTTTGCACATCAAGTACTGCGGAGGGTTCGGTCTGACGAAGGAGCAGATTGAAAGTCACAAGGAGCACCCAGGTAGGCCATCCTCAGCTTGCATGGGTTCATGGAATTGACAGTCGGCCCAGCGTGCACTGCGTACACCAGATACGTGCTTGACATTGGCCAATCAGAGGACTGGTTCGGCTTGCAAATAGCACTCATGCCGTGCTTGATCGGGTATGGACACATCGCGAGAAGACTGTTCGACGACCCGCAGACCAAGCGCGAGGGAAACACGTACTGGAACTGGGTGGAGCAGTACGTGGCAGAGGACTACACGGATGCGGTCAAGGCCGGGCTGGAGATCATCGAGCAACACGCGGTACTGCAGTCACCGAGCAGGATAGAGCAGTTGGTGCAGATTTTCATTCACGCGACGAAGGTAAGTGGTCGCCCCTTTGTGTGCATTCCAGAGTGCTGAGAGGCTTGGCGCAGATGGAGACGGGCTTTTGGGACATGGGGTCTTTGTAGACAAACGGTTTTCGGGGACGGGCGCGGCAGATCGACACAACATGTCTCGGGAGAGGCGGCGCGGCTTCGACGGGCGGATGACAACGGATGTAGGATAGCGGCGTAGTTAGTACCGCGGACGCGGCGAAATCAGACGGTCCCGTCAGGCTCTGGACTACTGCTGGACCCGACGCTCTTGACGTGGGCGCGCTGGCGGTCGCCGCGGCGTTTGACCGCGTAGGGCTGTGCGCGGCCAATCAGAGCGCTAGCGCGCTGCCTAGGCAATTTTTCCGGCCCGAAGTTTTCTGCGTTGCCTTCGCCTCCCAGCCAGGGCTCCTGCCGCTTGCCAACAAAAAACATCACCCGCCCTTTCTCATCTGCCTCCACTCCTCCTCCCTCACCTACAAACTCTTTCTTTCCTTCCACCCACGGCGCTGCGATCCGCTGCACCACCCTCCGACGCCCTCACACTTTCGAGCGACTCGGAGCTTTTGCGCGCAGCCCACGATCCCTTTATCAGCCCAGCCGGTCCCTACTGATCCAGCGACACCATGTCTTACGGCGGCGGTTACGGCGGTGGATACGGCGGCTCCCGCGGCGGCGGCGGCGGCGGCGGAGGCGGCGGCTACAGCAACGGGTATGAGTCTTCGCGATACGGGAACAGCTACAACTCCAGTCACTATTCCAGCGGGTATGGCCGACCCTAAGGTCTAGATATTGGCAGTAGTCGCCTACGTCCTCACTCCTGCACACCCCCCCTTCCCACGTCGTCTGGCGAACCCATGCAGCGAACTTCCGGCGCCTCTTGCGACGCGCTGGTCCTTCGTAACGCGTGAGTCCGCCAGACGTCCTCCGACACAACCCATGCTTGCAGGATTCTTACTGACATTCGCCTTGCAGATACGGCGGCGGTAGCAACGGCTACTCCAACGGCGGCTACGGTGGCAGCAACGGATACGGTGGTGGATACGGCGGTGGTTATGGTGGTGGTGGCGGCGGCGGCTATGGAGGTGGTGGTGACAGGATGTCGAACCTTGGTGCTGGCCTGAAGCAGCAGAACTGGGATCTGAGCGCCCTTCCCAAGTTCGAGAAGTCTTTCTACAAGGAGCACCCCGACGTCGCTGCCCGCTCCCAGAAGGAGGTCGACGAATTCCGCAAGGAGCACCAGATGACCATCCACGGCGCCGACGTTCCCAAGCCCGTCACCACCTTCGACGAGGCTGGTTTCCCTGGTTATGTTATGAACGAGGTCAAGGCCCAGGGCTTCGAGAAGCCCACCGCCATTCAGTCCCAGGGCTGGCCCATGGCTCTCTCCGGACGCGACGTTGTCGGCATCGCTGAGACTGGTTCCGGAAAGACCCTCACCTACTGTCTTCCTGCCATCGTCCACATCAACGCCCAGCCTCTCCTTGCTCCCGGTGACGGCCCCATCGTCCTCATTCTCGCTCCCACCCGTGAGCTTGCTGTCCAGATCCAGGCTGAGATCAGCAAGTTCGGCAAGTCCTCGCGCATCAGGAACACTTGCGTGTACGGTGGTGTGCCCAAGGGTGGTCAGATCCGTGACCTTGCTCGCGGTGTCGAGGTCTGCATCGCTACTCCCGGCCGTCTGATTGACATGCTCGAGTCTGGCAAGACTAACTTGAGGCGTGTCACCTACCTCGTCCTCGATGAGGCTGACCGTATGCTCGACATGGGTTTTGAGCCCCAGATCAGGAAGATCATCGGCCAGATTCGCCCTGACCGTCAGACTTGCATGTGGTCTGCTACGTGGCCCAAGGAGGTTCGCCAGCTTGCCTCTGATTACCAGACCGACTTCATCCAGGTCAACATCGGTTCCATGGACCTTTCTGCCAACCACCGCATCACCCAGATCGTGGAGGTTGTTTCGGACTTCGAGAAGCGTGACAAGATGTGCAAGCACCTTGAGCGTATCATGGATGACAAGAACAACAAGGTCCTCATCTTCACAGGTACCAAGCGTGTCGCCGACGACATCACCAGGTTCCTCCGCCAGGACGGCTGGCCCGCGCTCTGTAAGTATTGCATTTGCGCCGATGTCCACCATGGAAACACGGGCTGACAAACTGGTAGCTATTCACGGTGACAAGCAGCAGAACGAGCGTGACTGGGTCCTGAACGAGTTCAAGACGGGCAAGAGCCCCATCATGGTTGCCACCGACGTGGCTTCGCGTGGTATCGGTATGGTTGCGATTGCTCCTGCACTTCCCTTTCCCCCTTGTCTTATGCTCTGTTGCGTGATCTGTGTGATGCTCTGCTCTCTATTCTCTCGTGCGCCTTCGCTCGCATTCATGACGTCCAGGGCTCTTTCTTTTTCTCGGTTCTCCTCTTGGGAACCTTGGTTCACTGAGGCGAAGCTTGCTTCACTCGTTTCCGTTTCTCTTCGTACCAGCCGGGTGCAGAGTCGGATAGGCTTTTTGACTTGCTCGAGCCGCCCTTCCAAGGTTTCCTGACCATGAGATGAGAATTACCACAGCCTTGCCGGCGCACCAAGGATGCCATGACCTTCCTTGCGCACAGAGAGTAGTGCATGCAACATACAGCAGCTTCACGCGATCGACACTCAAGATCGCTTGCTCGAAAGACTTACCTCAAGGTTCAAGCTAACTGATGCATGTCAAAGACGTTCGCAACATCACTCACGTGATCAACTATGACTACCCCAACAACTCAGAGGACTATGTGCACCGTATTGGTCGTACTGGTCGTGCTGGTGCCAAGGGTACCGCCATCACCCTGTTCACCACGGAGAGTAAGTCTTGTCCCCTCCCCTGGTACCTGACGTGCAACCAGCTAACCCGTATAAATAGATGCCAAGCAAGCTCGTGACCTCGTCCAGATTCTCACCGAGTCCAAGCAGCAGATCGATCCCCGTCTCCACGAGATGGCTCGCTACGGCGGCGGCGGCGGCGGCGGTCGTGGCTGGGGTGGTCGCGGACGCGGTGGCCATGGCCGTGGCGGTGGTGGTAGGTTTTCCCGACGTTAAAGTCTGGGCCTGAAGGCGGTCAGATGATAACAGGTCATCCCAGGTTACTCTGGTGGTAACGCCCAGCCGCTCGGCCGCAACAGGTGGTAAATCAAGGTATTTGACGAACCACGTTCTGCGAGCACCGCGCGGCTACTTCAGTTACGCACCATTGCCCCTCTGCGCAGCCTAGTAGGCTTTGACTTGTAATAGATACCAGCGAGCTCTGAGATCAGGACTGACGAGCCTCGGATCATGGAACCAAAAAATTATGGCGTTTTCGGTTGGGTGTTTATGCATAGACTAGGCTCTTCTTGCTTGCCTTTCATCATCGGCGGCCGTCATTGAGGACTCGGACCATCATCGGCTTTTCTGTCTGATACACGGGACTGGTTTTTTCATGGCGTGGTAGTCCTGGATTCGTCAGGTTAAGAAGGGGATGGTTGATGAACAGATTGCGGTTAATTGTTTTCTTTGAGAGTTTGCATTTTCATTCTGACGGCGATATGGATCTGGCACAGGTCGCTAATCCCTGATGCTGCTGCTGCTGATAGAAGCTACTTCGACATTTCTTCGAGGCCTTGCGAGTCGTTGAATGGCCAAATTCAAATAAACTTATGCCTTTCACATGCGTTGGAGAATGCGACGGTGAAATCCGTGTTGAACAGTAGATACGAACGCGTGAATCAGGAGTCGTCTCAAGCCACTGCCGTCGGCAATGGTATTAAGTACCGTGCTTTCATCTCCGTTCCCGCTGCGGGTGCGTGTGAGGCCCCAGTGAAAATTGGTGGTGGCGTCCAGAGCAATTTAGTGGTCCACCCATGTGTTCCTATTGCAGCAACATTTGCTTTTTTTGCGGTTGTCGTGTTTCAGACAGCCGCGGTTTCTTTTCTTTTTTTCCCCTCACTCCCGGGGATCCAGCCCCTTGAAAGTGCGCCGATATCTTGGTAGTATTCACGATCCGTTTCACTTGAGTCGTGGGGCTAAGCGTCCGAACAAAAAAGTTTTATCGTAGATCTGCTTGCCTTACCAAATCGAGGAGCTCGCTACGGGAGACGGCCATGGTGGTGACGACTACCCGCCCCCACCCTGTTTCGCAGTCCGGGCGGCTGGTTCCGCGCGGCTATATCGTCGTGATGCACAAGAGCACGAGCGTACGGAGTAAGGCGGGCGGGAAAACTAGGTGGAGAATACCGAATTGTGCGCGGTGAACATCACCCACGTATATATATATAAATATATACTGATATATAGACACTTGGCGGGAAGGGTAGTGGCCAGTGCACTACTTGTTGGATTGTGCGTTCTATGAACATCGCGTCTTTCACCACTGCACGGAGGTGACTTTCGCTCGCTGCTCTTGAGTCGAGGAGATGGCGAGTGAGACGGGGAAGGGGAATGAAAACAGAAACTCACGCCGCAGTTCATCTCGTCGGCTGAGTAGGGCAAACTATCGTGATCCCTAACCCGGCTGCACCACGGAGCAGATCGACAAATGGGCATCGCCTATTGTGTGCGTGTGCACCTGCGATCAGATACCTCTGGCTGACGATGACTCTTTACCTTCAGCTACGATGTGCATTCGCGCTCGGTTCGGTACGCTTTCGATACGAGCGCTTTCCTGAAGCGCGTCTATTATGAGTAAGGGACAGAGAGCGATGCGTGTGACGTGATGTGGACGGTGAGGTGGGGTGGGATGGGAGTCAGGAAGGGGGAGAAAAGAGAGGGTCCATGGGATTATCCCTCGGCATTACCAGGAATACGATGTTGTGCAGCGTGTCTCCCTTCTGATGAATCGCCATCTTGTGTCAGCAAGCAGCGAATGAGGGCTGCTCTGAGAAAGACAGAAAGAGAATGTCTTGCGGGAGCAACCCACTGCCGACCAAGCAGCAAGTTCACGGACCAGGGTCTAATCCCTTTCCTCTCACCCCCTTCGATTGCATCGCAGATGGGAAGGATGATGGGCGCCGCTTCCTCCGTGATGAGTTGATGAAGGATTGTGGGATGATTGAGCACGCGCCCTTTCCGAGGATTGATT